ATGCTGTCTGCTGCCTTTCTTCTAACTTGGCAAGAATATGCTTATATAAAGAGAGAATGGCATCTTGCGTTAATCGGTTTTTTCGGAAACCAAATTGCATAACGGTCTCGACTTTCCAAAAAATTTGAAAGTCTTAAATGCAGTGCTTTTTCGAAGATTTTAGAAAAAACGGATAGGAGTGCTATAGCTCTATAATTTGTAATAATTTTTGAGTGGTGTGATTACTGCATTTTTTAGAATGCTAGGGAAGGATGCATGCAAACAGGAATAATTAATGAGTTTACATCTTTTTCCATATCATTTCATCTCTACCCCATGGAGTATTTGTAGGACCATGTAAAATCAAAGATCAGATCAGAAAATGTTTCTCCTACTCGTACTTTAAGGCTCAGTGTTATAAATCTTTAAGAGTCCGTCCATAATGTTGTCCTTTATTACCTACCGGATCAGAGTTTGATTGCGTCGGCAAGTAACTTCCATAATTGCAGGCAAAGGCCAGCACGATGGAGATTGCGACAGACTATACTATAGATCAATAACTGAAAAAACCAAAAAGTGTTTCCATTAAGTATTCATCAGCAAAGGGGTGCTGCGTTATTATACTCCTTTTCTTAATAAACTGGTGAGAAACAACCAGTAAATCATTTTTGGTGGTTATTCTCGTTCACAAGGCAGTTAATTTCCGCTTTTAATTAAAGAAAAAGTCGTTAAAGCTTCCTTAAAAAATTATGAATGAACGGAAACTTTGTAAATTCGCACTTTCCTTTACAATATTCATCGAGGCTCCCACGTTAGGTCCGGGAGCCAATTTGCTATCTTTATAGGAGCCAACAAAACATGAAATTGGCATTTCGGTTCTCCGGTTTTCGAATTATATTCTCTTCAGCGTTTTTTTGTCATGAAAGGTCGGCCTATTATTTTAATGAAGCCAAACCCGATTGTTTGCCGAATTTCATCGGCAAGTTAATGTTTGTCTAATTAAAAATTCCATAGCCCTGGGGCTTGTTTTCAGACCAAACAATAAAATTCGAGTAATGCAGTGCGAACGTACATGCAGCAACTCCCGGGGTCAGCCACGTAGAAATACGTAAAATTGTTTTAATTTAAAAAAATTGTTGAAATTTCTAGTAAGTAAATTGTAAATAGATAAATTGTAATAAACATTATTATTTAAAAAAAGACAATTATTTGTTATTTACAATACAACTTCATGTAAATTTTAGTCATGATGAACCATAGTCGTTGGAGTTCAGAAAAACAATAACTACTTGTCGGTCTACCGGCCACTCTCGGTACCTTTGACAATCATCATAGGTACAATACTCTTCCTATGGAATACGGCCAAGTCTAAGTTTTTCAGTTCAATAATGATTTATAACTCTGTCGCATAGTAGTTTTATATTATTTTTCTACTCCCGTCTGTAAAATACCTAATTACCCACCGATCTAGCGTGCGGGAGGCGTCACTTTACCACGTCAGTTTCATTTCCCACGGATCCGAGCCATTTCGGACATTTCCGGCATCTTACCGCACGGATTTATTAAAAATTCGCTCCGCTCGAGTCAAATAAACTGCCGTTTACCGCGCTTTTTGCATAATATACTATTCTTAATTTTTCTACCTGTATGTTTCTGTTTTTACCTACTTCTGAAATCATTTTAGACGTTTATCTTCCTTTAAACTAAGAGGTTGTGATATATTTTGACAATTTTTGACAGTGATAATCTTGAATATGAAGAATTCGTACTAATCAGCTCATGCTGGTGTTAATGTACACCGTGTGCCAAATAAAACGACCCACTATACGATCTGGAAACCTATAGGTGATACGAAAAAAAGTTTCGTACCAAAGTTTCTTCGACACTCCTGAGGATTTAAAATATTATAATTTTGTTGATACATGGTATCCCAAAAGTGTACCCCCTCCCGCCCTACATCAACTTTCTTATTTTAGATGGAATAGCCTATATATGTCGACATTTTTGGAATCCTTTGTTAAAATAAAGGTCACTTTCTTAAGAAATTGATTGAAAATACGTAATAACAAAAATAAATAATTAAAGTTTATACGCTGACTAAAGAAGGTAACAAATTTGAAGAAACTTTTGTACAAAACTTTTTTTCGTATTTCCTATGGGTGTCCAGATCGTATAGTGGGAGCTTTTATTTGGAACACAGTGTAAGAGATGTGTTTAGAAAGTAAGTTGACTTTTGAATGTTATCAAATTAATGTTGTCCCCTTCAAAATAATCCCCCCCAGATATAATAAACTTGTGCCAACGTTTTTTCCAATCCTCGAAGCCCTTTCTAGTATAGCCTTGAGTTCTTCCAGAGAGCTCTTCTGTATCTCCTCAATCGTTCCAAAACTCCTTCCTTTCGTGGATTTCTTTACTTTTGGGAACAGGAAAAAGTCGTAGCGGGCCATGTCCGGTGAATATAGTGGCTAAGCAATGATTGTTGTTTAGTTTTTGGCCAAAAAGTTAGACATAAGTAACAATCAGTGCGCAGGTGATGCAAAATCCATGAATTGTTTTCCCACAATTTCGGACGTTTTCTTCATATTGCTTCTCCTAAGTGGAGCATAACTTGAACTTTATTAACTGCACGACCTTTTGGTAAGAACTCTTGATGTACTACGCCACAATCATAAAAGAAAAAGTAAGCAAAACATTTGATCGAACTTGACGTGGTTTTGTTTCGACGTCATCACCAGTTATTAACTTTTTGAGCATATCAGGATTATCCTTGACGTCGCTTAAGAGCTCTTGAGCGATGCTCCTTCGACGGTCCTTTTGATCAAAATTAAGCAGTTTCGGAACAAATTTTACTGCTACACGTTTCATGGCCAACACATCGAAAAAAATTACATGGTAAGAGCCAATAGAGAGGCTGACGTTTTCAGTCACTTCTTCAACACTGACGTGCTGGGGTGTCCAGAGCGAGGTTCATCAGGTCTTCTCGGTCATCTACAACAGCTTGTAAACATTTTTTTTGCTCGAAGTATATTCACCATATGCCGTTGTCAACATTTCAAGTATTTTGAAGCACTGTATTCCATTTTTTAAACAAAATTTTATGCAAATTCTTTGTTCCATTTTTTTTTGACAGCAGAAAATTTCCGAGCACAAAAAACACGTCTAACGCTTCTGTAAACGTGCAAACTGGATCAAACTGCGAACCTATGTTAGGGACCTGTGCATCAACATAACAAAAAAAAACATATGGAAGATCGAAAGTACGTAGCCTGCCCAATTACAAAAGTCACCTTACTTTTTGAACACATCTCGTATAATGGCCAATAATGTTTCCAACACATGGGAACATTTTATATTAATTAATGAATTAATTTTTTGCTCCCTCCATGTTGCTGAAACGACGTGAGTCGTAATTGTGAAAACAAGAAAATACTCTTAGACTTGAAAATTTAATATGATTTTATAAATAATAGATATCGAGCTAGGGACGTAAATAATAAAAGCCATAATTCATACGTCAGAAACTAAACCAATTTGAAATATTTAAAATATTGAAATTCAAAGCAATTTTTCACGTTTATCACCTTGTATGTTTTTAACAATCTGTCTTGGATAAAACCATTTTAGGAAAGACTTCCGCTCCTAACATCTACTAAGGATTAAAAGGTTCATAATACAATAAAAGTATGTTATGACAACGAGTAACCTATTTTTTCCATCTGTTTTCCGTTGTCTGATCCACGAGCAAAATATCTTAAGTATTTGCAACAAAGGAATGTTCATTAAATGGTTTCGTTAAGCTGGCTTGATACCTAATTTCACGTAACTAATTGAGTAGTTACTTGTAGTTGAAGTAGTTTAATCTACTTGGAGCACGCCAGAGGTCTAATTAGTAACATGCATATTTTAGATGTCGTAAAATTACCGGTACTAATTGTTATTAATAATTGATAAAATTCAATAGCAATATACAACCTGACATCCATAACCCTGACCAAGGATACGAATAATCCAGGGGCGTATATGTCCTTGTATAATTCCTGTAAATGTAAAAAGATTCACTAGCATCCGCACTATGATCATTCGCACATAGCACAAGCGTGATGCATGGATCGCATGCCAACCCGGCCTTGTCAGATTGTGTAATAATAAATAAGCTTTGAATTTTTGATTTCAACATATGGCAACCTTACGTGTGGTTAAACCACAAGATCCAATTGCTGATAAGCAAATATGCATTTGTTCTCGCTGTCGTTTTATTAGTTAGATTATGAGATTTCGTTTTGAGGCGTGTTTCATACCAACATAATAGCGACATAATTTCAGCGGACCACGAGACCACTGAATATACAAAACACAATTAGCTTTGCAGATGGGCAGGAAACAATATATTATTATGGTTGTTATGGGAAGTATCAATCAAATGGAAACGAATTTGTAGATTGATAAACAAGTGTTACTAAGTAAAAGCTATTTTTAAAAAACTTAATTGCGCTGTAAATGACTAAAAGGGTCTTTTTCGTACCGCTTATAAAATTTTAACCACCGACCATATCGCAGTTTACTGTTGAACAAATTATCTTGGTTATGTTATTGGATATGTTCTGGATTTATTGATGCTTGACCCCAAATTAACTAAGAAGAGAACCTTCATAAAATTAGGGACCTGTAATATTAAAATGAAGGTTTTATTTCATAACTGGAATATTTATTTTGGGAAATTTAATAAAAAAATTTACCGGGTCTGTGGTTTGTATTATATGTAAACTTCTCATTTTTTTCACATTTACGGGGCCAAAAATTAAATACAACAAACACATTCGAATCTCAAAATTAAGGTTACACAATACACAAAATTCAAAATTATTGGATAAAATTGAACCTCAATAGCTTCTATTGGTCAATTGGAACGGGAGTTTTAAAAACTGAAACCCAAAAACGGATATTTATTCGTAAGAATAAATTACTATAGAATTATATTACTATATTTTAAAGACCCGCATAAACGGAATGTTTTGTTTCAGCCAGATCCGAGCAAGTTTATACCCTCCACTTCAGAAAAAAATGCCACCATACTGCCTGACTTGTTGACAATTATCATGTAAGTATAGGGAGAGTATAGTGGCTTGTCCAAAAAATAGTTAATCAGAGATTACATTTCTTACAAGAGTTTAGTGCAATAATTTAGAACTCATCAAAATCCAAACAAAGATCGTGGGAATGGAGAGTTAATATAGTATTTTCACGATAAGTTTAAAATGCACCAATTTTAATTAAAGTATTGTAAAAATGGGGTTTTATTTTCTTCCTAAGTCATAATTATAACTTGGAATCAATTTTTTATTACAGTAGTAGCCAGTTTGTATGCCTATATCTTTGTGAACAACAATTAATCGTATTATTTAACATTTTGCCCATATAGCTAATACAGATATAGAGGCCATGCCTACGCTGATGATATAGGTATCTATGAAGCATTAAAATCGCGTTTTTAACCAATGATCTTGAGGCATTCAACAAACAATAGGGCCGCTAACAGATGGTCAATAAGTTTGCATTTTTATGGCAATATTTTCTCGAAATATGCCTAGATCTCGTTAAAAGTACGTGGAAAACGCTGTTTATAACGAAAATGGCACAAATTGCAGGAAGCTCTTTGAAATGTAAACACATGCGCGGAACATCATTAGCTTCTTTATGAAAATATCAATAGCTTTATGATTTTGCCAATATTAATATATTAAATTTGATTATAGAAGTTGTTGTATTAAATTAAATATTAATAATCATAAAATTACTGTCTAATTCTAGAACTAGACGAAGTGGTGTCGAAAGAAAAAATTAATAAATTCTAATTTATTTTATCCTGGGTAACAGAAGAGCAAAAAGTTTTAATAAAAAAGGTTCTCAACTTTTCTGTAATTAATAATTCACAACATTATCATATTACTTAAAATCTTAATAAATTACTTAATCGCCACTGATAGGAAATATTCTCTCAACAGATTTACGGAAAAGATAATTTTTATTACATCAAAAATGTTTCAACGGAAAAGATGAGTATTTTACACAAAGTTACCTATAATTTTTGGTGATTTTATGTGAGTCTCGTGAACGCTTATATTATTTTCCACGACGTTTCCAGTAAAAAATAAATTAAACGGTTATCAAAAACCACGAAAAAGAAAGTTACTCTCATTATTTACGAATGAACCTTTTGAGATAAAGGGGAACGTCTTATATGCACTTTGTCCACTCACGCAAAACCACTCACACAGATTAAAATTCAGACCAATGCTGCCTGCATATTAAAGCAAAGGATCATCGGAATTTTGCTCGTGTTGAAGTGTTCAACCTCTTCGATCAGATAATTGAATGACTAGCTGTAAAAACTCCATAGCAATCGGGAAGACGAGTCGCAGAATATAAGAAATCGCCTTTACTCTCCTACTGACACGTGGCAATACCCCCTTGAGAACGAGTCTAGCGTGAAATATTTTAAAAACCCACCGGAATTAACTCGATTACGGTAATGGAGTAAACTGTTTAAGTCCTTAGTGGATGTCCTGGCGGCGCGCCGTAGTCCTCCAAAAGCAATTAGGCTCCTGAATGTACTAAATGCTGCCCTGAGGCGTTTGGAAGGATTAGATCTACATATTGCGTTGTGAATAAATAAAGACGGGGGTGCCTTTGATGTTGGTTCGGCAAAAGTAAATCCAAAATTCGGATTTTATTTTAAAATGAATGTTAAAAAAGCGATGGCAACGCTGGAAATATATTTTAAGAACAGTTAACAAAGAAAGAAACGGTGAACAAAGTCTAACTAAGAAAAATAATGCAACAAATCGACTCAGAAATAGGCAGAATACACGGGCTGGTTCCAAAGTCTTGACACATATCCCAGGTACCAGAAGGTCGTCAAAATGACGTCATTATCACCAAATGACGAAAATGATGTTATATATGATGTCAGCAGGACGTGAATTTCACCTACTAATGTCTCAGACGAGTGATGACAAGGTGACGTCTTTCTTAAGTCAATTAGTGTAGTCAATTTTTGTCATTTAAGTGGTGTCTTTTTTACGTCAACTTAAAGTCACATTTTGGTCATTACTGCAAAAAAATATAACGATTCTTAAATTTGTTTTTCTTTTTGGAGTTAATCAAGTCATTTTATGACGACATTTGGAGATCATTTTTGTGATATACTTTTTTTATGTCAATTTGACGTGTTTTTCAGGTCACTGAGAAGTAGCGACCACTTATGACTCGAAAATCACGTAAGTTTAACGAGCCTCTGCTACCTGGGTGGTATTCTGGAATATTGCCAAACTTCAGGGTGACTAACAGCAGGAAAAAGCAATAACAATTTTTTCAGAATTGAAACAGCAAGAGCATCTGTATCCTGCACATAAACTATCAATTATACCAACCAACTTATCCTTACAATACGAGATTTAAAAACCTAGTATCTAAGACACTACAGATGAGGTAAAAAATCTCCCTCATGAAATAACGCAGTTCCTTAAGTATGACTGGAGTACAATAATATCTTTTTAAATAGATAACCAACAACAGCACTAGTTGCAGAGAAATAAAAATATGTATATTTTATGATATAAGTAAATTTATAGATTTATATTTGAGTTCATATTTAATACAAATTTACTTAGGTAGCAAATAAAACATACAAACTTGTGTAGTATATACTTCAACCAGAAATATAGTGCTTTTACAACAGATCGGTGATTAACTTTGCCTACTGTTTATCACTCCAAAACCACAGCCCCTTATAGAACACCCTGCCGAGCAGACTCTTACCTGTAACCATTCCAGGACCGTCATAGGAATTTATCTACCTACACTAACAAGCGGGATATAAGTATGTTTTCAATCTTTTTGGCCGAGCAATTCTTGAAACACGTGAATCATTATTAATATTCAAAATATTAAATATAATAATAATAAAGTATCAGTCACTTAAAAAATCCTCACTATCGCTACTGTCGTCCCCTAGTTCAATGATCAAATCCGCCACTCGATAAATAGTTTCTTCTTTTATTACTCTCTTTTCACAGTTAGAACAGCTTTGTGCTGATATTTTAGCTACCTCTTGCTGAATTTTGGTGCAGTACGTACCTTTATCTACTGCGAATATAATCTATAGTCTTAAAAAAGGCTGTTGTTTACAAATCGAAGAAGTATGTAGAAGACACAAGAAGAAGAATGTTGTCAATTGACAGGCACACAAGACAAAAATGATTATTTTCAAACTTACCTGAAAGATAAATAGAGTACAGGTATGGTCTTGTTCATAGATATAAAAAAGTGCTTTTGACTTTTGAACGGGATTATCCAAAGGTGGTCATTAACATGCAATGCAACAAGATTATTACCTTAATTTCCGGAATTTAAATTCAGGTCTGTAATAGAAAATAATTTTATACCTACCTGTGTTTAATATTCTTTGGTTTGGTATATTACTTAGTTTAAGTTTATTAGCAATCATTCTTTTTTCGTGTGTAATACAGCGTGTGTTGAATCGTGTGCGAATTATGCAAAATATGTGCAAGTCTAGTGTATTTCAGGAGATGAAGAATGTAGAAAATACTATTCTATTGAGACTAAGGAAGTTATAAACAATGTTTATTTGATTCCCATTAAACGTGGTTGCCAGCAGGCAAGCATCTTTAGAAGAAACGGCCACATTGACGAAAATTCCAACATCAACTGTATGGAAAATTGTGAATAATCCCATTGCAGCAAGGAAAAAAAGAAACGATGCTGACATTTTCTCGAGTGTAGATGAAAGTGATCAAGATATAATACGGCGTAAAATTTATCGGTTATACGAGGAACAAAGCTTGCCTACATTAGATATCTTAATTGGGAGGCAGAACTACCTTATGGAAGTGTATTCAACACATGGGTTTTAGATTTAAAAAAATTGACAAAAGGCAAGTTTTAATGGAATCTTTTAGAATTCGGAAATGGCGACTGGAATATTTAGAAAAATTAGGATTACTGTTAACTCCAATGTTCTCAAACTTATAGAAACCGAAGTTTTTAACATCCCTCCACAAAGTTGGCCAAATTCTGTTAAACATAGAAAAAGCAGAACAATCGTATATCTATATTGCAAATAATATAGAACAAATAATTATTAGAACAGGCGATGATAGCGATAGTGATACTGATATATTATGTGAATAAATTTAAGTGATTTAAGTAGGTAATAAAAATAATTTGTAATTTTATTTTAGATTTAAACATAAATACATACATAAATAAATAAATATTGTTTAGTGTCTTTGCTGACAAAACCCCAAATAATTAAATTCTATGCAAAGTACGGACCTGTTCGGCCATATTTCATTTTTACAGCTTGCCCGGGTCTTTCCTTAATTTGAATGAGTTAGTCTTATATCTATGAACAGACCTTACTTACCCGTATACTTTGAACTATCCAGGGAAAACAGCCTCGCAGGGTCAAAGCCTGAGAATGAGGTACATAAATACGTACTTACTGGAAGGATCACAGTCAAATAATACCTTCGTACTATATACGGACATATTGCAATTTAGATTAAACTCTTAAGTACAATACATATCACCTGATGTTAAAATAAACGCTTCTACTTATTCGAAAATACCCCAGCGTCAATGCCTAATCAAATTTAAAACGATCCATTTACGTTTCAAATAAAATTTTCAGGTTTCTACAAATGTTCATTACGGTCCATCTCAGGCAACACGTACAGAATAAACATCTGTTGGGATACAACATATGCACTACTTTTTTTAATTACTTTTTCAACAATTGACAAACGTGTATCATTCAAGCGATACTATCGGCCAATCATAACTGCAGCAAGCAGATACCAATTAAAAGTTGGCCGCTCGCTGGTGACATTCGATTTCGATTTCGACTCAATATTTTCCCACTTGCAGTCAATTCAAATTTAAAAATGAAGAAAAGTAATTTAATTTTAGTCCCGAATCGGGGTTACACTTCGACGTGCCAGCGGCGGCCCGTCTGCTGGCATGAGCCCCTTTGGGGGCTGGGCCCTATTGGGGCTCTTGCTGGGCGTAGCGACTCCGGGCATGCAGGTGCCACACAGGGGCCGTCATCGTACCGCACCTGATCCTCCACCACCACCGGATGCACCTCGAGCTGAGCCCCTACTTATGGCTAATACCGGACACAGGGACCCTTTTGATCCTCACAAGGATTCTGAAGAGTTTAGAAGGTATACTAAGTCCGTACCAAAAGAGACAGATCCAATTCTTATTGATATTATTTAAAGTTAATTCTAAGACATTAACAACTCAATAGGGAAGTCTCGTAAAAAACTATAAAAATTGTTCCTCGACACCTTGAAACTGTATAAAGCCAGTAACCACAAGTCAACTGACGTAACAATAATACGCATTGTATAGTTTATTTCAGAAGTGTACAGTAATAAAATCGCCAATTCCTACTAATACTTACTGTCTTGCTCCTCATTTTTCTTTTACAACGGCGTAAAGGAAAATAAATAACCATTTAAAAATACTTTGGATTCCTTCTCGTTTGTTTATAAATCAAACTTGCTTACGTTTCGCCAATCATACTGTTGGCTTCTTCAGAGCTTGACTGAAACTGGCTCACATTTCACCCTGTACGTTCTTATATACTGTTTCAGAGGGGGCGGAGCTAAAGGAGTTTCACGAACATTATCTTAGATGATTGATTCCCATACTGGTGAATGGTAATGGTTAAGATTGGTTGGTTGCTTATAGATTTCTATGGAATCTCGGATTTTTATTTGGTAGAAGATTTGATTTCATGCAGGAATTTTAGTTTTATCGAATAAGATTTGATGTCCGATTTTATGATTTATATTCGGCAACTGCATGTAATTCTTCTACAAAAAAAATCCGAGAATGCATAGAAATCTATAAGTAACCAAACAATCTTAACTGCGACTCAGATCCCGTTTTAGCTAAACTCTGAAGAAGTCAACAAGATAATTGACGAAACGCGAGCAACTATGATTTATAAAAAATCCAAGCAGGAGGAGCCCAGAAGTGCTGTCAATAGTATTATAGTATCATGTGGAAGTTTCTATGAAAAATGGAAATAAATGACTCTATAATGACAAAATAATTAAAACGTACTTATGGTAGCGCCTTTATAAGTATATTTCTTTAAGTTAACGCACCACCGTTTGTTGTTAAGCCATAGTAGTAGTATTATATTAATAATAAAACGGCTACATTCACACCACTGAATTCTGGGCATCATTGAGTAAAAAATTTATTATTGTAAATGTTCATAATTCTACTATTGCTGCCATTACTATTACCCGAATTTTATTCTACAAAAAACTGCCTTGTGCGAGAGAAAGACAGCTAGACAAGTGGAACATCTCAAGACAAGTCAAGACACCAGTTTTTACTGGTTCTTGATGAAGATACCAAAAGTGTAATTCGAAGAAAAGTTCATTATTTTTATTTTAAAAATGAAATATCCATCTAAGATAAGAATTTAATGGAGCTTGGCTAGGATGTTAGTGTTCAGCTGATACCTAGAAAAAATTTATGTACCACTTTAAAAAATATGGATTTTGCCTTATATTAATTTTTTTTATAATTTAAATTAGGTATTATGTAATTTCTGTATACTGTTTAATAAAAAATAAGGGTACCTAATTGTATGTACTGGGTGTTTGTTTATATTTTGCACCATCATCATACAAAACAACTGTAGAGGAAAGAATTTTAACAACAATTATTGGTAATTAGAAAATAGAAAAAGAAGTTATACAAATGGATCAAAATCAACACCCAGTATGTTTTAATTTATTTGAAAAGAATTTTTCCTCCGGATTAAAAAAAAAAAAGTTTACCTATATCTTTTGCCATTTTTCTAATTTTCTCGTTTAAATTACTAAAACTTAAATAAAATCTGCATATATTATTAATATTAGCTTTTTTTTCTCCTAAATGCACCATGGTAACAATAAATAACTTATTAATAAGTTTGACGGGAAAGGAACAAATTTGTAAATATTAACGGAATCCTTAGATATACAGATTTTATTTAAGTTTTAATAATTTTACCTAAAATTTAAATGTTAATATTGGGGTATTCGTTAGATTGTTACCTTGTGAGGTTTTTTAAGTCAACCTTTCCGAAATAGACTATAGTAACCAGAACGAACCAGAAACTGATGTACGTTATTTTCAAGTAAGTAGAACTCAACCTTAAAAAGTAATACGGGCTTTAAAATATTTTAATATTGAGAGAAATATATTACAATGATATAACCGCAGAGTTTTATGCTTCTTTTAAACGGAAATATACATACTGTTTTATACACGCAAATAAACGTTTCACTGTCAAATAACAAAGTTTGTAGTTGGTACGTTATTCGTATATCCAGACGGCGATAAAAGGTTTATTGGAGAACAGAGTTTAGTGAAGTTTTGAGCTCAAACCGTAGACATTTTGCATAACAATACATTTATATTTTGTTCCTTTTCCATTTACAGGCTTATTTGGAGATTAGTGTTACGTTAGGGTTAAGTTGAATCCGTTTTTGTTTACAAAAATATTTGAAGAATGGTAAACTGGCTATACTATACCGAGTGATACAAGAAACTGGGAATACTCTATAAATTTTAAAGCGCTTGAGATAGCGATTTGAAATTTGGAAGGATTCATATAGGCTGAGCGTCAAATTTTTTGACAATATGCAGGCAATGGTTGCACGTCCGTTTTGCATTTTTGGATTCAGATCATTCTACGTAAGATGGACGGCTTTTCTCTTTTTTTTGTTTTTTTTCTTATTTTTATTTAATTTTTGAAAATTGTGTCTAATAGGCTATGACCATTATAAATACTATTTACCGGGTCACCTGATAATGGGAAAAATTGTAAATGGAACTTTTCTTTACTTGTCTAATGGCAAATAGTATTTAATGTAATGAACTATTATTTTTTTAGGATAACCTCGTTTTTTCATATAGCGCCCTAGTGGGAACAAAAACTTTTTAATACCGGTACTTTTTTGCAACATTTTGTCACCAAAATTTTCTAAATCCGTTAAAAAATAAGCTCACAGGAAGGAAAAAACTAGATAAGGAAATACATTTTTATAAAAACAAAATTTTTCCATTTTTTATATAAAAAAAAATGGACATTCAGCCTATATTAATCTTTCCAAATTTCAAATCGCTATCTCAAGCCGTTTAAAAGTTATACAATGTTCCCATTTGTCACCCGATATAGCACTTTTTTTTATTTGCAGAATAACATTTACTTCGAGAATAGCAAAGTAAATTTCCTTATAAATTTAAACAAACATTGTATGTTTTATCGTTGCTGTTTTTGGAAATACCTTGAGGAGAGCAAACTACATTCAAATGAATGCGGTAAGAAAAGTAAACTAAATTTAGCTTATAAATGCAGTGTAAAAATTGAAACAAAAGTTGTATCCATTTATTCCTTTTTGTTTTCGTAATGGATTTGTTGCAAATATATCCTTTCAATTTATAGCGTGCTATTCATACCCTCACAACGCTCTAATGCCACTGCTTTGTTAAAAAAAATCCTAACGGCAACGGGATTGAAAATTCCTCTAAAATAATCTGCCGGACAAGGGACAAGAATTTAAAAGGAACTTGCGAACCATAACCGACATCCATTTTCCAAAATTCGATTGTGGAACTTCTTCACTCCGGTCTTGACCCGCAAAAAAAAACAGTAAATCGTTTTCAGAGATGCTCCTGATGATAAACGAGATTTTGCTGGTAGACACGCCCCGCCAGACGAAGACCCTCTCGTCATACAGACCAAAAAAGGAAAAGTGAGAGGTATCACCATCACAGCTGCCACCGGAAAAAAGGCAAGTGAAATTACTCGCTTCCGATTCGTCCCGCTGAGAGTCGCTTTGTAGGTGGACGCGTGGTTGGGTATTCCTTACGCCCAGAAACCTCTGGGTTCCTTGCGCTTCAGGCATCCCAGACCGATAGAAAGGTGGGATGGTATATTGAACACCACCAAACAACCAAACTCTTGTGTTCAGATAATCGACACCCTATTCGGTGACTTTTCTGGTGCCCAAATATGGAACCCCAATACTCCTTTGAGTGAGGATTGTTTATATATTAACGTGGTTGTGCCAAGACCGAGACCGACGAATGCTGCGGTCATGGTTTGGGTGTTCGGTGGCGGTTTCTATTCCGGAACTAATACGCTGGATGTCTACGACCACAATATTTTGGTAAATAGAAGTAATTATCAGGAGGCTGTCAATGTCGCTTGATTTCATTACTAAATTAATTGTATTTATCGTCATTTTTATTAATATTTATATAACACAGGTCTACAAAATTAAACTTTTTGACAGATGTTTTTATTTTGAAAACTGATTTTAGTTAATTTTAGTGGGCTGATTTCAAAAACTCTATGCATTTACTTGTAAATATTAAACGAAAAAAAAACAAAATAATAATTTATTTTTTTATGCATTAAAAAAACGTAATCCGGGTTTTAAAAAAAGTGAAAAAAAAAAACTTTACTCAGACTTCTTTGAGTGAGATCTTCGTCTCTTTGCCATAAAGCTGCGTTGTCCGGAAATTGGGCTGTGTGTTTTTAAGAGCATATCCCGTTTTAACATCCAGCAGTAGTCCGCCATCATCGTTATACTCCATCTGCCTTGGTATCGCCGTTCCATTACCTTAATATCCTAATGAAAACCCTGTTCTTCGCTAACTGCTCCAAAATTTTCAAGAAAATAGTTCAAATGTGAAAACAGGAAATGCCCTTTCGAACTCATATTACAACGTAGATTTTGAACAATACTTTCGTAGTTTTCGTCCTTAAAGTTCTCAAGAAACTTTTCAATTACTTCTTTAAATAAAACCCAGGTGTTTTTCTCGATATTGGTCATTTGTTTTCGAAATCCTTATCTTTGCATAATGTTCTTATCTGCGGCCCAACAAAAATACTTGACATCAGGTATGGCAGCAAATTTCTTGCACAAATATTTCAAACGCTGTCCACTCTTGTCTTGGACTTTAACAAACTGCTTCATCAAGCCAAGTTTGATATGAAGAGGAGGCAGTAAATCTTTTTTGGGGTCGACTAAGCAATCTTTTAGTACATTTTTGCTACCAGGTATAAGACATATTCCAGACGGCCATTCTATTTCAGTCCAAAGTCGATCTCTGACCCGACTATCCCACTCACAAAAAAGGCATGGAAATTTTGTATAATACCCTGTTGTCCTAATAGCATGCACAGCACTTTAAGGTCACCACAAAGTATCCACTAATGTTCTTGGTAGTTTGTTTTCTTCAATAGAAGTCCTCAATTTTCATACGTTTCTTTTAAATGTATGGAATTTGTAACGGAAAGGCCAGTTCGTTTAAACTACGCTTACTTAAATCAATAAACAGGCGCCATTTTTTTGTTATATTCGGCACATTTCCTAATTTTGAAACTAAATCAGGAATATTGTTGCAATGCACCATGAGTCCTTCCTGAGTAAAATATTGACATACCCAACTTTTTTGGCGATACCGGTAAAAGCTTGGTGTGAAGCCAGGTGCCAGTATATGATTGTCACGAAGTCTCGAAACTACCAATTCGGATGCATCCATTGGAAGGTGAAAATCTCTACTTATATTATTTAATTCGCTCTAGTTATACACTTCGGATTCTCTGAAATCTGGTGTGAAATCTGAGTCATCTGTGTCGGAATTAGATTTCCATGATTCTTGAGTTAGATAGAAAACTTATCTAGATACATTTCAGCAGATTTGAAATATATGTCAAAAATATGAATATGATATACAGTGTGTATCAATATATTCTAGTAGGATTTTAATAGTACTTTTAAATTTCGAATATAAAATTTAAATTAGGCAAAAATAATCACACTCTTATGATCTGCAATCTTTTAGTTTAATCAGCGGCCACAGAAAAAAAAATTCAAAATTAATTAATACGCTAGGCCTAAATCTAATTAATAAGAATCACCCGTCTGACCGTTTCAATTTTGGTAGTCAATACGGTTGACTTGAGATTTTGATTACATTTTACAATTACACATAAACATAACGTGGAATCAGCAAACATATAGGTCAGAATCACTGCAAAACGAAAGCGGCATTGCATGTGAGAGAGTTTTTGTATTTCGTCAGTTGTTGAAATATTGAACCATCACTTTTTCCGCAGGTATCCGAAGAGAATATTATTTTAGTCTCCATGCAGTACAGGGTAGCTTCTCTTGGATTTCTATATTTCGGGACCGCGGACGTTCCAGGAAACGCTGGCATGTTCGACCAGCTGATGGCCCTACAGTGGGTTCATGACAACATAGGCGCATTCGGGGGCAATCCCAACAACATAACCCTGTTTGGAGAGTCGGCGGGTGCTGTGTCTGTTTCGTTGCATCTTTTATCCCCCTTATCGAGGAATTTATTTTCACAGGTAGAACACACAGATGTGACAAAGATACTCTGAGATTTTTATGTACTGCACGGTTGCAGTTGCAATAATGCATTACTGGTCATTTAGATAACGGCAGATTACTTATCACGTGGTTTACAAATATACAGGCTGACCGTTAGGCGCAGATGGTTATTGCTACCATTAGAATGTCGCATACACATTTGTCGCCTCTCGGTTTAATTTCAACGTATTTTTGTTAATGTTCTTCTTGATGTCGTGTTTTTCGATATATGAAGATTTGAAAACGAAAGTCGCTGAAACACTAGGTCAACTTTTCTACCATAAATTGATTCACCTTAATTTGTTTTGTATAATTCTGCTCCAACTCAAACTTTGAAACTGAAACCAAACCAAAAAATATTTCTAATTTAAAAGGGAGCCTAAAAATGCAAGGTATTATATTTCAAAATGTTAAGGGTATAGATGCTTCCGTATAACCATATGAAAAAGCTGAAATTAAATCTTCAAATTCAGAGAAATTCGATGTAGAAAGTTTTTATGAATACACTGTATACATAACATATCCTAGACTTCAATATTATTACTACGTATTCTATAAAACCGCGTTTTTAAGATACGCGGTGTTAAAAATAATGAATGTTTGTATTAAATTTATTTCGATATGAATAATTTAGCGTTCATCTTCAAAACGTTCAAAAGTTTTGGGTCCTAGTTAAACTACTGACGTCTAATTTCGGGAGTTAAACCTGTTTTACACAGTGATATATTTTTAGGCAATCATGCAATCGGGCAGTGCAACAGCGCCCTGGGCTGTGATTTCAAGAGAAGAGAGCATTTTGCGGGGACTGAGATTGGCAGAAGCTGTCAAATGTCCCTATGATCGTAACGATCTCTCAGCGGTTCTCGACTGTCTGAAGAGGAAAGACCCTATTGAACTTGTTAATAACGAATGGGGAACTTTAGGTAAGTTGCTAATATAGAATTATCATATTTTATGTGTAAACTAAAAATAACTGTTATGTTAACAATACCCGAAAAGGAAAGAAGTAGAAAAAAGATGCTGAAAGTATTAACTTTCTTATTCTTATTATTACCCTTATTTTTTTTATCCATCCTGCTAATTAATTGAAAAAAATAAAAAAAGACAAAATCTTGGAGAAATGGTGTCGTATCTCTTCGCGTTCTGCGCTATACATCTACGACGATTAATATTCAACTAGGTTCGTCTAAGAATAGCTTACCACTCCGTAATTAAAATAATTATTTTTGAAAAAAAAAATACTTTTGTTAATAATGTTATTAAAAACATTATCTAAAATTTACGACGTATTTTGCAATACGCCTCAATTTTGTCCAGTAGTTCTTCTTCGAACTCACCTCATCTACATTAATGGATATTTCACAGGGTCAAATATTTTTCTAAACTTTTTATGCACTAGGTCCGTTGTTGTTGCTAGCGGCATTTTCCAATAAAAATGTTCAGTAATTGCTTTTTGGTGTTGCCTCAACTTGTTCGTACAATTATGTATTAGGTGTATTCAATCGATATCCTAGTGTGTTCAATCAGAGCGTTTTAACAAATTGTATTTTATGGATTTATAGCAGTAGTTTGAATGCTTATTTCTTCATTCCTATCCTATTACAATTCATAGAAATCTCGTGGTGAAATTATTTGTAATTTCATAAACTTTGATTGGGATGTTTTCACAAAACAACTAAAACATGCAAAAGCGTTATTTTGAATATGCAATTTTTCGTTTGAACCGAAAGGAAGATTTGACTAAACTACAAAATTTAGCTTTCTACATTCCTTTTCAAACGGTCTGGAAAAGTTCCGCATTATTCTAAATTAAAAAACGAAAACAAAAATTCATTGTTGTCAAAATAACAGCATGTTGCCGGACACCAAAATTTTTTTGGGGCAGAGCATAATTTGATATAAATCCTCCAGGAAACTCTCAAGAATGTTGAGTTGTAGGCAGTTTTGCTTAAATCCAAGATGCTGCTTAGAATGGTAGCGTCCTGTATGGAATTTATAGTAATCTACCTATAACGAAGGATAAACGCTAACTTTTTTCCAACTATTTATTGAGCTGGTTTCTTAGTACACTATGATTCTAACAGAGGTTCAAGTACAAGGTAATTACTGTCGCATTTCAAACCAGCTGGCTGGCTGGAGAGGCGAATTTCCATTTTGACTTCGCTACCTCCCCTCTAACGTCTCTTACTTTGGTTTTATTTCTTATCCACTTGTTCCTTTTTCTATCGATCAGTGTTACACATTTGTCTTTCCATTGATCTTTTTGCTCCCGCTACTTTGTCCATATTTGAATTTGTAAGTGGCCATGTTTGGGATAATTCGCCTATTGATCTTTGCTGTAGGGTTTTCCTTGTTAAGTTTAACAATTTTTACATGTCAATATCGCGTAAATGTCTGGGGTAGATCCCTAGAGGCACCTTATATGGTAGGCCTCTGGAAAAGGAGAAATGTATCAGTTCCTGTTTGGAAGCCGTCCATATATCAGACTGGAGATAAAATAATGTTTTCTTTCATAAAGTCAAACGTCCTTTCTAGTAATTCTTATTTTATGTGGCACATGAAATCACAACTAAGTGCAGCTACAATCCTGTCCTATTTCATTAGTGAGGATACCAGTTTTTGCACTGGTCTCAGCTCTAAGTCTAATGCTACATCGATTGTGAGCAGCCTGTCCTAGGTTAAACTATTTCGCAGGAATATGATCGATTTTAATAATTAGATATTTGTGTGTTTTAGGAATATGCGAATTTCCATTCGTGCCCGTAATAGATGGGGCGTTTTTGGATGAACACCCCGTACGCGCCATGTCGAGTAAAAATTTCAAAAAGACAAGTATTCTGATGGGCTCAAATACAGAAGAAGGTTACTACTTTATAATGTATTATCTCACCGAGTTGTTCAGGAAGGAGGAAAACGTATATATTAGCAGGTAATAACGTAGTCGGGTGCAACTGCGTCTACGGGTTCGCTGTATGGCGATTCGAAAATTAAAAATCTATGTGAACTTTACAGCAAAAAATAGCAGGAATTTACGAGGGCATCTCAACGAAATTTACAACCCGGCAATAAAATAGAAAATTAGTTCGCCTCCCGTAAACTCATTTTCTTATCTTCGATCTTAGCCAAATTGCATTCGCACAGACGTCGTAAATTTAACTCGATTTTTTTTGTTCCCGTTCCTGAACCCGATTAGGACGGAAGAATAAGACGAGATCAAAGTTGATTACCTTCGGAAGGTCTGGACTTTGCGTAGTTATTATTTCTTCCTTTAACTAAATGGGTTTTTATTGGGGAAAATACTTTCAAATTCCGCACGTTCGAAAACAATAAGCAAAATTTTCAGACTGTTTTCCGAGATGCATTTCGGAAAAACGAATAAAAATTATTTCGATGAGATTTCGGTATACAGAGTATTCTTTATTTGAAGCAGTCGTTGTCTAAAAATGTAATATATTGCAAATTGATCTCGGACTGTGAATGTAATGATAAAATAATTAAATTAAATTAAATTAAAAAGTATACCAGATGGTTTCCTATAATGCGTCTCCCTTTAATTTTAAATAATAATAATCTTCTTTATTGGAAAATTGGAAAAATGATCAACAAAAGTTAGTCTTAGTTTAGTATTTTTTTAAAAATCTGAAACACTAATTCGAAATCGTCATCGAAGAACTATTTGCATAACAAAAACTCGAGTTCGAAAAAATACGTGGAATGTATATTTTTTATATGATTTTTGGATGTATATGTCTTTTATTCTTCATGATAAAAGCATTTAATTTTGCGATAGTTATGGTATAATTATAAAATAATGTAAATTTGGCCGGCTATGACGAGCAACTAGATTATCATAATATGATACTGACCTTAAAGAGAGTTCATATCAATGTAGGTGAGCAATTCATTTTTACTATTTAGGTTGTTGGAATTAAAAAAAAAAGGTTTCTATGCATTGCGGGCCTCTACCGAACAATCAACAACATATCTAAAGCAGCTTCACAAAAATGAGGAAAACATGATTTTTTATATATTTTTAACGCCATATATATACTAAAAATAAAGCAATTGCGAAGCTTCATTTATATAAAGTTTTTTTTCTTAAAATCATTCAAGAAATCCATACTCCTAAGGATCAGCGTCTTATTATGGAGCACCCTGTATAAAACGATATTTTTAATCGTTTTGAACCTGGTGATCGATTATAACAAAAAATAAACGCCTGCGAAAAAAGTTCGTCCAAATTAACAAGCTCCAGCTACTCTCCTATCTAAAGCTTCCGAGTTCGAAAGATTTAATAAAAATCATTTAGCAAATTAAATAGAACCACAATCTTCATCTAGGGAATTTTTTCGTGACGTACACAGAAAATTACTAGTACATATTATTTAGAATTTCTTACTACCGCAGTGTTTAGGCTTCTTTAATTTCTAATTTACGTCTACATTTCTATATTTAATGCAGGATTTTCGTTATTACTCTATAGACCGCTATACACGATTTTGACTATATTTTAAAAATATTCATTTCATTTAAAAATGGTCCATCACGTAATTGGTTTTTGTTTCTTTCTCAAATACATCGATTGGCCATTTTGTTTTTATTTTTCCTTAAATAGGCGGAAAGTCAAAAGTAGGTATCCGCAATTATTTGTTTAACCGCTTCAAATGTAAAGCACTTTGGTTTAATTTAGTTACGTCACTATTTTAGACAAGAATTTGTGCAATCTGTAGCCGAACTGAACCCCTACGTAGGCCCAGCGGGTCGTCAGGCGATCGTGTTCGAATACACGGATTGGTTAAACCCTGACGATCCCGTCGCCAACCGAAACGCCCTGGACAAAATGGTCGGCGACTATCAGTTCACTTGTAACGTGAACGAATTTGCTCATCGGTACGCGGAAACTGGGAACAACGTTTATATGTATTATTACAAGCATCGCACGGTAAGTTGAAGTGAAGTATGTAGTTTAAAATTTTACTAAAATGTCTTCTGAAATGCTCCCTAGTAATTTTTGACCCACCTGGTATATATGTTTGGAATGATACTTGATATCTTGATTAGCTTTAATCAGACTGCTGTTATGATCTGTTCATAGATATAAGAAAGTGACCAATTGCTTTTGAACGGATTATCCAATGGTGGTTATTAACATACAGTGCAACAAGATTATTATTATTAATTAAGGTAATTATTGGTATGTTAATGACCTCCCTTGGATAATCCGTTCAAAAGCAATTGGTCACTTTCTTATATCTATGAAGAGGTCATGCTTTATTTAGGTTTTGTAGTAATTGCTCTTAACAATTGCAATGAAACCAAACAAAATGGGGTTCTTTTTAATGGAAAAACGGCAGTTAATAGTAATATCATGAAATGCTTGAATTGACTCGAAAGAGTGTTTAATATTAATTTTAAAATGTATATGGCTAATGTATAATCAGGGAAGTATGATAATGTGCGATGAAATTTAGTGTTTGATTTTCGCAAATGAAAAGGAAAACGTCTTTCTTAGATGGTCACTTTTAAAGGGCTTTTAAAATTTACGCACTAGCAATAGAAGGTAGGTAAGGTAGTTAAATTCTTTGCGATTCAAGCACTTTGTGTAAAATGCATTCCGAGGTACAACATTGAGTTCAACAAGTAGATTACAACTTACATCATTTGAATGAAAATATTATTTTGAGTGGAAAAATAAATTCAATTTAAAAAAAAATTCAAGTGGAAATTGGTATCTCCGTAGTACGTAACACAACACCTTATCAAAAAACAGATACGGATCTTACTAGATTTTATTGGTCCCCTAAGTTAGCAAGGCTACCCACTTCCGCCATTATATAGTGAGAATATGAGTAGTATATGTAATATATGCACCGAAACTTAAAAGGACCTATTACCACCATGCTAAAATAATTTAAATTCACGTTTTATAGTTGTTTTTTTATTCCCTTTTCGTAAACTTTATTAGGTAGACGATTTTATTCTAACACGCGTAAAAGTTACGAACTATATTAAAATCAGTATTTATGCAGCGTGAACTATTAATGTGTAGATGGAATATGCATGTTAGAACAGCTACAATTTAAAAATATTTCCAGTAGAAATTCAAAACATCTACGAGGTGATTGATACAAAAGTTTTTCTTTATGAAACTCAACGCAATCCAATTTTAATGTAACTTTATATATACCATGCATGGAACCTTCGACAGACCTTTGGAATTTCTTTGATATTTTCATTTAATTAATTCACACTATCAAAACCCGTAAGGCCAATATTAAAATTAAAATTATAAAATTAGTGGTGCCGCTACAATTTCGGAAAGTTTGGATAAGCATTAATTTTGTGCGTCTTATGCTATCTTGTGGGAAATTTTATAGCTTTTCTGACGATACAAAATTATATTATCGCTATGTGTAACACTTTTTTTCTAACTTACAATTCCTTATTACTGTTGAGTTTTTCCACACTTGAATGTGAAGTTTGACAAGGAAAACAAATAGTAAAGTTGTTGAACAAATATTGCCGGTCATGAATCTCTTTTAAATATCAGCGTTTTTATGAAATATAGTTGTGTCACATGTAACAAATCAAGTTACACTAAAATTGATCAAGACGTCCAATATGGAATATTATTCCTAGGGCTTCAAATTTAACTCCCTAAATTTTCATCTTGGAAAAGGCAGGGTAGCACGAATTCGATAATATGTACCTTGATACCAGAAATATGGCGGAAAGAATACATTCTCAAAGGACTTCTAATTTTTCTTTTATATTGTGTCTTTGCAGCTCTGCCCTTTATACTACCTTTTTAATTGGACAAGACAAAGCATAACACGTTAGAACATATTGTGGCTAAAAAAAATAAAACAAAATCACCTATATTTTACTTTTTACGCCATATTTCAAGGAATACCTTATATAAGATTTTAATTTATTTTTGGGTTCATGGATACTCAACTTCTCTTTTCAGCTGTGCTGTATCTCTCTTGCCTTATCCGAAAATCAGTATTATATGAGTAGAAAAAGTCGGTTTTACATTTAGTATTTCAAAAATTATATAATTAGGTTGCAAATCCATGGCCTTCGTGGACGGGCGTGATGCACGCGGAAGAAATCAATTACGTGTTCGGCGAACCGCTCAACCCGGCCAAAAGCTACACGGCCCAGGAAGTGGACCTGTCTAAGCGAATCATGCGCTACTGGGCCAACTTTGCTAAAACTGGTAACCCGTCTCTTTCACCGAACGGAGTATGGACTGCCACTTTTTGGCCATTGCACACGGCCTACGGGAGGGAATACCTGACCCTCGATGTTAATTCCACTGCCACTGGCAGAGGGCCGAGGCTCAAACAGTGCGCCTTTTGGAAAAAATACCTACCTCAACTGCAGCAGCTCACAAGTAAGTAATAATTGTTTTCGAAAAGTCCACCAATCAATTCACGAAAGTATGGTACGGTACATGATATACAGTTTAATGGTTCATCCTCATAATACTTGAGTTTTGTACATTAAATGACGCCCTTCGGTGTATCATTAAAATACATTAAATAACTCTCGCAAATGGAAGTCCTAAATGTGAATTATTTGTTTTTATGAGAAGATTTTACAGATTCCCATCTATCCCGTTGGTAACCTCGTGAAGCAGAAAATTTGTACATTGTCAGTCGCAATGTTAAATTTAATCTTTTCACAAAAGCACCAGATTTGACTTGTGGTAATGATTTTCGAAATGCTAGTTCAGGAAAAGATTTTACGCGTAGAAAGAATTTTCATTTGACATACTCTAAATATCTAGCCAGTTGTATATGACGTGGTTTTACAGAGGAGTTACAACAAAATCCAACACCACAGAATTGTACTAATCAAGCAACTGCTCTACATCGAAGTAAGTACACAAGGGACCTAATCTTAGGCCCTACGATGTTCCTACTACTCGCCGTTGTCGGTGGCAGTTTGTCGTAGGGTACGCCAGGAAAGTGGATAAACATTAGTATTTGGTGTTAAGAGTAATTGTGACTGGTTGATATTCGAGACAAATGGGAGAAAAATGCAATCGGTTTACTAGAATTATGCTTTCACTGTTTAGACGACAGAAACAAGCATTCGTTTTTGCGCACTACCGATAATCGACATTATCCGACGGAAGAACAAGCAACGAAATCTTTCTGCTTGCCATGGGAAACATTTTATCCGATTTACTAAACAATTTCGACCAAACAATATACAATAAGTACAAATTAAGAACATTTCAAGTTCAAACGAAAATATGTACATATCAAAATTTAAGACTTTTTCTACTATGGATAATGTCGATCGTCTAGATAACAAAAGTTATTTAAACAAATTTTCGTTCTACCAACTGGCTGCAAGCAAATCAAAGAGTTTTTTTATCTATCTGACGAGAAATCTGCGTCAAAGCGAAACACTTTAATTGAGTGATTGATTAAAATCAACATCCATTTTATGTTTCGATAAACGGTGGGCAGATGGTAAACACCTGCAACACGTGAAATTAGCACAAATGTACTAAATGTACTTGGTTTAGGATTCAAATTTAGCAGGAATTGCCCGAGTTAAATAGGCCTGTTTTGATAATCATCTACTGACACTTTTACATTTTTCAGTCATCTCCGCATTCTAGACAATAGTAATAACGATGACATTTGAAAAATGTCAACTTAATTTTAACGCGTTCTTGAGCCATGACTTAAAAAAGTACAACAAATTATACTGAAAACAATTTATGGATTTGTCAAACAATTTATGGATTTGTCAAACAATTTATGGGGATTGTCAATAGAATGCTACTTTTCGCGAACCTGAAAATAGTCTATTTTTACCAATATAATTATTAGATTCAAAAAATAATTGAGAAATATTAATTAGTAAATTGCTAAAAACATATCGAATAAAACAAATCAGTATCAGTTTTTAAACTAAATTGCTAACTTCTCAACGTAGTAATTAAAATCATTAAATTGTTAAAAATAAATCAATCAAAACATCAATTTCGTGTTCGGTATCAAGTTTCATTCGATTTGGCCACCGAACCAATCTCAATGAGATTTCGTCGCAACGTCACCGCGTTGCGAATCCACAAATAAATTGGTATATATCGACCAATGTAACGCAAGTGTCTCCCGAACCCTACTCATACGTTCGAATTTAGAAGCGGATCCATTAATTATGCAGAGCGACATTCAATTTCCAGTGGCGCTTCCTATAAAAAGGCCCATGCGTTAAATTTTAAACCGGGTTGAAAGCTATTTTTGGTAGTGTTGTCCCTAAAATTGGATAGAACCAGGGAACGGGTATAATCGATATGATTCGGGGGCCCTTTTATGCCTAATCCATAAATAATCTAGTTTTACGATATACACTGCCCGAATTGGAAAACTCATTCAAATTGTCAACGGTGAGTTGAGATCGAATCGTTAATGGTGTGGAATAATTGTGAATAATGAGCATGCACACATACATATACACCATAGTCAGTACACCTTAATAGTGACTTTGAAGCCAATGGAAATATGAATTAGTTTATAGAAAACTTGATCTCAATAAAGCCAGACGCTCAGATACAGAAACAACGTTTTTTATTTGACAGGTTTTAGGTTTTCCCTTAGTTTCGAGAGTTATATCTTTTTCAAATAAATTCCCTCTGATTAGTTCTCCAACCTTATTTATTTTTTCAGTGTTTCGGTGTCACTGTTACTTAGCAATGTTTCTGTTACCCCCTTTCTTTCACCAGACTTTCGAATGATTTAAATTTACACATATCTAGATTAAGAAACGTCGTTGTTTCTGGGGTGCGAAACTTTATGCCATTATGCTACAACGAACTTTATTTTGTCCAACTATAGAACTACATACAGGTAAATCAGAAATAATTTACTTCGGTAATCCAATAATGGGGGCTAACTATTGCAGACATAGAAGACAAATACAAACACATAATAAATACATATGAACGTTATTTTAAAACAAAGTTTGTGGATAATCCAAAAATATTGTGATGCAAAAGCGTGGTAGCCTGAATCTATTCAGAATAACAAAAATAAAATAATGCGCGATTATGCGGTGACTTTTTCAAGTGGAAATAGACATTTAAAAATGGCAAACAAATCAGTTTTGAAAAACAAATTTTCCGCGCAAATTGTTAACTAGATCAAATAATCTAGTTGTCAACCGATTTTGAATAGTTCGATGGGAATTTTAAAACCAAGTACATTCGTACACGGAATTTTTATACAGGAATTCGACCAAATATCTCGTTTGCGGCCAGTAATTCTAAAGACGTCATATTACAAAGTATATTGCCAAATAAGTACCTATTTCATAAAAACAGTCCTTCGCTATTGAATCTCTTCGCTGCCTTATAAATAAAAAAAAATTACAAACATAAGTGACAAATAACTACCTTGTAACCCTCTATCCTAGTTATTAGAATAGTGACTTCTAGTGCCTCTGCGTTTGTAGTATTAGTGCATTGAGACGTTGAAAGTTGTTTATTATTTGCATCGTGAATTTAAACTTTGTAGTCGCTCAAACGTTTCCATCCCCACCTGTACCCGCAAAACAAATATGAACGTCTCGATGTACCATTTTTCCGTAACTTTTAAGCTGTTCCCCGCAACTTACCACTTAAAACGTACATATCCACTGATGGTGCGAAAAAGGTACCTTTATGAAAAGCGAATTAGATTCCCACATTGTATATAATTGTAAACTCATATTTACGTGTAGATCTTTGGTCAGATTTTGTTCCACATTTAAGCTGTCAAATCCCAATAGATAGTCTAGCTGCTCTAATTTTTTCTTCCTGGTTTAACTCAATCTAAGTCTTAGGCCATTAAACACCATAGGCACGAGTGTGGGATTTGCCAAAATTATATATTTTATTATTTCACGTGCCAAATTTTGTTAAACCGGCTTTACGTAATTTAATAATTTTCCCATCGAAATGCGTGGCTTTTATAATATTTTTCGCATTCAAACAAATTCCCCATATAATTATTGCTACCCCTTCCATGATCTAAGGCCTAAGCTGAGTTTGAAAAGGGTGTAGGTAAATGTTCGATGTTTCACGAGCAGCAAATGAACAATCTGCTTGGATGGTTTGTATTAAATTGATTTTATTATACAGTGTGCCCAACTAAGTCGGCACCATATGCAAAAATTTTTTATTCATAATTTTAAGAAAAAGTTATACTTAATGAAAAATTCTGCGCGGCCTAAAACTTAATATAATATTTTATATATTAAGATATTTTTTTTGTCGTATGCGAGGGTTGTCAAACAACATTAATTTTGCTCAAGAGTAAGGAACCTTTACTTTTGAAAAAGTCATTTAGAAATTTTGAAAAGAGTTGAATACCAGGTTTAAATATCCAATTTAATAAATTAATTTAATTAATTAAATAAATTAATTATTAAAATTAAATTAAATTTTGATATTATTCTCGTGGATATTATTGAAAAGAAGTTTTCAACTCTAATCACTTTTTGTCAATAACAATGCTCTTGAGCAAGTATTTTACATTTTAGAGTATGCAGAACTTCTTATAAACAACAACTTCTTTTCGTAAAACTAATAATAAAAAATTTCTTCATATAGTGCTAATTTATCACTTGTAATTTGAGAATTGGCAAACTGATGCCCAAAGCAAGCGAAATATGGTTTGATTTATTGAGTGACGTATGACGTACGCAAGAAAGTACTTCAGAACCGTTTATTTAATATAAACACAAAATTAGTTGCAAATAATGCATTTTTAGCGTTGAACGGCAGAAAAATATAAATATTTTAATTTATATTTTGCTGCTTTAAAATATGAAGGCTGTAATGCATAGAAAAACTTGATTTTTGTAGAGATGAGCCAAAACAAGAATTTTCTGGCAGAAATTATTTTTTAGAATTAAATGAAAAAAAAATTGTTTTTTTCATAAATATCTTAATAATCTGTGTAAAACCTCAGAACCGTGGTTGTTTACTTTATGCAAAATTCAAATGATAAATAATTATTCCTATAAAAATGCGCATTTTTCAACTGATATCGAAATGGTTTTTGTTAATTTATGCATTAAAAAACAAAATTTTTCATAACTTCATTTCCATTTCCAAAACACTCGTATGCTATTCTTTGTGAAAAAGAGAAATATTTATTGGGCATGTTGACAAATCGATTGTGATGGCGACGTTTATATTCCAAACGTTTTTTTTTATTAAACAACGAAAGGGTTTTAATATTTAGTGGCGCTAATAATAATTATTAGCGCTGAAAAATCGTGACTATTTTAAAGCTTTGTGTCGCAAGCGATAGCTTAATTTTTAAAAATACCTATTATAGCTTGGTGGCGCCTAAATATTTCTATTTGTAATTATTGTAAATCTTGTAGTCTAATAAACTTTTGCCACATCTGACAAACAGTGTATAAAAAGTTGTGCTCCAATAGTTTTTTTTTAATCTCAGATGTATACAATTCCATATACTCGTACTGTATAGGAGTCGATCACGGAATATAGATATTCATTGTTAACTGAAGATTTTTTTTCGTGATTTTCATAGAAACGGTTCTGAAGTAATGTGCTCGCCGCTACTACAAAAACTTTTCTAGCTCAAATTGATAAACGCCTGATAGGGGTTGCCCATTAACCTAATCAGCATCTACGCTTCACGTTATGAAATACTTTAGTTGGGCGAAAATCACATGCAAATTTTTTTTTAATTTCTTTTTCTGTCCGAAAACCGAATAATCCATTGTGGTGCTTGCGGAATATTTCTTTGCCAGACGACCAGTAGAAACAACAATAATTGTAAATTACATAATGACTAGTTTTCATAATATATTGCACAAGTTTAGATATAATTATATCAAAATAGGATCGAGAACGGGATCATACCGTTCTGGTGATCTCGGAACAGTTTTGATAACGCATAATGTTCCTTAGGAGTGACGGTGTCACGCTTTTAGAACTTGTAAAAATTTTCGAACGACTATTTTGTATCGATTCTGATCGCGCCCTTTTGCGAACCAGAAAACGTTTAAGGGTGTAGAGGGACGGTGTACAGAATATTTTTCCTTTGGAAGACTAATCGGTCCAGAAGAAAATGGCTATTTCTATAACCGCATGCAGCGGTGTTTGGGTGAGATTGCTACGTATGGTAAACTATGGGATATAGATATCGAGAGAGTTTTTTAAAGATATGTTGATAACTTTTTAAGTGTTCTGCAAATATGTGGACATATCATAAATGTGTTAAATAGATTTTAGTCTGCCAGAGTATATATTTGTGCTTGAATTTTACGGATATCTACCTGTGTATCTCATTTGGAATGACCGCTCGATTTCGGCATCAACCGATGAATAGGGTTATAAAGATAAATTCTTATTAATATTCTGATATTTTTGTGAACTGGCTGGGGCCGATCGGTCATTACGAATGGGTTGCGGGATCTCGAAAGAACGTTCCAAAATGCAGCGAATTACCGTAATTTCGTAAGATTAATATTTTAGGCTTTCAAAATATTCGAGGAGTAATTCGTATCAACATGATAAAGATATCCTGTGGTCGCGCAGCTGAACGTCCGGTGTTAATTGAAAATAGCTTTATTTATAAGATCTTCCAATTTTTCAACAAAAAAATATATATGGCTTAATTAAAAACGGGGTAATTACATTTAGTTTTTAACGTTGAAAGCCTAATTGAATACAGAAAACAGCGAAATACATTTTAGTTTGTTTCCTATGATTTTTCAGGGCGGAACAGGTCCGATTCCAATTTGGACGGATTCTCTCATATATTTTGTGACACGTTTTTCTTCACTATACCCAATTTAATTCGTCGAACGGTACCAATATCTGACCCGCCCTGTACAAGAACGTGTTCTCAGTTATGTGATAAAGAAAAAGCATATAATAATTACTAAAATGTAGTCAATTGTTTTAATCAGTGTCTAACGACGAACTAATATTAGGTTTAAGTGTTTTTCATTAAGATTACCGTTGCGTTATGATTTTGATATAGTTTTTAAAACCTGCGCTACATATAGGTAGTTGGGCTTGGTCTATTAGGTCTTGATTATTATTTAAAGAATATTGTAAAGTATAAAGAACGATTATTATAACACACCTAGAAATTGTTGTAGGCCTTTGGCTGTACCTAATTATTATTGATTGATTGAGTGGAATTAAATAAATGAAATGCTTGTACAAAATAGGTAGTTTTATTTCATCAACCATTTTTTTACCAGAAGTATTCAAAATAAATAAGAACTAATTTCGTGAAAATCTGAACTTTTAGTTCTTATTTATTTTGATAAATGGATTTCCATCAAGTAAAAGATCACCTCAGTTCAACATGAGTATTCTTCGGCCTAAAAGCGTGAAAATATTAAATATATTAATATCTATCGAATATTTTCAAGGTTAGACAAAACGATACTTTAAATAATTTGAAATGCTGGTATATATTTTTATCAGTCTATTACGATATCGAGTCCTACAAGTTCAAGTGCGCTCACTATATTAATCGACGCGACCTCAATTTCGATATTACGCAAGTTTGCAACAATTTTGAATTTATTAAAATAAAATTATAATCAATATGCCGCAATACTACGATTATCAACTGAAATTTACATGTAGTAGATAAGTGTTTTTGTTATTGTGATGCGAATAGTAGATAAAAGGCGATATGGAATAGTAGATCAAATACTCCGCTCTCCATGTAAATCGCTCTATTAACTTACATAACCTCGCTTTTTTCAAGACAACTTTACAGAGTATTTAATTTACTTGCAAATTAAGAAGTTTAGTTGTCGGTGCCACTAATGATTTGCTTCGTGTGTTTAGATTAGTTTTTCCTTATAGTATTACAAAATTGTTATGGATTCATCCAAAAAATACAATAATTCTAGTCCCGAGGAAAAAGCAAATCTATTATCGAAACTATTTTTTTGGTAAGTAATTTTTCCAATACTTTTGTTATTTACTCCTGATGTTTTTTTATATTGTAGCTGGGTTCTGCCGTTCTTGAAGAAAGGGTACCAAAATGATCTCAAAATAGAAGATATTTTCAATACTACCGAAAGGGATTTATCGGAACCTTTAGGTGATGAATTAGAGAAGTAAAAGTAACATGTTACAAAGATTTTAATTACTACAAATTTATATTTCAGAAATTGGAATGTACAAGTCCAAGAGAGTCAAAAAACCAAAAATCAGCCAAGCCTTCAGAAAGCAATCTTTAAAACATTTCATAAAACATATATTTGGTTTGGATTGTTACTGTTCCTTAATAATTTATTTGTAAAGTAAGTGGTTGTTCCTTCGTAAAGTTGTTCAAATTCATAATTTATTGACAAAAATTTCTAAACTGTTTTTACAAATTCTTGTTTCATATTAGTTCTCACTACAGTATGCTATATTTGTTTAATTTTCTTTTATTTTCTGCAGAATGTTGCAACCCATAGTCTTAGCTGAATATATAAAATATTTTGACAACACTTCAAGCAGATCTGCTCAGGAAGGCTGGCTCTTAGGATCAGGTGTGATAGGTTTAGCATTCATAAATGTTATTGTATGGCATTTCACACTCCTTGAAATGTCTCGAATTGGCATGAGAGTTAGAATTGCCTGTTCCTCCCTAATTTATAGAAAGGTGCAGCCTATAAACTATTTCGAATTTTCTGTTAAAAAAAAATATTTTTAGCTTCTTAGATTAAACCACATTTCTCTTGAAAAAACTGCTTCTGGACAAGTAGTTAATTTGCTATCCAATGATGTGGTCAGATTTGATATAGCAGCACCATTTTTGCATTATATATGGATGATGCCTTTAATTGCTTTGGTTTCTCTCTATATCATGTATAGTTACATTGGCCTGGCTGCTTTACCAACATTTGGTGGAATGACTTTGCAAGCAGTTGTTATGCAAGGTTTGTATTTTATTATTATCTATGAAAAAAATTGATATCTAGTGAATAAGATTGTGAAAAAAAAATTGACCTCTTTCCTTCTAATAGATTACCACCATATACAAAAATAAATTACGTAAATGACATCACCCTATCATTGATGAATCATTTAGAGTGGTGAGAAAAAGAATACCATTAAATGGATAAAATTGTCAAATGGAAAATATAAATTAAATTGATTATAACAATCCTCTAATAATATAATATTTGTTGTGCCCTTTTGTATGTATGAAAAATATTCCCAGGAAATAAATTTTAGGTTACTTATCAAAGTTACAAGGTTACTTCCGGGGCAAAATAGCTCTTTTAACAGATGGTCGCGTAAAATTGATGAGCGAAATAACAGCAGGAATACAAGTTATCAAAATGTACGCCTGGGAACAGCCCTTTGAAAAGATGGTTGAAGTTGCCAGAAAGTACCTACATTACCTGAAAGCAAATTTGTAAAAGAATGTCGTAATTTATGATTTTAGAAAAGAAGTCGATGCAATCACAAAAACGTCTTACATTAAAGGGTTTTCCGCAGCTTTAAATGTGTTCATTGAACGTGCCGCGCTTTATGTGGCAGTTGTGTCATATGTCCTTTTAGGAAATGAGATCACTGGAGATGTCGTGTTTTCCATGGCTCAGCTTTTAAATAGTGTTCAATTATTTATGTCAATATTTTTTCCAATGGCACTTTCTACATATGAAGAGGCCAAAGTGTCTGTTAAGAGATTGGAGGACTTTTTGGTGATGGAAGAGAATACTGCCGTTGATTATTGCGTGAATGAGGACACAACAAGTGGAGATTTAAGATTGGTTAAGGCACGAGCCAGTTGGCTTGCAAATCCAATAGTAGATACACTAAGAGACATAAATTTAGAAATCCAATCTGGTACATTGTGTTGTGTTATTGGTGAAGTTGGTTCCGGCAAAAGTTCTCTTCTTCAAGTAATATCCAAGATGTTCTAGTGAAGCTTATAATATTTATGTATTTTTTAAGGTAGTGTTAAGAGAGTTACCCCTTACTGCTGGTAAATTAGAAACAACAGGTCGGGTATCATTTGCTGCTCAAGATCCTTGGCTTTTTGCAGCATCCATAAGACAAAATATACTGTTTGGTATGCCTTACGATAGGAACAGGTAGAATCATAATTCAGCAGTTTCGTGAAAAAAATATGTTGACCTCGTAGATATAAAGATGTAGTGCGGGTTTGTGCTTTAGAAAGGGACTTTGAACAACTTCCTCATGGGGACCGCACTTTTGTTGGTGAACGAGGAATGGCATTGAGCGGAGGTCAAAAAGCACGCGTAGCTCTAGCCCGTGCAGTGTACAGAGACGTAGACATTTATTTACTGGACGATCCATTATCTGCTGTAGATGCACATGTAGCTAAGCATTTATTTGAGCAATGTATCCAAGGATATCTGCAAAATAAGACTAGGATCCTTGTTACCCATCAAGTGCAATTTCTGAAAGGCGCTGAAGTTATTGTTTTAATGCATAATGTAAGTCAAAAACATAAATCCCTATTGAATATGTTTTTCTTGATAGAAATATTTTATTAGGGAAAAATCACAAAAAAGGGAGCAATAAATGACCTGTCCCAGGAAGACTTATCCCTGCTTTCTAAAGAAGTTGAGCAAACACACCAGGTAAAAAAAGAAATCAAGCAAGATCCTACGCCACACATAATCAAGAGAGAACGACTGCAATCAGTTTCATCTGTAATTGTAAGTTTTTCAATTGACGGCTACAATAACGGTTGCACAGGTTGTAATTCTTGTAATTATGTTCTACTGCCTCTAATGGAAAACATATGTACACCTATGAAAACGATTCACACTTCCTGCTAGTGATAAAAATATTTTATTATTTACAAGTTGACTAGCTGAAATGGTCTATATTTTTTGAACAGTCCCTAAAACAAACAAAAAAGGGTAGATATATATATATATATATATATATATATATATATATATATATATATATATATATATATATATGATGACACTATATTCCGGGATATCATCCGTTCGCTCGTTGAACTCCGACTGGAATTGCAGGATTCCAGTCGGAGTTCAACGAGCGAACGGATGATATCCCGGAATATAGTGTCATCACATTTTTCCATCCGTGAATCAATACGTGAGAATATATATATATATATATATATATATATATATATATATATATATATATATATATATATATATATATATATATATGTATATATATGTATATATATATATATATATATATATATATATATATATATATATATATATATATATATATATATATATATATATATATATATATATATATATATATATATATATATATATATATATATATATATATATATACTTCGACTAAAGAAAAATTGATTACTGTATCAATATAATACAGATAAAATTTACCGAACATTTTTTTCAGATGATTTTATCCATCTATTAACTAACTGATAACATACTGATTAAATTTTTTGATACAATTTTTAGAGCATGGTCGGGAATGATGATTCTGAAGAGGCTGAAGAACTTTTAGCAAAAGGTTCAATTTCGACATCCACCTATGTTGAGTATTACAAATCTGGAGCCTCTTGGTTGATGCTCGTGTTATTACTACTGATATTGATAATCGCCCAAACTACTTGCAATGCATCTGACATGTGGGTTACATATTGGTAAGTATTACATTAAACACTTCATTAAAAAATACAATATATGAACATTTAGGACAAATCAGAAACAAATGCAATACAATCAAGAATTTAGTTCCGCAACTAGCAACAATATATCTGCAAAGAATATTAATGCTACTGATAAAAGCGAGTTAAATTTGATTTTGGATTCAAATGCAACAGATGTGCCTTTGCTAACCACAAATTTTTCAACAAACATTACAGAACAATTTAAGGAATTTGAAAATGAAACATTATTTTCCACAGATAATGAATATATTTATGTTTACACTGGATTGATAATTGCTGCTATAATACTGACCAGTGCCAGGTATTATATCATTTCTTAATTTGATATATTAAAGATGTGTTACATTATATTCTGTAAATCCATAATTTTGTAGATCAACTCTGTTCTTTAAAATCTGCATGAATGCATCGAAAGTAATGCACAACAAAATGTTCCATTGTGTTTTGAAGGCTCCAATGAGTTTCTTTGATAGCAATCCCTCAGGCAGGATCTTGAACAGGTTTTCTAAAGACATGGGTGCAGTAGATGAAGTGTTACCAAAGTGTACCTTGGATGCAATTCAGATTTTTTTGGTTGCTGCCGGTATATTGGGCATGGTAAGTAACACCACTTGTATATGTTTTGATAGTAAAAATTATTATTCAAAGGAAACCTAAAAAACTTGTAAATTTTAAAAGTTATTCAACCTCACTTTGTCATCAATTTATCTAGGTATTCATTATCAACCCCTGGATGATAATCCCTGCATTAGTCCTGTGCATTCTGTTTGTGTATATCAGAGCAGTATACTTGACATCAGCACAAGATATAAAGCGGTTAGAAGGAATGACAAAAGGACCAGTATTTTCTCATTTGTCAGCCTCTTTAAATGGGCTATCTTCTATTAGGGCTTTCCAAGCACAAAGATTAGTTACTAGCGAATTTGATGCTTTGCAGGTAACGATTGTAATTTGAAATCAGCACCTACATGAAGTATGTACTCTTATTTATGATTTTTAGGATCAGCACACTGCCACGTGGTTCATGTTTATAACAAGTAGTGAGACTTTAGGTTTCTATCTTGACGTTATTAGTACTATATTCTTATGTTTGGTTACTTTTCAATTTATGATTCTTCACAATGCAGATACCCACAGTGGTAGTGTGGGGCTCGTCATAGCCCACAGTCTAATTTTAACAGGTATGATTTTTGAAAATGAAAGCATTGTTTAGTATTTAATCTTTTAATACAAATATGAGTATACTAATGCCATACAGTTAATAGTGCCTCTATTTGTTCGATTAGCAGTTTTCGGATCGGATAATTACAGAAAACATTAAGATCTTGAAACTCCATAAGTTTTATGAAACTTTCCTATTTTTTAGAAATTATTGTATTATTAAATCGTAGGAATGCTACAATATGGAGTTAGACAATCAGCTGAAGTTTCTTCAAACATGACTAGTGTCGAAAGAGTCCTTCAGTACACCCATTTAGAAGAAGAAGGCCCATGGGAACCTTTACCAGCTAATCGGGCACCAACCGGTTGGCCGGATAAAGGCCGCATTAAATTCAAACATGCGTACATGCGTTACACTCCAGACTCAGTCCCAGTTCTTCGCGATTTAAATTTGCGTCTACGTCCCGGTGAAAAAGTGGGAGTAGTCGGCAGGACCGGAGCCGGAAAATCTTCGCTAATTGCGGCCTTGTTTAGATTGGCTTCTGTGGATGGCCTTATAGAATTAGACAAACAAGATACAGCTGTAGTTGGGCTTCGCACTCTACGATCAAGCATTTCAATTATTCCACAGCATCCTACTTTGTTTTCGGCATCTTTAAGGTACAACTTAGATCCATTTGGAAGAAATCAAGATGAAGATTTATGGAGAGCTTTGGAAAGAGTTGAATTGCGACAAGCAGCTAATAACTTGGAACAACTAGTTAGCGAAGGAGGTGCCAATTTCAGTGCAGGTCAAAGGCAACTTATATGCTTGGCAAGAGCAATTGTGAGGTATGTATACTGGTAAAATTTCATTTGGTTAGTAAATATTAGTCTTTATTCAGAAAGAACAAGGTTTTGGTAATGGACGAGGCCACCGCCAATGTTGATCCTCATACAGATTCGCTTATTCAAAGAACAATTCGAGACTGTTTCCAAGACTGCACTGTCATTACTATCGCACATCGGTAAGCTCCCTGAGGATATTTGAATGCTTGCAAGAACCATTTTTTTTAGGCTGAACACAATAATGGACTCTGACAGAGTACTAGTTATGGATGCAGGACAAGCTGTAGAGTTTGCGCCACCCCATGAGCTTATGCAAATTCCTAATGGGTATTTTGCCAAAATGGTAGAGGAAACCGGTCCCTCCATGGAATCTAGACTTAAAGCAATAGCACAAGAGACTTACGAGAAACGGGGATTGTACAATTACACTAATAATGATAATGATAGCTCTGATTAATAAGCACAAATGAAACCTAGTACTTAGTTCTTCATGCTTTTTTTGGAATTTCTTTGTTACTTTGCTGTGATTAACTATACCAAGACAATATGTATTAGTAACTGATGCAATCAAAATGACATTGTTTTAGTAAAACAACATTGTTTTAAGTTCTGTAAGTTTTCAAGACTTTTGACTTAACCTACTATTACTTAAAAACTGCCTAGTCCTTTAGATTATCTGTGCCATAAAAGTGCTCTTAAAGTGTATGCACTTTTGTTAACATTATTAAAACAAAAATATTTTTGTATACTTATTTATAGAAAGAAAATGCTGATGTTACTGTTGCAGTTTTACTTACACCCACAATTGTATAAATTCCACAAAATCATTTTTTTTCTTTCATTGAAAAATAATGGGTCACATCACAATACTCGAGTATTCTGTTTGATTAAGGGCAATATATTTTTTAAAAGCATAAAAGGGCGAAACAAAAATATAGACAAAATAAAATCTAAAAGTAATAAATAATATATGCTTTCAATGTAAATATCTAAGTCTAGATATTGAACTAGGGAAGTTAATATTTTCAATGATGCAATGATGCACAAGTCTCAGTACTCTCAAAGCTTATTATTATATTTCAGTTTATATTTAAAAAAGAAAGTTATCATTCCTAATATGTTATTATAAAAATAACACAGAATCACTGAGTCAATCACTGAGTACCCTTATAATTCTAAAACTGTATTGATTGTAAATTTAATATAAAAAAGAAAGTTTGAAATCTCAGAGCAATATCAATTGCTGTTACTATTTGGCAGTTATTTTTCTTAGAACAGCAAAATTATCTTAAAAAAGACTCACCTAGAAATTTCATATCAAATGAACCTCGCCACTTTTAACTAAATTTGACACACTGTTATAAGAAATAAGAACTTTCGAATCATTATTCAAATCAATTAAGTCACCATCCTCTCCATTTCCATCATCTATAACAACACCCTCCACTTCTTTATTTGATTTTAAAAATACCATACTATGCACATTGGGGGCAATGACTTGCAGTTCAGTTGGTAATCCTGGGCAAAAACTCATAATACTCTCAAAATATTGTTTTAAATCTAAAAATTGAAAAATAAATGTATATTAAAGTCTTCGGAAAATGTCCAGTCTACCCACTCTCTTCATATTCCTGAGCAAAAGTTAATTCACTATTGGTTAGGTACAAGTCTTCCCCTCTATCACGCCGAAGGTGTTCTTGATGCAAAATGTGGCTAACATATAATTCAATTTTTTCTAATCTCATTCTTAGATAACTTGTAACCAAAAATTGTAACCGATCAACTTCCATTTGATGTATTGCCTTTCTAAAATCAGTACTCGGAAGGCTTTCCAAATTTTTTTCCATATAAGATATCTGGCCCAAAAGGCAATCAACTTCTTGATCTTTGTTGGGCAAAATTTCGGGGGCAAATTTTTCATTAAGCCACGCTTCTTCCATGCGCTGAATCAGCTCACCAGCTGTTAAATTTTCTCGTTCTTCATCCTCTTCAAATTCAAAATCTTCAATTTCTTCCATTGTTAAAGAAACAAGTATTTACAAAATGCAACAAAATATAATTTTCTAATGTATTTGTTGGTTATATATATTCCCGCGTTCATCGACCATAGAATATAAATTAGTAAGTCGCATTTGCAAAAGCAGTTTTTAGGCAAGCCTTAAACTTTAAGGCTTAAAGCGACCATTGTAAAATAACAAACTGTTCTATTGTATTTATTGTTCTAATAGATGGGATGACGTCGTCGGTGAATACAACTACAAATGATATAGATTGTCGCAACATAATATCTATCACATGTCCAAAAGCATTCTTTCGTTTTTCATTTCCTTCACTAAAGTGCTAAGTGATACATTCGGTTTAATCCTGAACAAAGGGAAAGCAATATTTCCGCGCTCACCAGCTTTAATCAGATCAGACAACATAATCTCAAATCATATCCTTTCAATGTGACTGAAATGGGTGAAGTTAAGACTTAGCTTAGTGATAAAAAATCACTTTTACGTAAATTATATCAGTAGAATAACTTCAGTCAGAAAGAAAGAATACTAGTATTATAGAATATAGAATCAATTTGAAAAAAATATCTGTTTAAAATGCGATCTATGTCGGATGAAAGCAAAAATTGTTTGGGTTGCATGTCAGGACCATGGAAATATGTGTTTAATAAAATTGATGAACCTATTTCTTTTAAATAATACCAATTTCGCCAAATTCGAATTTAATTTTACTGTTTCAAGTACTTCAATTACAAGAGAATGCAAAAATTTTTAATCAAAAAGGATTCTGATTAATTCAGGATAGGTTAAGTTTTATAACAAGGAAAACAACGTTGACTAACTAGTCAATGATTTTAATAGGATACGAATCGACATTCAATTGAACTCAATGCGACATAGAATATTTGTTTGTCTCCCAATTACCAGATATTTCTTAAGTTTTGCCTACCCGATCTAAGATAAACATTACTTTCTTCAGTTACTCAGACCGTCGCGGTTTAAAGAAGCGGCCGGTCTTTTCCACTACTTCTTGTTCATCATCTGAAGAAAGAGTGAGAGTGGATTATAGTAATAGGGCTTCGTAAATACCGCCACCCCGTCTTGCAGCGAAGCAGTCACTACCGCGATGAAGTCACGCACGGCGGTTACATTGTGCGCCCTCTTGGTGGGGTTATATGCCGCGTTTGCGAATGGCCAGTTTGGCGGGATTGGTGGAGCACAATTGCAGGTACTAATTTTTCCACTTTTTCTTTCCATTTGGTTAAAAACGAAAATCCAGAATTCTTGTACTAAATAAAGCAACCAAACTGATGCGGCCTCGTTTTTTTATAGGCTTGAGGCCTATTTGTTACCGATCTTCAAAAATATATATGTATGTAGTATCTATTGTAATATGTACGGATCGAATATTGAAAATTGATCAATTTATGCTAATCTTGGAGTTGGGGCGTAAGGATTCACCCAGTGAAGGATGCCTAGTTACGAAATACCTGGGGAAATATTTTTAATAAATAAATTTGTGTGTATTTTAAATAGAGAAAAATTCATAATTTTTAATCGATTTTGCTGTGTGTCAAAAGCGTCTTTTTTTACGATTAAACCGTAAGCAGAAAAACGTTAACGCTACACAATTTCCACAAAATTATAGTGGAAATTGCAAAATCTAAACTCATAACGGGTAATTTTCAACCGGCTCGAAAAATATCAAAAAGATTTATGGAAAATTTGATGCTGTTCCTCAAAGAAGAACTGAAGAACTTTTTTTTTTAATTCAATCAATTTTGCGCTTTCGTCATAATGTCAAGATCGTAGCTAAAATATTTTTGGACCACCTTCTATAGTTCCTGTTTTAAATTTAAGCACATTTTATTGCCAACTCACAATCACTTCTATCATTATTAATATTCTCTACGGAGTGTATATAGACGCGGGATGACATCAAAATAAAATGACTGAGCAAGAACTCATTAAGTATTTATGAAGAAATGTACGTATTGTTTTGCGCTATTGTCTAGAAATTCTTTATATTTCGTAGTCAATTAACATCAAAAGGGGAACGAACTAATTTGCTCGCAGGTATGACAGGTACGAAACAGTTTTCTGGTTTTTTTGCGATTGTTGTAAAAATTAAAAAAAAATAATTCATCAAAATTGCAAATTGATCATTCCGAAGGTGTGGCTAACGCTTTTCTGTTTTCATTAGGGAAGTGGTTAAATTATCAACTAACTATAATGACTTGGTACGTGTCATTAACCTTCAATAGTTAAGCAATAACTTGATTTGCAGGGGGAATTTAATTAATTAATTAATTAATGGCATTCCCACGTGAACCTTGAAGTATCCTATAGAACTGAATGCAGTGTACACCAGCTGTGTTATCATTTAAGATATAAAGTACCAAAACGCCAAAACTATTATGGCCGAATGCAAAAAAATGAGTATTCAAGTTTAGGCCCCTGCATATTTTTTTCTTATAATAAATTTTAAAAAAATCAATATAGTGCAAATTAAAGCAGGAAATAAGTTTTTCAAACTCTTTTACATAAACTTATAATAAAACGAAAGCATTTTCGAACTGCTCTATCTAATTTGTTTTTCCTTAAATGAAATGACTTCATAGGCTTGCTTCTAAATTTGTTCTTCAAATTGCATATCACATTATCATTATGGATAAACCTTGAACTGAATTTCTGCGATTGTTAATCGTATAGTGCCATAAAAATATTTTTAAAATCAAAAAAAGGAAGCTGTACAGCTGGATTTAAATTTTTATATTATAAAACCTAACAACAAGTTTGGTTGTTACGTTGTGGCGAACGTTACGACATAATATCAAAGATCTTTTCAAAAAGCATTTAAAACGTTTAGAAGGAAGTTTATGGAAGTACAATACTTGCTCAAAATGCGATGGAAACCTACCCACAGCCGGAATTGTGATATAGACGACTTCTATGTATTAATCATCATTAAATGATCTGAATTTAATTACTTTGTTTTGAACGCGATAATCGTTAGAATCGGCCGTGAAATCAGTGTGTGATTTAAATAAAAATTTCTGTATTATCTAATATAACTACTAATAACTTTAAATAAGTCGACGCTAATTTTGAAATCAACTAAGTCTGTCAATAAGTCAATAAGTTTGGTTGTTATGTTGTGGCGAAAGTTACGACATAATATCAAAGATCTTTCCAAAAAGCATTTAAAACGTTTAGAAGGAAGTTTATGGAAGTACAATACTTGCTCAAAATGCGATGGAAACCTACCCACAGCCGGAATTGTGATATAGACGACTTCTATGTATTAATCATCATTAAATGATCCGAATTTAATTACTTTGTTTTGAACGCGATAATAGTTACAATCAGCCGTGAAATCAGTGTGTGATTTAAATAAAAATTTCTGTATTATCTAATATAACTACTAATAACTTTAAACAAATAAGTCGACGCTAATTTTGAAATCCACTAAGTCTAACGCAATAACAGTAAAAATTTGCTTTTAACTTGCCTACCTACAAAATCTATAAAAGAGCAAACTGCGATCATCCAAGCTGTCTTTTTTGAAATTTAATTGTTTATTAATCTTCCTTCCATCGAGGTAAATAACAAAAAAGTAATTAGGTTTACTGTAACGTAAAAAACCATTGCAGTTCCATTCGTGTTCGAAAGCACTTTCTTCCATTTTAGAAGAAAGTAAACCTGAATGAGTATGTCGTAACAAATAAACAATGAAAAATAAATTATTTCGCTACCTATATTTGACCGCGACATTATACTAATGTGCCTACAATAATTTGTTATGCTAATATAAACAAAATTTCTCGAGACCACGAAGATGCCTTCTGAGAGAAAGTGTAGATGTAATAGAGTTGTTATTTAAGTTTTTCTCTCTTGCGTTTAATTGATATGGTTTGCTATAACGAGAAATGCAATTACGTTAGATTTTTAAATAATCAAACTTAAAATTAGTTAATTAATTCAATAGCCATCGGCCGTGCAGTAATAAAACAAAAACTAGGAAAATCGATACTCTAAAATGAACAAATAGCATTTGCGTACACATGTGCAAATATCCGCATTTTTATGTTGAAAGCTAATAAATTATTCTTTAGCAACAACAAAAATTTACGCTTCATAAACGACGCTCAAATTCCGATTTCGTGAAATATATATATATATATATATATATATATATATATATATATATATATATATATATATATATATATATATATATATATATATATTTCCAATTTCTTATCGCAACACTTCACCAAGTCATCAGACTTAACAGTTGCTTAAAAAAAACCTAGCAAGTTATATTATTATAAACTTTAAAGCAACAACATAGAATAATTTATTATCCGCAATAGATAAAGAAATAAAAATAAATTAAATACAGTTGAGACAGAGGCGAAAGGACCGTTTAATTGAATTATGAATTAAACTATTATGCAAATTTAGTAAACGTTTTAATAGCAAAGCGAAAGGAAAAAAATATTACGATAGAATTGTAACATAAAATATTTCAAAATTTTAGATGTCATCCTAGCAATTTTTAGGAGTTTAAAATATGTGTCACTATAGATACTAGAAATATGGAGGCCTTACCAATACTAAAACTGCAGTCACTTTTGAAGTCATCATAAAAGAAATGTTGAGAATGGATGGATGGATATCCCACCTGTGCGAGCCATTGCAATTGTCTAGTTCAACCAATAAGACTTTGTTTAAAGGATGTAGAGTTAGCAAAACTATTTGCATTGTCATTTTTAATTGAATTAATTAATTTTAATAATTAAATAAATTAATTAAATTAAATTAAATTATATCTCAACATTTGGGTTGGCATTTATCTCAACAGCATCATAATCTTCATTCTTCTTTCATTTCATTCATGACGACCAAAACGTTCACACCGATTTAAAATAAAATCAATGACATTCCAAAGAAATAGTTATTTAACAATAAGACGTGCTCAACAATCAAGATGGTGGCCGACAAGTCAATTAAAAAAAAAAAAGATCCTCCGCAGTTAGGAATGAAAAACCCTATATCTAACGAAACGATTTATTAATGCAAACCTTACACAATCGCGTTAAATACCCGGATAAAACGATTGGTAATAGAATAATCCGCTGAAATTTGTCTAACGGAGGCAAATAATAATTAAACGAACGACTGTGTTTTTGTGTCATTTTTTCGGTCCACTTTTCGCTAAATATGGGGCACAGTTAATTTGTTGGTTTATGCATAATCGTTATAATATACTACCGGTTACAAGCCAAAACAATCTGCCGTGCATTTAATTAATACCGCGAACTGTGCGGTTTAAGTGCAATAATTTTTTTTATAACCTATTTGAAATAGTTGCCAAATATCCTGAAATTAAGCTGATGACACGAAAAATAAACGAGCTGTTTTGTAATCAGGTCATAATGAATTTAGCGTTTTACGTTAGGTATTTACAAAATGCAAATCTTTTTGAGAGATGTTGAAAATTAAAAAAAAGTAAACTGATTTTACATGAATGCAAAGACAAAACAAACTGTTTTACATTAGAATGCTTATTCAAATCTTTATTTCAATTTAATTAATTCTATTTGATATTTACCCTTGCTCAATAGGTTACTTAATAATAATTATCATTAAATTATTTAATGATTTTCGGCGATAACGTATGATGCCTAATAAAATCGAATCACGTTGAAAAACCTTCGAAGGCCAATTCCTGTCTCTCTTTCATCCTTGGCCAATCGAAAAGGAAGGTCAAGTTCAGGTATCCGCGCCGTAATTTCGATTAACAGATCTGGGCGTACAATGGGCTTTCGTTTTCTTCTTAACTTTCTCTGAAATTTCATGTAAGAGGGCCTTGCACTGTGTAGGTTCACACGGTTAAGTGGTGAGTTCCAGGAACAACATTCATTTGACATTTGCGTGAAAGCGGTATATGGGTTCGTAAATCCTTTTCGTGTGTTACTTCCACTTTCTTCATGTCGTTGGTGTAAAGCTTCAGCTTTTTTGTCAGGCACATACTCGTTAATGCTAAACATCGATTCCTTTTAGAATTTAACAAGTTTGACAAAATTATTCAATCATTATATTCGAGAGACTATGGTTCTTAAAATTTTTGACCTATCAGAGGAGACGTCGGATCATGCTTTCGAATTTGAACGTCAAATTTGTTTGTTGACTATTGGTGATTTTGAGGTTTCAAAAGTTTTTTTGAAATAATGAATGAACAGTTAGTTACGGTTTAAATTTAAAGTTAAAATCAATGGAGATAGATTGTGGTCATTTCAACCTAATGCAAATATCTTTACGGGTCGGGTTTTTTTCCGTTACACTGTAAAACGAATAATATTTTTAACTATTCTATGTACAAAACTATTGGTAAATTAGAAATATAACTCATATATCAACTTATCAACGAATAAAAGGCGCATTTTCTCGGTGATTCGTGCTTATTCGTGTCGATTTCCAAGGAATTCTCAAAAGCATCGTTTATGGTTTGTTTGTTGTATTATCCCTAAAAATGTATCAAATTTGTTTAATTAAAGTACTCATAATGTAGTTATTTATTTTACAGTTTAATATTGTTACATTATGGGCCCACACACTAATGATTACATTCTCCCATTTTGCGTGGTTACCAATCATATTTAGGTAACATTTCTCACCCCTTTACCTAAATGTCAATATTTGCATCGCAACAAAGCAAATTTTATGAACGACTTTTGCGGTCTCTTCTAGGTCTGTAGTTTGTATCATCCTAAATTCCGTTTTTATTGTTCTATAGTTCCGTTCTATTGGTTCTATATCGCCACAAGCATGGGAACCAAACCATTCATAAATCTTTGTTTATGCTGGCTGCCAGTTTATACTCATTTTATGAACGAATCATCGTATTTATATTACATATTTGGTAGAGTCTATAGTGTATGGCTTAAGTCATTTAGTATCCCTAATAAAAACATTATCCGCAGATCTATCCCTAACAACTATTTCACAAGATCGTGGATCACTTTTCATCCTCATTTTTTTCGAATTGTCTTGTTACTATGGCGAGCTAGCTGACTCTACTAAAACTAACATAGTAATTGGTGCGCACAGAAAATAATTTGATTTATTACGGCAGTGAATTGAGTGTTTTTAATATAAATGCGTGATTCCGCATATTGTACATCTATTTTACCGTAAAAATAAAAGCAAGAAGTGTTTTTACTACAACTTCAAAGCGTTAAGAACAGGAAACAAATTTCAAATCCACGTTACTGACATAAAATAAATTTGAGTTTTAAAATCATATACTCAATCAATCAATACTCAGATAACGTACTTTCAACACGATTTACTAAACGTTTCATAAATCTCAAGGTAGCTGAAAATTGAAATTCAAAAATTCGTTAAATTTTAAAGGCAAAAGTTATTGATCGAATTCAATGTTCATTTTTTTTAGTTTCATCATAGAAATAACAATTTATGATGTATTAAGTTTAAACCATTTATTGCGACAAAAAAATTATAAATTTATAGATGAATTTTAGAAATGGATTTGACATGATGATGATATGATCATCTAATTAATACAAAAATTTCACTATTAAATTAAAAAGTGAGATCAAACAATACAAGATATAAAAAATCGCAGTTAAAACAGAATCACCCAAATATATTCTTTAAACGTTTATTAAAATGAAACCTGGAGAAAATAGATTTAGCGTTGAAGTAATGATACAACTCAGACGATTTTGATTTTAGATGTTGTATGATAATACCGTTGCCCAATGCGTGACTTTTCTGTAGACATTCTAGTCATTCTAGCTTTCACATCAGATCCCAACCTTGTCAGAAAGTCTGCTATTAATTGCGCGTGGAACCTGTTCCGACGAAAAAACCGCTTGTAATATTTTGTACGTGGGAATCTTATATTTTGTTCAATATTATTTGACATGAAACCTACAAATAGTAACTGCAGAATATTTTCAAAATCGTAACGTAACTGAAAGGTTAACTTTTACGTAATGCGGCAATAAAATATAATTGGAAAAAAATGAGTACAGCGCTGACCATCGACGCTTGGTATTTGAGAGGACGCTTTGCGCACATACATTATTTATTTGTGTTCAAATAAGACATTCACTTAAATAAAAAAAGCAAACAATATTGCGTAGGCCCATCTTATACACAAGTTTGAGTACAAAAATGCTTGGAATAGGTCCTTCAATGTTCCTGAAATTGTCGGGTGTATCATCCGGATTTTGTTACATAAGAGAATATTCCGTATCACGATTTTTGCACCCAAATCAGAAGTGAGCGGCTTTGGCCTGAGGGCAGTGAAAGCGTATTGGAATCATATGAGATGACTCCATAAACTTTATGTATATTTTTGAAATCTTTACTATCATTAGATTTATCGCAAGTTAGTTAGTTAGTTAGATTGGAATTTTAACCTGACTTAGTTTATTACGTTAATTATTATCAATGTTTATTAGCGATTATTTTGATTTTTTTTTCTATAGATCTCTGAAAAATGCACTAAAACCTTGTTTTGCTTATTGCTTCAACTTAAAGTCATGGCCAACTGAGACTATATAACAAAAGAGAAAGAAGAGAGAAGTACTATTGGGTATTTATAAAAAATAAATTGGCAATGAATTCTTATTCAGGAGTACTTAGAACTCAACTATACCAATTTTCATAATGTTTCAATACAGGGTGTTTGAAATATCGTTTGCTTAAGCATTACTCCTGTAGAATGTTTTTTATGGCTAACTGACACAGTTTTTTGAAGCGGAATATCGAGAACTACTTTTAAAGATTTTTCATATTGAAAATGTCAACAGATTCGTGTTCAGGACTACCTAAAAGTAACTAGTTTTTAATGATAAAAAAAATATTGCAAACTTTGCAAATAACGATTATTTCGTATGTGATTGTAAGATCTTACAATTTTTAATTATACAAATTCCAAAAATAATAATAAAAAAGACTTGTCAAGGGACATTTATGTTTCAGTATTATCTTAAAATAAGCATTAATAATCTTATTATTCGAAAGGTATAATGTAAACAAAATTAAAATGTAAATTAGCGAGTGAATTTGACAGTCGAGTATTCGCTTCTCCATGGCAAACTTGATTTTACAAAGGAAACAGTATGCCGACGTCAATCAATTTTAATATTTCTGTTATTTTCATTATTAGATGAGAATTAAAAATTCGAGCACCATCATGGAAATTAGTATAGTTAGGTTTTAAGTAGTCCTGAATAAGAATTCGTTGACACTTACTTCTTAAAGAAATCCCTAACAGCTCTTCTCGATCACATCAAAAATTAGTACCCGTTAGCCATGACTTCTGGTTGATGTAATAAAAACATAAGGTTTTAGTGCGTTTTTAGGAGATCTATCCGATCAAAAAAATATCAAAATCGAACCATAAACAAAGATTTTACTAAGGTGTACAGTTCTTAAGTGGGACACACTGTAGATTTTTAAGAAGTAAAATTTTCAAACTTTTAATTAAAATGACCAGTTTCTTTCTTAGACAAAAGAAAGATTTTTTTCCAAAATAATTAACTTGAGTAAAAATACAGACGTATTACTTTTAGAAGAATGGTATTAGATTATTTATGTTAATTGGGATTGGGTAGTTATTATTGTTACACGTGCAATTATTTATGTCGTAATTACTTTTTCTTTTTCTGTTTTCTTTATTGAATTTTGACATAGTTACTACTTATATATTTTATTTTAAATTTTTGATTACAACTTATAGCAGCTAATCTATATATGTAAAGTGGCCATGTCCGAGCCCCCGGTGAAAATATGTAAAACAAAGTAAATATCTATTCCCTAACATCTATTCAAATACATTCGAATAGCAATATTAATCTAGCGAACACTAGAGAGGACGTAAACTACTGGACCATAGATTCTAAAATTTCAAATTTGCAATTTCAAAAGGAATGTCTCCTAAATTAATTTAAATAATGGTGTTTGGAAATTTTTCGTCGGAATTAAAACAGGCATATACAGGATGGAAACTAAAATCCTTGGAAAAAAATAAAATATAATTCTTACTAAAAACATATCTAATTATTAGAGAAACTTTAATATTTCTAAATGCCTCATTCTAGAGAATCGTAATTTTATAGGCCCTTATAATATCCGATATATTGTAACAGATGGTTTAACATTACAAATCTATGGCAAAAGCCCCTAAGCGTGCGCAAATACACTAGAATTTGTTGTTTTTATTTATAAAAAAAAATGTTTATATACTACTTTATAGCAAATAAGTTAAAAGTTTACAAAAAATAACTTTAAAATCATTGTAAATAAAGAAAACATTTTTTCAAACACAAAATCTTGTCTATAGCACGTTGTAACGGTTCTCTTTGCAAATAGGATGAAACCATTAAATTCAAAACCACTTGAAATATTTAAATATTATATTTCATTCGAACGCAATACCGTCGTTCAATTGACCAACTTTAAAAACACTTAGTTCTCATCTGCGTCTGCGAAAAGCGTTCGGCGTTGCATCAATCGCAGTTGCATATACTTTTTGTTGGCGGTAATAAATTCAGCAAACAATTGATAATTATTCAACTGCCCTCACGAACGGATTTCCTAACAGTAGCGGGAGTAAAATCTTCGAACGTTCCGTTTTCGAAACAGACCCGTTTTAATGGTCAAACCGATTGGGACATAATAATCGATATAATTGGTTGTACTGCCGGATGAAATGCTTGTAATTCCGCTTGTTCCCGATTAACGAGATTTACGGTCACATCCCATACCTTTAGCGTTAATTATCCACGAATTTCAACTTAAGAAAATAATTATATTTTAAGATTTATGGCCCAACTTGTAACCATCTTACTACAAAACATGATGCTTTCCTTTCAGCATTTTCCGGGCCACATAGACAATCAGCAACTATCGCCGCAGCAGCAAGGTCAAATTTTAAGCGATATCCAGCAACATCAGCACCGATTCAATCTTCATCAAACCAGTCCTCCTCGAGTTTTGCCTCAACAATTTAGCAGACACCAACAGATTTTAGCAGACAGCGGATTATTCGGACCAGCCGTATCTCAACAACAAACGTTTCAGCAAGCTGGCAATAGTCAACAAAATATTCCCAGGGCACAAGCTCAAATATCCTCTATCCCGACAACCACTAGCAATCAAAATTTTATTCAGCAGGACTTGACGCATTTGAGACCGGCCCTGCAGCAGAATTCCGTAGTATTTCCTGATAATTCCAGGATCGTTCAGCACCATACGCAAACCAGCTTCACACCGGGGTTCGCGCAACCTCAGGTCAACCCTCTGCCACCAACCCGACCAACTTCGGATCCAGTCGAAGCGATAGAACGTCAAATCAAGCAGTTAGATCCAGAAACAAATAAAGACAGAATAAAGGAACTAAGGGACAAGCAGCAGATCATTAAGAAACATAATGAATTTGTGGAAAGGCAATACGAAAAAGCACTAAATCGAGCCAAGGCCGATCACGAAGAATTTGTACAAGAGCAGAAAGAACAAAGGAAAAAGTTGTACCAGAAATGGTACAAACCGCCTGGCGAAAGGCTGCATTATACCCAATCCGTTCCAAGATATATTTACCCTGAAGAAGCCCCCTTGTTTGAGCAAGCATTAAAACAGTATTATTTAGAACATCCAACGACAACTACCACCACGACTACAACTACAACTACAACACCGAAGCCTAGAAGAAGTACCAAAAGCAGTACCAAAAAAAATGCACAGCCGTCATTTTTACCGACTGTCACTCCATCCAGAAGTTCCAAAGTTCAGTCGATTCAGTCCCTTGATGATCTCGATGTACTTCGAAAGCAATACAAGTCGCAACAAATCAACAGAGATGACCTTCTAGCTCAATTAAGAGCAGCAATCAGCGCTACCAGCGACGAAGACAATAAGAATATATCTTCGAGAGAAATAGCACTCGCAAATGGCAAAAAAGTTCAACTCATTAAAACAAATGACCCTAACCTGATCGCTAATGGTAAGGAGGAAGAAATTACCTTGCCAAATGGAGACAAGGTTATAGCGATTAGAGCAGATAAGAGCTTATTTTCTAAGTCTTCACAGAGTGGGGCGAAAGCCGACGAAGTAATATTGCCCAATGGTCAGAAATTAAAAGTTCTTAATACCCAGAATCCCAATTCATCGAGTGAGGAGATTACTTCAGCTAACAACCAAAACGAGGAATCTATTAAGACCAGTTCCAGTTCAGCAGTACCCTCCTTTAAAGCGCAGGAAATAACTTTACCTAACGGTGAAAAAGTTGAACTCATAAAAACATCTGATCCAAAATTGGTACCTGGGGGAGTACCTATAGAGCCAGGCAGTGATTTGGAGAAACTAGTACTCAGTAAAACCTCCCCTACAACAGTGAAACCTCCCAAGGTCGTTCTTGAAGAGCTAACGAAAAATGTGGTACCCCCAGGATCGGACTTTGAACTTTTGAAAACAGGAGCTAGCGGCAGTCTAGAAAAAATTACTGCTACTAACAATTTGCCAAATCAAAAGAAAGTGACCTTCGTTTTGCTCGAAGAACAAAGCGACGGTACATTAAAAGTTCAAGGCATTAAAGGCAACGATAAAGAAAAACCCGATGTGGACGTAGACTCTATCTTGCGAAAAATTAAAGCAGGTGAGTTAAAGTTGCCGACTCCAAGCTCCATAACGACGACAACCAGGCCCAGTACGGTCAGTCGCAAACCCATTGGTGTGACAGTAACTCCCAATTCGATCGCTTTGCACGAAGATTTTAGTACCGGCGGTACTAGTACGCCAACGTTCCTGACATCTGAGGAAGCTGAAAGTATTCCAGTTTTGAAAACGAATATCGGTACACAATTCGTGTCGTCGCCGTTAGTCGGAGAGACTTATTCTACCACACGCAGTACTACGCCAGCATCGACTTCATCGACGTTCCAAGGAAGTTACACCAAAGTTACCAGACCCTCATCCGCTTCAACCAAATATACCCAAGACCAAACGAAATTGGCATCCGTCGTGACCGCTAGCAAAGACAATTCGTTATTTTCAACATCGCTACTTCCTAAACCTACCGTATCAACGTTACCTCAGTCCACCGTAGTCACTGCTGCTTCTTCAATCACTCCACCGCGGAAAGAAAACAATACGAAATTGCCGGAGCTGACTGAATTATTAAAGAAAAACGGTTTATTCGCAATGGCGAAGTTCTTGAAACAATCCGGTTTGGATACGATTCTGAACGAAACCGGACCTTATACGGTATTCGTACCTACAGATAAAGCTTTTAGGACTCTGCTGGTCCAATTGGGTGGTCCTGAAAGAGCTGAAGAAAAGTTTAAAGAAAATCCGAGGCTATTGAGTGGGGTTCGTATTGATATAGTCAACTTTCTGGTGTATTTTTTTTTATTCGAACTTGCAAATGCAAATATTTTTGGCACATGCCCCTTTAAGGTACTTTTTGCAGCTGCTTCTACATCACGTGATACCAGGTGCCTTCGCCATTTCGTCGTTGCAGGACGAAATGACTGGAGTATCATTGGCTGGAACACAGTTACGGGTTAATCAGTACAATATGCACGATGCAGAATGGAACGACATCAAGGTAATATCTATTTTATCAGATTTTATACAACTTCAAATGATACATTTTCTCGGAAGGGATCAAAAACTTAATCAAAAGTCAGTAGTCCTTTATAACGAATTTCGAATTATAGTAAAAAAATCTGTATATATTCACTCTTAAATTTAGATTTTTGATATAATGATGCACAAGCGAAAATAGATAAATAGGTAAGTGCAGTCTTAAAAATGCTTAAGGTTCGATGATTTACAGTGGAAATTATGTGCACAAATTGCTCAATGAAACTATTTTAATTTCGCCGGTATTTAATTAGCACTTATGAATAAAATTGAAATGCTTGCGGCTTCGTAAAAAACCAAAACTTGATCTTAAAACCGGAACAGTTTTCTTGAGGCAGTTTTAACTTAGACAATTTTTTAAGTAATTTAAATTTTAAATTGAACGCAAATTGTTACGCAAAAACACCGAACACATAAATCGGGTTTTATAAATTTTTATTTTAAATAGACTTTCTGCTTTTTGCATGCGATACTCGCCCGATAACAACCCTCTATTACCAAGTTCCAAGCCGATGCCAAAACACAATAGATTGTAAATTAAATAACTAATTCAAGATGATACGAGCAATGGACGCGCATGTTGTGAATTAATTGCCTACTCAATTGCACTCGTACAAAATTCTGCGACACACTTTTTCTTGCTTGTTAGTTTATTGATAAACGGAGATATTATTTAAGCTACAGGCGTGATGCAGGTGAAAGGAAAACTGCCAAGTTAATTTTGTATGTGAGAGAATCAAGCGGTCGTATCGGAATCTTTTGTTTTTTGTTCGGACAAAGGAAATTATTTGAAGTATACATAAAAAACGCTTAATTAGAAATATTTATTATTATATGCAATTGGCGTTAGAAAGCATTAGTTTTGACCAATACCTTTAGTATTATATTAAATAACACTTGCATTAAGTTCTTTCTCTAATCATTTGAAGAATTTATAGTACTAAAAATATTTTCGTCTTCAAAAAATATTTTATTTATGGGAACTTTTAACCTATACGTTTAGTTTTTGTTGTGTTTCTTAATAAAAAAATACGTCTATTTGTTGAGTGGCCTGATATATTTGTATTAATGTAACAAATACAGTAAGACTATTAGATTCAATTTTATTGCATTCTCTAAACAAATGTAAATAATGTTCGTGCTATTTATTTTACACTGTAGAACTTGTTTCTTTTGTTATTAAGACTAGCCCACAATACAGTAAAAATAAAAATTCCAAAAATAAAAGTATTAGGAAAAAACAATATTATACTTCCTACTGCAAAATACTTCAAAACGTGAGCCACAGGATATTTCAGATACTTAGTCATGATTTTGGGAGCGATTGGATAGTGGTACATCTATCTTGATTCAAAAGAGTAAGCAAAACTATTTCTAAACCCAAAAAAAAAAGAAAACGGGCGAAGCAGTCTTATTGCTTGATTCCTAAATGACATAGCAAAAATAGCGACGTGCAAAAAGTAACTGTTTCTTTGCATTAAAATTGGTGCTTCCTGAATTTGTACTATATTTAGGCGCATAGAATTAAGCAGGCGTTCTAGTCATTACCGCAATAGCACTAAAGGCTAATTTTTCCAACAGTTCTGGCCAGAATACTCTGTTATTAACAATATTATGCAAAAAATGCCACTATATATTATTCGCCAGATAATTTCAACATATGATAGAAGTCCAGGCTTGCTTCATACGATACAGCTATTAGAGTGTAGTTATATCTAAAGTTCATGAGAAAAATAAATTTTGAATGCTTTCAATTCTATTTATGACATTGGGGACTCCATATCATACTGGCAAACTCAAGATGGGACCGCACATAGGCGTTATAGAGTACGACCGACGACATAGGATCTTTAAATTCTGTGGCAACCCTTATAATAAAACCCAAAAGATCGAAAGCTGTAACATTTTTTAATTTACTGAACTTAAGGTAGTAACACTTGTCAATATTTAAAAACAGCCGATTTCCAAGGTCCTCCAGCATATGTTGCAAAAATGAATGTAAGATAAATAGATACAGGTACCGGTATTTTCGAACGTCATCTTTTACATCTTATTCATATTAAAAAATTGAATAACACTAAAATAAACAAATTGACAACTATGCTTCCACCACCAACAAAAGCACCGTCAAAAAATATGTTATCTCGATCGGCGCCTTTGATATCTATGAGCATTGGTTAATTTTTTATTTCGTTAAAGAAAATGGGTACTTTTAGATAACCACAATTAACGGCGCAAGAGTACTAGAAGAGAAGCAAGACATCGACATACCACAAGGAATCGCGCACGCTATTGACAGGGTGATGTTTCCACTTCCCGTGGGAGATCTAGTGCAGACTTTGCAAGCAGACAGAGAGCGACGCTTCACCTCTTTTTTGAGAGCTATATTCGCATCGGGAATGGCTGACATGTTACAGAGTAAGTTAAATTATCGTATCACTCACATATCTATAAACAATATTTTGTTCGAAAAATGAACGAAAAAACCTGGAAATCGATAAAGCATGAAATAATTAAAATTTCAAGTTTTTATTTTATTTTTTAAGGAGTTGACATCTACGCAAGCTTTGATTAGTTTGCTGTTGCATTTCGCTTCCCCAAAAACAATAAACTAACCAGAAATAATAATAATAAAAAATACATTAATTCAATTTTTTACTATTTAAATGAAGCCTAGTTAAAGCTATTCTATTTCCAAATACCTAAATTCAAAAATTAATTCCAAAATATTTTCTAATATTTAATGAACTCGTAAAATATCAAATCTACATTTTCCGAACATTTTCGTCAAACGGAATGTTATTAAAATCATCACAATAATCCCAATTTATAGTGTTTAAAAGAATCTTATGATAAGAGTCAAATCTGAATCAATTTTATTACATTAATTTATTATTTTATTGTGCTTTTTTAGTCAGTTCTTTAAAAAAAATGTATAATTGGAAACACACTGCAACTAAGCACAATAACTCTAGCCAAGTCCTTAAAGTAAAAAATAATATACTGATTATATCAATGATATGAATGAATTCGAAAATACAGTATATATAAAGTACATAACCTTATTTTTTAAACACTCTGTAAACAGTGTAAAAAAATTTGGTTTTCTATTAAACTAACAGTTATACTTAAGTGTCTATTTGCATTGAATGTACCAATTAAAAGTGCTTTAAAACTAGAAATCTTTTTGGTGTAGATATCATAACATTGAAGACATTTTTGAGAAAATTTTTGGTTTATTGGAATTAATTATCTATTAACGCTAAAAAATATTTAGAATAAAAAACGAATGTTGATTATATCAGTATTACAAGCAAAGCACATAGAAGAAAACACATTTAAGTACCTACAGGCACCAAAATTCATAACGTACTTACAGGTACATATTTAAAATTACTTTTCGACGACTTAAATCTCTTAATGTATTTAAAATTCCAAAATTGTATTTGGTTTCACGTATATGAGGCATTTGTAAAAATTACCCTTTACAAATTCTTACAGTATCCTGTGGAAGTTTGAAAATGTTGTGAGAAAAAATAAATTATCAACTATTATGACGGTATAATAAATTTGTTAGGTCTCCAAAACATTTCATAGGACACTCAAGACATGAGCAGAAGAATATATTTAAAAAAAATGTATTAAAAAATCTGATCAACAATTATTTTTTAATTTAAATTGTTCGTAGGTAGCAAAACGTTTACTCTTTTCGCGCCAACTGAAAAAGCCTTTGCGGCTCTCAGCAGTAACGATCTGAGAAACACTGTGGAAGAACCCACCCTAGCAAGGGAATTGGTGCGACGCCACTTAATACCAAACACTTTATACACGAATGGTATGAGGTACTACCAGGTGAAAGACAGCATGCAGGCTGATGCACAAATTACTATCAGTAAACATTCAGGTAAGAAGCTAATCTAGAACGTATTAATAACTTTTTATGCGCGTTATAATTACACCGGCAAAAAATCACACCTCTGATCAGATCTACACGAAGCCAATTTAGAAAAACTTGCTATCGTCATCATCGTCGCCGAAAAAGGTCCGTCTTCTACAATGCGGCGGATGATTCTGCAAACAATCGGGTGAAAGGCGGGAATTTTGTCGTGGCGTAAAATTGCCCGCAGGTCTTTAACGAGGCAATGCGATGGAAAAGCTACTTCTCGGCTTTCTTCTTTGATGTGTGGCACACTCGCCAGCATATCGCGTCGAGTTGCGAATTGTTTAAATTGAAACAAATACCGAAAACAAGAGTTCAGTCACCAGCCTGTGACACAGGTTTTATTTTTTAACACTTCTCCAAATCTAGCGAGAAGGATTCTTGGGACAGGACAAACGCAATAATTTATTAATATAATTGTCTTATTCTTTGCTGCTTATTTTTATATCTGGCCTATAAAGAGCTTTTATGACAGGTGAATAAGGTTAACAACCTTACAACCGGGCTTGCAACGCTTTCCTTCGTGTTTATTCTTCGGATTTTTCTCTTTAATTATTTGTTGCCATTCGATTAGGCAGTAACGTCTTTGGAAGTTTCACGACTTTAATTTATTGTTTCGTTATAAGTGTCTTAACCTTTTTTACCCTCACACCCTCTTCTTCTTATGCACGATAAGTGGACTCCAAATTTCAGTCATCTGTGACGTAGGAAACGTAATTTAAATGTATTCAGTTTTATTATTCAATATTATAATTTATCGTTTAAAAAATATTGTGAACAAAACTAACTGATTTAACAAAATTAAATTTAGAAAACTTTTTATTCAATTTATAGTAACTTAAACTTAACTTAAACGATTACTAATGGTAATTAAGAGCATGATTTTAGCATGTTGCAAGAAAAGTAAAAATCGACTTTTTGAATGTTTCAAATTAGGTGTAAAAAAATTCCTATCCTAAAAATGTGTCTAATATAAAAAAATCCGTCATCAGCCCTTTTCGGACACCCTGTATATTAGAATAATAAAAATCGGTAAGGGTTTTTGTTATCCCTGATAAAATTTGGCCGAATAAAAATTGGCTGCAGCTTGGCCATTATTACAGACAAAAATGAACATTTTTGAATATCTAAGTTATCGAAATCCATCAGAAAATAGACTTTACTCGCACGGTATAGCAAAAATTTCAAATTATCGTTAGGATTAAACTAATTAATTAATTACTCAACTAATATTCTTTTTTTTTTTCATTTTGGACAAGCTGTATATTGACTCTCAGTCTATACCAAATGTCTTATTGTGCCTTTATTATTTGTTCAAAAATATTTTGCACCTAACCTTTTCTTAAATAGACATTTCTCTGTTTGCGTAAGAAGTTTTTGTTTTATATTTCGACGTGCGACAGGCAGATTTCATTTGGCACGTTAAGCTTGGATCACTCGGTATTGTAAAATTTCACTTTTGTCGGCACAACGGCGAGGCGGCATCTCAACCGGAAAAGAGATGCATCATCCGCAAGATGATGACATTGAACTATACTTTCACATATTCGCTTTTTGGGAGATGCTCACTTTCGATCGCATACAATTTCGTAACTGTTACGGTAAAAAATAATGTCTTCACTATTAGAATAAGTAATTGAATTTTATCACTTAACGAACACCAATTTACGTAATTACGATAATTATGTATAACAAATGTCTAGAATTGTAGAACTTATTGGAACCCCTAGGTAATAGGCGTCAATAAAGAAAAGTTGTAGTTATCGTAGTTACAGTTATCGAATAATATTCTTCAAGTATCAATATTTATCTGATCCTATAATAACAGAATTTTTGACTGACTCGCGTAGATAATAACAACGATAATATTACCGTAATTGCTCTTGTGTCTTGCAACGTTTTTAATAAAGTTTCACTGTAGAAAACTGATGTGGCGAATACGTTTATAATTACTGTTGCTGCTTCCTAGAGTGGCCATATAGTTTATATGTATACGTAATCGGTGAACGTTAGTGATCAAAAAGTTCCTTGAAATGTCAAAATTTTCGATGGATTTGACAGCCAATAGCACTCTAAAATCGCGTATGGCGTAATGCAGTAAAGTGAATTTTTCAGGCTTCGTGCTACCTACTAAATTTCAAACTAATTATAAGTAGGCTTGCTGAAAATCACAATACAAAAATTAACGTTTGGATGGTATTATTATTCAATTAAATGTTTTTTTTAAGTTTTGTCGACACGATCATAAAAATGTGTTAATATTTAAATGAATGAGATATGAACATAAGCATGAACAATGAGACAAATTAAACTTTCAAACTTTTACTTGGTATTGTTGACAATCTAAAAACTAACTTACAAAAAGAAAAAAACATGGCATTTTAGAGGACAGTTTAACTCAAGGTTCTTAAATAACTGCATGACATTTTTATTCTTATCCCAGCTAGGGTAATGTTTTTTTACAAATGACTAAAAAAATTATTGCTCAATTTTCGCAATTATTCGCAAGTGCTTAAAATCGCACTTATAATAACTATTATTCTAAATGCTCACAGCATTTAATAAACGACATTATGAAATATGTGAAATAAATATGCATGTATACCTAATTAAGTGATAGTTCTTCCTACTATTGTTTATTACTGGGATTAATAAAGTTTTTCTATTCATGAGAAAACCTTGTCCGTTTTTATTTTTGCCTGGTGTGTAGGTTGTGGTATGCAATTTTTTGCTTGATATTTCATTCAAAATTGAAAGTGGGCAAAAACTATAAAAGTATGACCACAAATGACCCTGACCAAATTGATAACCAGCGTAAACAGTTTTCATCGTTCTTCCCTGTTAAGAGGTAGTGCCTCTTATCAGTCAGCACTAACACCTCAATATTTACTTACCTTCCAAAAAAATGCTGGACGTTGAGACCGATGTTTTTGTGGGTGGTTAAAAAAAAATGGTCTCAGTGTGCGCGTTTTATTTTTTGTTGCAAGCACCAAAGACCACAACACCCATTAAACGTTATACAACGAACGGATGCCAAAGTATCCCGCATAACGCGACAAAAAGTCCTTTTCAGCGAGTAAAAGTCTCATTTTTTTGCGCCTATCGACAAGCCAACAATACCCGTGACGTGAACTGATGCAACCGATTATCCACTTTGACGCGCATAAAATTAAAATGTCGGTCGAAAAAGATTTAACGAGCTTTCGTGAAAGAGAACTAATTATTTCGTTGTTCTCGTTCGATTTATTTAAATAAGTCTGCGTCTTTATGCAAGGATAAAGACACAGAAAAAGTGTCTCATAAGTCATTAAAGCTCTCAATTTCCATGATAAATTGCTGTCAGAGAATGACCTGAGCGGTGGGGTGAAGCTTACTAATTATACCTTTTGTACGATCGATCAAACGCATCCAACGCCTTTGCTGTTAGCATTTGACAAATATCAATTGTACCAAAACTTTGGATAAAATAACATCACGGTCATCTAATAATTTTTAAAAAATGTTATTTTAACGTTCGACTGATTAAGGTCTCGCAAGGCAACCATTTAGACTATGTTTTTTTGTTTTTAGGGAAAATAAAAATAAACAATTTACACATAGCGACGCAGAACATCCCAGCAACCAACGGGGTTATACACGCTATAGATGCCCTGCTATAAAGCGAAGAAAATTCTTGTTATGCAATCGTGTCATATCTGTCAGTTTTGGTTTAATTGTCGTTTTTAAAACAGTGGTTATTGACGAATTACCCGATCATTTTCAAAATTCAACTATAATTGCAAAATTTTTGTTAGTTTGCGCATGTACTTTCCTGTAAATATCTTCTTTTTTCGATTCTTTCCATTTTTCATATTTAAGCGAGTCTGCTTGCAAATTACAACGATATGTAGACACTGAGAGGTATGTTAAAGGCTGACTACAATGCATACAATTCAACTGTAAATTTACTATAGGCAGTTAGGTATTTAATTTAGTTTGTAAGTATTGTAAATTAATAGTTGTTTAAATAAATATAAGCAAAAAAAAGTGCTTATTTGTCCTTAATCCGAAATATATATATATATATATATATATATATATATATATATATATATATATATATATATATATATATATATATATATATATATATATATATATATATATATATATATATATATATATATATATATATATATATATATATATATATATATATATATATATATATATATATATATATATATATATATATATATATATATATATATATATATATATATATATATATATATATATATATATATATATATATATATGACACTATATTCCGGGATATCATCCGTTCGCTCGTTGAACTCCGACTGGAATCCTGCAAATCTTGCATCCGACTGGAATCCTGCAGACGTTTCGCCAAAATCTCACTTGGCATCTTCAATGCTCGCGCTCCGAAAACACTTCGAACACTGTGTTCGAAGTGTTTTCGGAGCGCGAGCATTGAAGATGCCAAGTGAGATTTTGGCGAAACGTCTGCAGGATTCCAGTCGGATGCAAGATTTGCAGGATTCCAGTCGGATGCAGGATTCCAGTCGGAGTTCAACGAGCGAACGGATGATATCCCGGAATATAGTGTCATCACATTTTTCCATCCGTGAATCAATACGTGAGAATATATATATATATATATATATATATATATATATATATATATATATATATATATATATATATATATATGATGACACTATATTCCGGGATATCATCCGTTCGCTCGTTGAACTCCTTCTGGAATCCTGCAAATCCTGCATCCGACTGGTATCCTGCAGACGTTTCGCCAAAATCTCACTTGGCATCTTCAATGCTCGCGCTCCGAAAACACTTCGAACACTGCTGTAAAGATCTCCTTCCCGTAAAGGTGTATGATATTCTCACGTACTGATTCACGGATGGAAAAATGTGATGACACTATATTCCGGGATATCATCCGTTCGCTCGTTGAACTCCGACTGGAATCCTGCATCCGACTGGAATCCTGCAGACGTTTCGCCAAAATCTCACTTGGCATCTTCAATGCTCACGCTCCGAAAACACTTCGAACACACACACACACACACACACACATATATATATATATATATATATATATATATATATATATATATATATATATATATATATATATATATATATATATATATATATATATATATATATATATATATATATATATATATATATATATATATATAGTTTCGATTTCTAACAGCAATTGAAAAATTGTATGAGTACACAGTAACGCGCTTCGGTACTTTTTTTTTAGTTTTTAACTGTACAGATTTCGAAGACTGAAAGGTATATCAGAAGTTGCGATTAACAATGTCGGTGTGAAATTTATTAAAGCTTTTTTTAAATATATTGAGTATCTCCTAAAAATTCAGTTGTAAGTAAAGAATGAAATATAAATTTCCTGAAACTACTCAGGCACTAGGGCTGCACAACTTCAAACACAAGCTACTGGTGAAGGTTTCAAAGATTCAATAGAGAAATTTTCGAAAGTGAAACGTCCCTTAGGCAAGTATGTTTTCTTCACTCTATAAAAAAAAACTATGGCCAGCAAACAAATATGGAGATGATAAGAGTATCGTTTTTTCATTTCTATTATACAAAACAAACCCAAATAATGATATAAACTTTTCTCCCAAAACTACAGTAAGTCCCTTTCAAATTCGAAACAATTGACTAACCAATGAAAAAATTCCATAAAATTGTACAAATGATTTTTTTTTCACTAAGTATATATTGTTGCAAAGCAGGATTTGTTTTGTGCACTGTGTATTTTGTTGATATAGTCGGTACGATTTACGATGGCATAGTCGGTCATAAAACCAAGAGAGAAGGTACCTCAGTATTTTAAATGCTTCCACTCGTATACTAAGAATGGCAAAACCCATCTACGTGCCAGTGTTCTACCTTTGTTTATTACGCCCGACACACTCGAAAGAGATAGCACCAATTATGGGATAATTACAGTAGTTTCTACTGCATGATAAGGTCGCATTTTTGAAAAACTGCTGCCGAGACTCGAACGGCCGTATTTAACTATTATGGATAATGCCCGATATCATTATTAGACTTAGTGAAAGTGTACCAAAGGCATCGACAAGTAAATAAGAAATTATCAATATTGTAAGTGAGGCAAGGCACGATGATACTGCAGATACTGCAGACAGTCACCAAAAGAAAATTGGATCAGTTGTGTAACACATACTGAAAATATGATAAAAGAATACTGGAAAAAAAGACATTTGATATAACGGTACCGCCACCAATGTAGACGGTACGGTACGAATTTTTTTGGTATTGTTTTAATTTTTATTGCATGGATAGAGCTTTCGGATAATAGTTTATTTAACAAATTATCATAATTTTTTCATGTAGATTCACCTCCTTAAATATTCGCATATCATTAAGGAACATCCCGATCTATTATTACACATAAAAAACATGAATCCGTCTGTGAGTATGGGCGTACTAGTTAAATTAATAAATGCCAAGTACAACTGATTCTGTCTATCTTAGTCCCAAGTAATATAATCCTGATCGTTAGAGACAGCATTGATCAGATAGGAAGCAAGATGAACAATCTAGTTTATTCTTTCTGGCATTTTATTGCCGACTATGCCATCACAAATCGTACCGACCATAATGATTGCTTGTGAATTCTAAGGAAACACATCATTAAGGTCGTATAAATAGCATATCTAAGCAGAATGAATATTAGTTAATGTGTTGATGTAAAAGATGACTCCGAAAATTGAAAGACTGAGCGATGAGTCGTCGATGGTAAAGGAAGGCCCTTTCTGGGATGATCAAAATAATGTCCTTTATTTTGTTGATGTGTACGGAAAGTATTTACAAAAGTACGACCCTGTGAAAAATACCTTTGTAAAACTCGCATTCGGTAAGATAAAAATTTTACGAGTATATTCGGTTTCTTTAAATTGAAAACTGTAATTTTAGAGAGTAATATCCACGCAGTAATCCCAGTTAAAGGAAAATCTGATGAGTTCTTCGTACCATTTGATAGCGAATTAGTGGTCGTGAAATGGGACGGACAAAGTTCGAAATATTCTGTCGTTAAAAGCTTATGGAAACTGGATGAAGAACTTAAAGGAAAAGCATCTTTTAATGATGCAAAATGCGACAGGACCGGACGTCTTTGGATAGGTACGACTTACCTATTTACAGGCACATAAAAATGCAGAGCGCTGTACCTCGAGCACTATTTGTCGTTGAGACTGGTGATAACAAAATTTGTTACCAAAGTAGCCAAAAGAAGAGAACGTGGGAAATATTTTTATATTTCCAAAACAGGCGCCATCTTAAAGCAATTTTTATCATTGTATCTTAAAAAGGCTAATAACATTTTTAAAATTTTATGACAACAATAAAGTGATTCTTCGATGTTTTGAGCTAGGAATTAGATATCGAAATATGATTTTCACTAGACTATTAAGTTGATGGCGATTTTCTGGCCACCATCTTGCAACCCTAAAAATATTTTCGACGGTATTGTTTTCTATATTTCGTTATTTTTTGCTCAAACGTATTTTATAACACTGAGTTTGTTGTATCATACACATGCAGGTGTTAATTAATTCAGACTACTTAATTCGGCATAGGCTTTGTCTCATTAGTTTTCTTTTTATGCACTACACATTTCTATTATAATAACTGTAACACTATAGCCGAAGAAAAGCACTGTACAGCGTACAGTACATAGTAAAGTTGTTGCTTCTTTTAGGGACTGCGGATTCCAGCATTACTTCAATAACGCCACCAGATAAACCATTTCGAGAAGGATTCTTTATATCATACGACAAAGGCAAAGTGGTTACTCATCTTACCAATATTGGAGTATCAAACGGAATTGCTTTCGACGATAAATTAAAAAAATTGTACTACAATGATACCATTGATGGCATAGTAATGGGATTCGATTTTGATGAAGCAAGTGGCACACTCAGTACGTAAAATTTCCAATTTTCAATATGATAATGATCGACGTAATTATTGTTCACCATCCCACCACTAATGTTAGGTGGAAGTGAAGTTCATCGGCAAATCATTTTTGCAATTCATGCTGATAAGTTTCTTATCTTAGAAACCTAGAATCAGGCTTTTGACATTATTCGAACAGTCTACACCATATAGCTATCAGATAATATGCGAGCCGCTGAAACTGTAAAACTGATACGCCTCAGCTGAAACATTTTCGTAATAAATGAAATGATCTTGTTCGCATGACCCTAAAGTTTACACACTAACCAGCACTTTGAGTCATTTTCTTTCTTTCACACTCTTAACTCGTTTTATCATGAAAGCGTAGAATTGATTTGCCATGTTGATTGTTGAATTGACAGGTGTGATGACTCGCGCATGCGCGTATTAAATTACTTTTCTTTAAAAGTGGCTGTATATCGGCACAGGCAAGCCCTCTTATTATAGTTTAAGCCAATTATGGCATGTTAGATAGCTGTCAGTTAAAGTGAGGGGTTTCCTAACCTCCTTTACGTTTTCCAAATACAGGGTGTTGAAAAAATATTTTTTTAATAAAAAAAAGTTTTTTTTATTATTAATTGGTAAACATAATAAGGCGTTTTAGTACTTCAGTTTGTATAAATTTTAAACTTTTCAAGAAGATCAGTGATGGGGATCCGAATAGCGAGTACCATAATTTCGCAACAGTGAATGCGGATCTATTCAGCCTTAAATATCTTTAATGCCTAACGCAAAAATTAATTGTAATAAAACGTCTCTTGTATTTTTTTCTATTACTTGCGGTTTTAAAGTAAAGCGTAATTTAGTTGGTAATATCAAAAGGGTCCAATTAACTAATTAAAAACTTTACAATAAACACAAAATACTAAAACCCCTTATTATGTGCACCAAATATCACTGGTATGTCATTTACCACTAACAATAATAACGGTAAAATAACGCATAAAATTTTATTTCGCACCACCCACAAAATTTCGAACCACATTTTCTTCCCAAAATTAGTTGAGAATCCTTTTATGTCAAAAATATTAGGAAACACGTCGTATAAACTTTCATATATGGCATGAAAATGTCATTTTTATTGATAATAACGATTATTGGGTGAACTCTTAAAATCTGTCCATTTGGTTTGAAGTTGAACTAGATACACTTTTCTGAATGTTTGGTTTTTGTTACTTTAGGGATAGATACAAAAACAAATAGGTATTTTTCCGTTTTTAGGCAACAAAGAAATTGTTTTCACTTTTGCCAAACATAAGATCGAGGGATTACCAGACGGAATGACAATCGACGCGGAAGGTAATCTATGGGTTGCCGCCGTAACAGGTGGAAAAATTTTGAAAATTGATCCCCGCAAACGGGAAACTATAGTAGACAGCGTATCGTTGCCTGCGACACAGGTAATAAATTGGAACCTAATAACTAATCTAATAGTGGCATAAGCAGTGAGTGGTTTGCTACTATCGATATCTACTCCCAAGTCAACAGTATCATTTGTCGACAAAATTAGATACCTCTGCTTACCGGTAAATTTCAAAATGATTTAAAAAAAGAATTAATTCTGGAAGCGCGATTACACCATACTCCCAGATATTGAGGTATTTTGGGATTTTTAGTTGTCATATTTCGGATTATGAGGTATCTCAACCATTAGAGTAGACAAATGGACAAAAAAATGAAAGAATGGAAAAAAATCGCTCTTTTTAAAACGTCTTGCTTGGTTAAAAACATGATTCGTATTGTTGCAATTATTGCACAGGGTACCCAAAAATACAAAAAAAATATTAAATTTGCAGTTTTAATAAAAAATGTTAAATAAAGGTATTGTCTTAAAATTTTAAATACCTTACGTTGCAGATTCTCGAGCAAAAATTCGACATTTGAAAATTTCGATTTAAATTTGAAATTTTCCCAATTTTAATAATATTAACGTATGTGTCAAAATCGAAACTACGGGGAAAATTTTAAATTTAAATCAATATTTTAAAGTTTGTTTAAAAGCAGCAAAAAATGCCGTTTGACTCTTCAACAAAATTCAATATTTTTTGAGTACTCTGTACAATAAAACGAACTCTCGGCATTGCGAACCTTATTTTTAAAGCAAGCAAAAAGTTTTATAAAGACTGACTTTGTCTTTCATTTTCTCGTCCACTCTTGGACATACTGTATAGAGGGTATTTTTATTATGCTGTACTATATAACACACTTTAAATATAGTGTCACCAGTGCACCGTTGCCGGCTTTACGCGAAAGCAATGATGTCATTGAAATTGAATTGAAAATCATTGAAATGCAGATTTGAATTATCTAACTATCTAATAGCTATGCACTTGAAAATATGAAATATTAACTCCGCTTGTAGCCCACATCCGTTACATTTGGGGGACCAAACTATGATGAACTTTACGTCACCACTGCAAGATTTCCACTGGAGGGCGTAACACCCGATGCTCCGGAAAACGGCACCTTATACAGGATCACCGGCCTCGGTGTAAAAGGCCTACCCCCAAACAGATTCGTCTATTAATCGTTTGTTAAACTAATTAATATTTTTCATATTTGTACACATATTTTTATTAGTATAGTGCCATATATCTTTTTGAACCTTTTCCAGGAAAGTATCCATCTTAAAACAAACAAAAAACTATTTAGTTTTCTTTTTGTGTGATATTTGGATTAAGTTTAAGTTGATGTTGACTGTAAGAATACAACGTCATCACTTTTACTTACTTTTACCTTTTCTTTTAGTATTTCTTTTCTTTTGTAATTTTACGTTTCTTTATTTTATTTTGTATTAAAAAGTACAAAATATATGTATATATGTGTTTATTAAATACACAAAAACCAAAAAAAATGATATTGGACAATTAATTGTTGAATAGATTTAGAAAAGCTCTCAGTCCAACTATTTACTATTTTCGAAGTGATGATTAGTGTAGTGGCTGCTTTTGGTTAAAGACAACCTGTTTGGTCGTTACCTGAAGGCAGTAGGTAGGTTAAGTTCGCTTTTTGTAGTCCTTGCAATAAAGCCTATTATCATTATTATATCACATAAAGGAAATTTCTTTATTACCAAGATAATTTTCCGTAAAAGATGTTCTTTAAAATAAATTTCAAAAGTGCAAAAATTCTGTACTTGGCTTATCCGACGATGTTGATTAAGAAGTTTAAAATATGTATACGAGAAAGGGTTCTTTTCAACAAATATGAGGGACATCCAGTTTTAAGTGCATAGCTTATGAAGAAAATAAGCAACTTGATCCGTTTAACCATTTTAAATCATAAAGTTTAGGATTTCCTCGTTTAAAAATAAAATGAAAAATGATTGTAGACCTTATTCTAAAGCAGACCCGACAAAACCCATTCAATTCCAACATGCAGTAATAATATTGTAAAGTCAACTGAAAACAAAACACATAATTGAGATTGTTGTTGAGGTTAGACCAAATAGTTCGGGATGACAGGTCGTAAAATATAATCCCAGCTTTTTTTCCCTAGGCTGTAGTGTCTTAATGTCCGTTGTCCTCAAGGGTCAAAAGGGATGAACAATGTTTCGTTTTAATTGTAATTTTTATATCATTTAACATTTTCCAAGAAAATTTAAAAAATTGATTTTATATAATAATAAGTATCAAGTTAGACATTTGCACACATTATAAAAAATATGATATAGAGGGTGACATCCATTAACGCACGGTCCTTATATAGGGGCAAACGATTTATTTGGAGGGCGTCAAAGATTAACTTTTTTTTTCAATACATACATAAAACTCAAACGTGACTTTTCATTAATTAAAGTTTGGGGTGACAAAAGGGTGAAAGACCTTCAAAAACGTACTGCGGCAAATACTGTGTTTTTGACATGCAACAAGTTCACCAAACAATAAAATCTTTGACACCCTGTAACTAGGAAACAAAATCTTTTCGAAGCCATGTTCATATATTTTTTTATTTCACGGTGAGAAATATGCCTCTAAGTTGAGCCCGTGGATTAATAAGTCACCCTGTATACGTACTTAGATAAAAAAGTTCACGATGATGAACTTAGAACAAATAAAGAAAACATCGAAAACGAGACAAATAATTAAAAAAGAAACAAATTTAAGCCCGATGAAGATTAAATTATGGAAATTTAAAAATATAATAAACTCAGATAATTATGAATATCGAAATTTATTTACACAACATTAAATTATCGACGTTCCGTTTTGCACTTAACAGATTTAAAATTTATGTAATTTAAAACGAAAATCCTGGTGGCAAAAAAAAGAACGCCCTATATACTTCACACGTTACAGGCATCCTCTGGGATGAAAGTTGTTTGTGTGCGCTATCGCTAGAGTATCACATACAATGATTTGGTTTTAATACACAGATAACGCATCGAAAATAAATATTTCGAATATATATAAAAGAGGACCCGCCAGACAACGAAGATTAAAGCAGCATCGACAGCAATTTGAAAATGGTTTATAAAATTGAAAGATTAACGGACCAGGTATCGATATTAGGAGAAGCACCGTTTTGGGACGAAGAAAAACAGGTTCTGTATTTCGTCGATATCTACGGGAAATATTTGCAAAAATACGATCCCGCTACAAATGTATTCACCAAAGTAGAGATAGGTAAATCCGCGCAATTGGAAATATTCATGTACGTACAGTAGCGACGTGTTTCAGAGGATTTAGTTCACGCCGTCATTCCTGTGAAAGGAAAACCCGACGAATTTTTCATCCCCCTAAACGAAGAGTTGCAAGTGATAAATTGGGACGGTCAAAGTGCTGAATATTCCGTCGTCAAAAGTCTGTGGAAATTCGACGACAAACTGAAAGGAAAGTCGATTTTCAATGACGCAAAATGCGACCAAACCGGCCGACTCTGGATAGGTATTTGGTTATTTGATTTTTTAAATGTTCATCATCACTTGCACTTGACAGATTACAATCAAATCAAAAATTATCTACGTGCTTAAACCACGGAGTTTTTCATTTGTTAGTACGAAAATATTTTATAATTTACAATATGCTTTGAGTTTTATTATGGGAAAAACGAATCGGACTGTGCAGTTGATGGATCTAGAGAATACGTCATTTCAAGTTAATATAATATTTTGTTCATGGTTATAGCAGCTACGCATCTTTAATTCATTAAAAACTTTTTCTAACATGTTTTCTTAATTTCCACATAAAAAGGAAAGTTTTTGTAGAAATAATTTTAAATAATAAATATGTACAGTGTGTGCGGGGTAACAAAAGATGCCCCTTTCAAAACAATCCTAATGGACTTTTTTTTAATACTTTTAATAACAAAAAAATTTGGCCATTTCAGCTATTTTGTATTTTAAACACCCTGTATCATAATAAAATAATGAAAATGAAATCTTATAGGTCTTCTTTATGTAGAACCCAGTAGCATACTCATATTTTTTGTGTATATATTTCTTATTTGATAGCCCTTTTCATAGGCTATTCAAAAATACGTAATTGTCTAAATATTTTAAACAACATAGAATTCGACATTTTAGAAATATACTTGATTTCTATTTTATTTTTCCTGCAGTTAACATACAATTATTCTTATTATTATTTTATTACAAAAACTACGAATAAAATACAAAACACTGTTAACTTTCAAAAAGTTGCTGACACTGATTTCGAATTATTCTTTGGTTATTTATGAACGTAATTGAGACACACAAGTCAAAGGTATATTTTAAATAAAACAGAATGTATATTTTAGTAATTATATTAATAAAAATATTATATTAAATTATATTAATTCGATTGAGCTTTTTATAAGCTTACTAAAAATGCATAGACAATAAATAATTGTCGTAGTTCATGCCCATATTGCTTTCTGATCAAAGACATACCCAACAGTTTCATAGCCTACTTAATTTGTATACTAACCACGAAAAAATGATAACTATTTTTTGTATTCTGGTATTTGTATCTTTTACGATAACAATACAAAATAAACAAAATAAAAAAATTGGAGTATACAACTGCAAAATCTATAAGATGCCTTTTTCATTATCTCATTGCGATACAGGGTGTTTAAAATACAAAATCTCAAAACTAGGGCTGTTTTAAAAACAGCATCTATTGTTTCACGAAAATCTGCGGTACTGCGAAAATCGTCTCTAATTAATAGTAACGGAAATACCCCACAATAACACGTTTTTACAGAATTCATTATCGAGAGCTACATCAATATATATTTTTTTATATTATGTTATAAAATACAAGATAGGTTTAGAAAAAAAATTGACATGCACAAAAAATTAAATTTAAGGAACCCTGGATTCACGCATTGTCGGTCTACCGGCGCCGAAAGTCGACCAATGGGAAGGATTTTTTATTTCGTACCAGAAGGGAAAAGTAGTGACGCACGCGACCAATATTGGAATCTCAAACGGTATTGCTTTCGACGACGTTTTGAAAAAGTTATACTTCGTAGACACAGCAAGCGGTATAATAGATCAGTTCGATTTCGAGGAAGGAAGTGGCACGTTAGGTAAAAAACAAGTTGTAAAACTTTTACGGTTTTAACGGAATGGTGTAATGACATCTCAAATGACAATCACAATCTACCGTTCGATAAAATGCTAGAAAGGTCAAAAATCGTTTTGGTTGCGCAGGTCAAATCGTTCAACCAAAATATCTTTCTTTAATTTCCTTTTCCATATAAAAAAACGTACGTACGCACTAGTGTGGCTACAGAATGTATACAAGGGGACTTAAAAACTAGTTTCTGTAGCTTAAAATGTGAAAAAATGTCGTACATATATCGTTAAATATCTCCTAAGACAGCAGCTATACCTCCTTGGGCACGACAAAGGAAATTATTCTTTATTAAAATGTTTAAGGCAAAAGTAAAAATTTCCCCAACTTTTTTCTGAGAGAAGAGAGTTTTTTAAATATATAATGCTTCAAGTTTTCAATAGAACCGTAATGAAAACCCATCTGCCCCATAATTGTGTCAAGGGATACTAAAAAAGCTGGGGCAATTTTTAGTTTCACTTTCCTAAATTTGCAACGACAATTTTGAAAAATTATTTTTACCACCTCGTAAAACCTTTAGTGAACGTTTTCCCTCAACAACTTTTTTGCAGATGGCCTTTTCTAAGCTCGCCACTTTAAATAACTATAGCTCCCTTATCAATATTTATTTGTCAGTATATTTTTCCATACATACACTTGTAGAAATAGAATTAAAATTTGGAAGATTAAAACTGCCAACACAAAAAACAAACGAAACCAACTTATCTTTTAGCTAATAGAGAAACTGTTTTCACATTCGACAAACACAAGCTATCTGGATATCCTGACGGCCTAACGATCGACGCAGATGGCAATCTTTGGGTGGCCGCCGTCACTGCTGGAAAAATTTTGAAAATCGATCCCCGAAAACCGGAAACACTCTTGGATACCATTGTTCTACCGGCTATTCAGGTACAATTGAAAAACGTAACCAACAATTATACTGATAAGCAGGGTCATGCCAAATAGGAAAAAATATCCAAAAAATTAATTAGAAATCACAACTTTATTTTGGTTAGTTTTGCTAGCCCGGTTAACATTAACAGTATGTTCAAATTAAATTTGTATGATTACGTTTTTGAGGATTTAGATACTCCTTCGCAGAAGCCTCTAATAGTAACCCTAGTAATGTTTTATGTCAAACTAATTGCAGCCGACTTCGGTTACATTTGGAGGACCCCAGTTGGATGAACTGTATGTTACCACTGCAAGATTTCCAGTAGAAGGAGTGACACCAGAACCACCAGTTAATGGCAGCTTATATAAGATTACCAATTTGGGAGTAAAAGGCTTGCCCTCCAACAAATTCGTTTACTAATTTTGGTACAATGTGTTATAATGTAATAAATGCCACAATGCCTGAATTTTTTTTATTTGTGAAAATTCAGAAAATAAAAAATACAAATTCTGACGCTCTTTTGTTTTCATAAGAACTTTGCAAGTTGAATCTATTGAAATCTGCAAGCATTCGCACTACCTCCTAAACAATAAGTGATGTGACTTAGGAGACTCGTTATTAAAATAAAAAAAAATGTGTTTCAAAAGTATTAGAAATTTCACACTTTTGAAGTTTTTTCCCCTATATAAAGAATATAGATAAACACGGAGGTATTAGTAATATGAAAAATGGACGTGTTATTCATTCTTTGTTATCGCTATCGGTTAACAAGCCTAGAGATAATTTTGAACGATGTATCATGACCTTTTTATCGTGCATAGGTACACTGGATACTGTGTGTATAAACCAGACTCTGCTCTACAGACATATCTAGATAAATTAATACAGAAACAAAAAAATCCATATTAGCAGAGTTTCGCTCCAAAATATTTTGCTTATTATTTGCTTAGAAAAGTTACTTTGAATTGCGCTGAACTCGATGTTGACTGTAAAAGCAAAGCAAATTTTACGATAGAAAAGAACAGCTGGTTGTTTAATTGATTTATTTATTTGGCCGTCAAACAATATTTACATATTTATGTAAAGTAAAATTTATAATAACACAGTTGTTAACAATTTTAATTAAGTTTATACATAAAAAAGTTGCACCATGTGTTTTTTCTTCCATTTAACCAAACATTTTTGTGACTAAATTAATATACTGATCAATATACTGATTTATTTTTTATTTCGAAATAATACAAATTATATTTATACATCTATATTTTATTTATATGTAAACTTTTCAGAACAAACACCGTCTTATTAAAAAAAATAGTTAAAAGAAATTTTTGTTTATTTAAAAATCAGCATTTTAGTTTACCCTCAGTTATGACAAATCAAATTTCATCAACTGATATTACATCAAATAAATAGAGTAAATAAAAAAAATGAAACAATAAGAATATCAATGCCTATACCACTTATGCACGATAAAACGATCTTTTGATTGATAACATCGCGTACCTACTATTCAATACATTCTCTAATCGATTCAGTTACGCCATATACAGTCAACGTTTTAGTTAGTAGTTTTTTTTTTCAAATGGCTCCAGTTATTTCAAGAGTAACCACCGTAACATCTGAATTGGGCGAGGCACCGCACTGGGATGAGGAACACAACTGCCTGTATTTTGTAGATATCCTAGGGAAATATCTCCAAAAGTATAATCACGACACCAATAAAGTAACCAGAGTCCTTATTGGTGAGTAGGGTGACTTTCTGAAATAACTTTTAAAACTTCGTACATTTTGCACTATTTAAATCAACATCCAGAAAACAATACATTTGTGCGTATATACAGCACACTAATCTTTAGATTTATATCAAAAAACGGATGCTCTGCAAGATTGGTGCAAAATCAATCTCGATTGCTATAAACCAAAACTGTTTTATTTAAAGGCTAGGCCACTCTCGAAGTATATCTGTGACAAAGTTTATTTTTTATGGGTAGTCTTTGATTATGATACACTCGAACGCTCCACAACATCAAGATGCAAAAAAGTGCAGTGACCTATGCAGAAACAACTATATTATTTCTGTCCAGTATATTCTTTTAATATAGTTCTTGGCAAGGTAAAGATTGATGAATTCGGTCGGAAAAACTTGGTTTATGTACCGCTGTTAAAAAATATATAATTTATTTAATAAATTACCAACTAAGAATTTTGAAAAATGATTAAACAGTTTAAAAGACGATTTATTATAATTCTTCGAATTTCTGCTAGATAATAGATGTGACGTGTAGCTAATAAATTTATCTCCATACCTTGGAATCCAGTGGTGTCTTCATATTGCATAATAATTAGAAAAATTGCTAATGGACAATCGTAAACTGGAGCACACTAGACTAAATTATTAAAGATACTCAAAACATAATTATTGTTTACTTTCCCACAACTAACTTCACGAACAAATTCGCAGATTGCAATTATGCAAAATTAAAAGAGTTGTAAAAAGAAACTCTCATAGACTTTGCATTTTACCTTAATCACCATTTTCGTAATGGTAAATTCCTCTAGAATAGTTAAATGTACATGGTTGAGAAAGTCATAAAATTTTAAAAAGTCTAATTGTTTTCTCTTAGATGGAGCTCCTAGCATAATCGTCCCAGTTAAAAACCACAAAGATCACTTTGTGATCTCGAAAGACAAAGAACTGCTCGTAGTGAAGTGGGACGACCATCACAGCGATCACGTTCATATTGTGGAAAGGCTGGCGGAATTGGACGAAGATAAAAACCTGCGTTTCAATGACGGCAAATGTGACACGAACGGAAGATTGTGGATTGGTAACAAAAATTTGATTTGCCATAGTCATTTTTTAACTATAAAGTTTGCAGGTAGCATGGATTTAACCAGAAAACCTGGAGTGAGCGTGCCGAAGGAACAAAGACAAGGTAGCCTTATGTCGTTCAAAAAGAAGATGTACACCCATCTCAATAACATCGGGATATCTAACGGAATTGCAATTGATCCTCAACGGGAAAAATTGTATTATATCGACTCGGACGATACGGACGTCCTCGAGTTCGATATTGATATTCAACATGGTGTCTTAAGTAAGTCTTGCCACCCCTGCTATAAAACATCCAATTGCGCACTGAGCAGGCGTGATCACGGTGTCACTTTAAAACGTCAGCGTTATTAAACATTAACTGCATTCTGCTTTCAGCACGTCAAGTTAAAGTATTGATAGCAGATATTATTGTATCTAGCTATAGTGTTATTTGATAATTGGGATGGTGCGACGCATCGTCCGTGAATGTGTGTGCGTGTGTAAGGCATATGTCACCATCAGCGTGTATTTCTTCTTCGTATTCACTAAATGTGATGATTGATTCGTTGTATACCATTTAGCTTAGATAGTTTTGTCATTGCATTAAGTGACGAATGAGCATTGTCAATATTACAAAATATTGTTGTTTCAGGATATCGATTCCAATTATTTCTAAACCCAATATATATAGGATACGCATCTTCTTTTCTTAATTTAATCAACCCCGTAAGCGAGATCAGTGTTCTCTCCAACTTCATCTAGGGCTCACTGTATATTACAGAGTACATTATTTTTAGGTAATCAAAAAGTCATTTTTTCGTTTTCGAATCACAGTGATTTGGTCGGCAAACCTGACGGCATGACCATCGACTCAGATGGAAACTTGTGGATAGCGAACTTTCTAGGTGGAAGAGTTATTAAAATTGATCCCAGATATACGGATAAATTGCTGCAGATAATCGATCTTCCTGCCCAAGTAGTTAGTATATCTCGAAAATACAAGACGATCGAGTGCTTCATCTACTAACGAATTTCATTTTGCAGCCGACGTCCGTTGCTTTTGGTGGCAAGCACTTAAACGAATTATACGTGACGACCGCTAGCTACAATCCGGTAATTCAAGAAAATCTCCCGACACCCGCAAACGGCTCCCTTTACAGGATCACAGGTTTGGGAGTGAAGGGATTACCGGCACCGAAAGTCCCCATATCGCATTTTGTCGCTTTCAATCCGTTGACTGGATATTACTATTACGAATAAACATTCTATTTAGCAATAGCATTTATATTGTTTTTATTATATTTTTATTATAATAATATATATTTTTATAATTTTATAATATTTATAATATTATAATTTATAATATATATTTAATAATATTTGTTTGCAGGGGAAGTAATATAATGACAATTACACTATGGGGTAGATATTAATATACCTAGCAATAACAATGACTAAGAGTTCAAAAAATTAGATGCACTTTTTTTAATTGATTTTTTGACTGATTGATGGATATTTTATTAACGCCGAAGCAAACAAAATAAATACGAATCTAGGATGGTCAAGGTTTTCTTAACATTGATTGAGGTATTCTAAAATTTGAAAAAAAAAACAAATATGTCCCAAAAAGACCTTAAAGAAAGAGAAGTTTATCTTCCATGTCCCCTTCAGAAAACAATCTACAACAAGTTTAAACCTTTAGATGGTGTATTGATTTATCCTATAAGCACTATACTAATTTTTAGTAGTCAAATCAAAGGGAAAGTTTATCTAATTAGTTTATAAACTACTAAGTGTCGTACTAGAAGTACAGAGTATAAAAACCACACAGGAGTTAGAGACGACATTTCAATATCTGCAACCATGTTTCTGCCTCATTTAGGTATAACTTTTCACTTTCAACAAATTTGTTTTAACGTAGAAGATAATGAACCATGTTAAAGCGTCAAGGTCAAAACCGTTAAGATAATTTCCCACCACTAAAAAGTTATTGACAAGACCTTCTGATTGAACCGGTATCGTGAGGAGCGGTGTTATTTATAAACTGACGTTTGTCGAAATGGCTCCCAAAGTAGAGAGAATCCCTGAAATCCCGAACGTAGAACTCGGCGAAGGTCCCCACTGGGACGAAAAATCTCAATCGCTCTATTTTGTTGATATTTTAGGAAATACTATACACAAGTACCATCCGGCAACTAAAAAACACACCCAGGCTAACATAGGTAAGTAGTATCGGTAATCGGTCTACATATTTTCTACATGTATTTTTATCGTATATGTTTGATTACTTGTTATGGATTTTTGTTGTTAAAGTTTTTGGCACTTATAAATAAACGTTCTATCTGTGTTTTGTTCGATAATAAATAATTTTTATATTTATTAAATTGTTGATAACAGATCATACAAAAAAGGTTCTTTGGTACTAAGATTTTTTGTCATATTATTGTTCACCCTATGCACCAAACATTTTCATTTGTTTAACTAGACTAGGAACTAACTTAAAATTTACACTAAAAGTAGATATTTATCAGAAGTCACATCTCGTACAATGTTGCAAGCTAAATTTAATAATAACATTTCATAACAGGAAGTAACAACATAACATCGCGTAAAACCAAGTATCCAAAAGTTAAAGTTCAGAAAGTAATTGTACGTATACCGATTTTATCGACTCGCAAGTTGTAACTGCAAAATCTGAACTCTGCTTCGCAAGACCAATTTACTTAAAAAACATGTTACTATCGAAACCATAATTTATTTTAAGGTAACAACTACTATTGTTGGAGCAAACAAATGATGTAGAATCCTAAAATAAAGAATTTAATAGAAAAAAAAATGAATTTGAAGGATACGTTCAATATTTTTTTATTATAGGTCAATCATACCTTTTTTATTTTGGGGTTATAGAAAATTATATGCGCCATATGCATGGTGGTGAAGAAAATGCGGAAAATCTCTGAGATTCGGATAGAATACAAAAAAAAATAGCATCATAATTTTTTCTTCCTGCAGGCGATACGAGCGCTTTAGGAACGCCGTTGTTTTGTAGTTTTGGTTGAGAGTACTCTACATAATTTAATTACAATGTGACCGCCGAGTATCCCTTTAAAATATTATCCGTTTGTTCAGTTAATCAGGGCTAGAGCAAGTTGTACAATTATGCGCATAATTTTTTAACATCATGTGTGATAAAAACCAAAAGAAAATATTTTTGGGAATCTTGGGTCACTAGGAAAGTATGCTAAAAAAAATAAAGGATATAATTTATCATTTTTAAATTTTTTTTTATTTATTTAATTTAGAGACTCATTTCCCGGTAGAAAGAAAAATAACCATAGTCTCTTTTTCTGTGTTTTACCTAATTTCCATAATTTTGCCGTGCTAAACAACTAAAAATTATGGCACGTTTTTAGGAGCACCGGTTTCGATAATAATTCCCGTACAGGGCGAGAAAGATCGATTCCTCATTAGCATCGGTCGAGAAATTGCTTTGGTGACGTGGGACGGAATTAGCGACCAAATATCGAACATCCAAAAAATTGCCGAAGGTGATCCAGGGACCAACAACAGATTTAATGACGGGAAATGTGACCCATCTGGCAGGTTATGGGTGGGTAAGGAGTAATTTACAGAAGTTTTCGTTATTCTTTCATTTGCAATAAAATTTCAATGACTTTCAAACTTAACATTCTCCCATGGGTCAGCTATCTGATAAACGTCCACGTCCGAAAACTGGAATCTGTGGGGGATCGTGGATCGACATAACATCTGCTGACACCATCAAATCCCACAATAATATTCGTGTATAAAATTACGAGAAAACAAAAAACATACAACATATTAAAGCAGATTAAAATAGTTAAGTTAATAGCTCTAACCAATTTTAGCCAATCTTAACAACTCCAATTTTAGCTTCACATGGAACCTTCTAAAATTACTTTTGATTTATATATATATATATATATATATATATATATATATATATATATATATATATATATATATATATATATATATATATATATATATATATATATATATATATATATATATATATATATATATATATATATATATACTGGTTAAAGTTGACAATCTTACTAATTAATTACACTTGCATTTTCCTACGATCGTTTTCAATAAGATAATATAAAAATCTCGCCAAAATAGCCAAATTTCGCTAAATGCAACAAACTAAACAGTAGACTCATTGAAACGAAACACAAAAAATAAATGCATAATAAAAACTGCCCTTATTTATAAATTTGCTTGTATTTTAGGCACTATGGGCCCGGAACCAGAAAACGGTCACGTACAACCAGAACGAGGTTCTCTATATTCCGTTAAAGGAAACGAAATTAAAAAACACTTCTCGAACATTGGAATCTCGAATGGCTTGGCGTGGAACCTTTCCCTTAAAAAAATGTACTATATCGATTCGTTCAAAGGTACGGTCGACCAGTTCGACTTTGACATTGAAACTGGATCAATCGGTAAGGAATGAATGAAACATAAACAAACATGGCATCACAAGTAAATAAATGCCAAAGCACTACAATCGACGTTAATTTCGGAAAATGTTCGAACCTCACCATTTTCTTTTCGGAGGTAGAGCTAAGAGCAACCAACAAAAAGATTTGAATTTGCTTCAAAACAGTTACTCCATCTTTGGTTAGTACAAGAAACTCATAATGACAATTACGCCCCCGGGAGACCATTTCACAGCATTTTATTTTGTTGGATGAGTTGATTGATTGACCCTTACTAGGACACTCGGTAAAAGATGCAAAAAAATATACAGGGTGTTATTGAAATGAGATTACAATTAATTTTTAATAGGAACATCGCTAATCTCATAAATTCGAATTCCAAAAAAAAAATGTTCTTCCAGTATTAGATTTAGGCACCAATAGTTTAATACATCTAATTTACTTTGGGTGCGAAACGACAAAGATCGCTAATATTATAAATTCAAACTGCAAAAAATAGCCAAAGAAAGTGACTTACCAGTGCAACAACTACTTCTTCTTTCAGCGCCACACTCGCGAATTCACTATTTTCAAACCCAATTTCGAATTCTTTGGCAATTTGCAATAAGAAAAAAACTGAAAACAAACGCCATCTAAATAATTATTTATCGAGTGGTGTCGACCTGGGCATGCGCGTAAGTTAACTGCGATGCTCACCAAATGGCGGTATCTTAAGGATCGTCTCTGTTTTAATTTACTTGATAATGATTGATCTTTTAGAACGTAGATGGCGCTTAAAATTAAACCGCACCTTTTCACTGGCATCTTAACAGTAGTTTTAAATTTAATTACGCCGTATTAATGGTCTCCTGTTACTAAGATTGAATTAAATTGTAATATTTTAACGACCTGACCAAAGATCGTGTAATTTTATTTATTAGACAGATTTAAGCCTAACTGAACTAACCAAAACTGACGGTTTCAAGAGATATGTAATTAGGCCCAATTTATTTGACACGAGCGGAGCGAGTATTTAATAAACGACTTAAAAAGTTTACCGAACGTGTTGCATATTATAGTTTTTCTACGACCGTGAGTTTTTGGCTACATTTTCGCAAAACAAGACGAATACATTCACTGACATGAGCGTCAGAATTGACAAACTTTAAAATTCAAAACGTTGCAAATATCTCCAAAAACATGCGATTGCTCCCAAACCCGTTCGGTAAAATCCCGAAATGTCCGAAGTGGCTCAGATCCGTGCTAAACGAAACTGACGTGGTAAAGTGACGCTTCCGGTACGCTAGATCGGTGTGTAATTAAGTAGTTTACAGACGGAAGTAGAAAAACAAGATATGCTGATATTATAGCAGCACTTTTTACAACTCCCCGATGGAATTTTATAATGTATTCATACCAAATATCGCTTACAGTTGTATAACACAATTATAACACATTGCACTATAAACACTGTAACAAATGTTCGTTTATATAATAAGCATAAACGGTCTTGTTCGTGAATTACCAAAACCATGTACCTCGTAGGGAGAATAATAGTATAAATAGATTTTGCAGCGTATTTATCTAAATTAACATGAAATGTTTTGCCGCAAACATTTAATATCATTAAATTTGGCAATACTGGGTTATGTGATACGCATCACGATTGTCAGTCTAGCAGTAGTTGGAGTCAGACTCGTCCCGTTAGGCCGCAGAAGGATACAAAAAAATATTTTTTTTATCCGCCTTGGACCCAACAAAATATCGATTCAGCATTATGGTGGGGTCCACGGTCACTAAATAAATTATATGCTGTCAATTAAGTAACATCCTGTATACATGTGTTGCCTAGTTTACTGGGACGAATGACAAAAGGACACTACTTGTAACAAAAATAATTATTTAAAAAAAAAGCAAGTTTCATCATCAAACATTTAATGAAGACACGGTGTTGTCGAAACAATTGTCATGTCAAAATATATAATTTCATGAAAATCTGAACTTTTAGTTCTTATTTATTTTGGGCAATATTTGGAGACTTGAGTTCTTCTATCCTTTTCGGCAACTATCAGGGGCGAGAATTTTAGACATTTTCATGCCCCTTCGGCATCAAAAGGAAAAACATAACCTCCTGCATATTTTTAAGAGTTTGCTGTAATCATCCTTCAAAATAATCGATTTTTTGGAGCAATTTCTTCGATGCTAGATTATAGATTATTATTAGATTATAGATCGTTTTTAAGGAAACATTCTTATCTTCAACTCCAAATTAGGCCCTTATCAATTTTGTAATTGTCACTTCTTTATAACAGCTAACAGAACATCAATTTTCACCTTGGACAAGCACGGATTGGCGTCCGGTACCAATCTAAAGACAAACGTTGCCCCCGATGGGATGACAATTGATACTGATGGTAATCTTTGGGTAGCCGTATTCAACAGTAATTCCGTGTTGAAAATCGATCCGAGGACGCCCGAAACTTTGCTTGAGACTGTCAAAATTCCTGCGAAATAGGTATGGAAAATAAGTACTAGAGAGTTGCCCTTAATTTTTACAACGAATAAGATCGTAACAAAGAAATTGAGCGGTTGGGAGCTATTTTTACATTCTGCAAAAGAAATAAAACTCAGCTTGATGCGGTTATAGTACGTTAAAGGATAGCAAAGAACCTTACAAAAATTTGACGCTGACTTTTCAGCAGGACAATGCTATAATATGCATAGTGTGTCCGATAATGTAAAATAGATAGCTCTTAAATCTCCCAAACTTTCTCTTATTTCATTCTTAAGAAAGTTATAACAGAAATAGGCTGTGGTAAGACACCCTGTATAGTTATGAAATGTATATTTAATTAATTAATTAATAGATTCGAGTCGATGTTCATAAATGGAACGATCAAATAAGCAATAACCATTACTAATAGTTTTTCTCTGACGCAAACTATAGCTGCGCTTATAGCAGTTACTTCCCTTCAAGACGTTATCACTGTTATGTGTTATCTACGTAGGTGACATCTGTAGCATTCGGAGGTACTAACTTGGATGAACTATATGTGACAACGGCCAAATTCACTGTCGACGGGGTGGTGCTCCCACCACCGGATCACGGAGCGGTATACAGAATCAAGGAACTGGGAGTCAAAGGACACGCAGCAGATGAATTCGTGTTGTGAAGAACGCATTTTCCCTTAAATAAATATAAATAAAGATATAATACAAACGCATTGTCTTTTCCAATACTCTTGTTCCGGTATCATGATCATGTAAAAAAACAAAAACGAATGGGGGATAAAAATAGGCAAATTAAAGATCCCAACCAACGGTAAGGTATGCACTAAACATTATGAATGGCGAACCGAAAGGTTACCACGCTTTGAACCTACATGTGAAAATGATTTAGTGATTCTAGTCGATAACGTATTATTTGGATGTCGCTAGAATTCGACGATCTGGCTACTAGATATATAGATCTTGTCGACACTAACAGCAAAATGTTCAGAAGGGACATCCGAATCAATGGGCTTATACAGCCGAATACAACTGTTAAGTGATGCATCAGCAATATCAGCTAGATTTGTTTGATTAAGTACAACTATGACAGCGTGCTAGATTAATTATTTGTTGCCTGACAAGGTTATCACAAAATTACCGAACAAAGAAAGTAAAATGGCGATTTTATTAAACAAATTTTGCCTTTTTTTAAAGTTTGATGTCCTGAGACTTCAAATTTGATGTATGCATTGAAGATTATTTTTACAAAAATATCGTAATAATCTCTGAGGTGCAATAATTTAACGGTATTTACGACCACTATAATATTTAATATCTATAGCGGTTTGACAGGTAAAGAACCAGGATCCGAGCTTTAATAACACGGAATAGAACCCTAAGTTTTAGTCAGTTTTGGTTTGGATCCATCCTATTGCTGATATACGTACATACTTTTCCGCACTCTTTTTACGATGGCCGCAAGATAGGGGTAGATAAGAATAAATGGTATTCCTAAACTATCGACGATCTTCGGTGTCTATATGAATTTTTAAATATGCCAAAATTTAACTCCCGAACAATGTTAGGTTCGAATAAAAATTTGCGACTTAGTTTTTTACAAACTGATCAATTGGGCGCTTTGAATATACAGTATGCCTCTGGCAAATGTTATGTTTTAAGACAACATAACGTTTTTGTTGTTTTGGTGTCATACCAAAATCAGATTAGGGAAAACCGAAATATTTTGGTATTGACAACATAGAACGAAACCAACTAAAATACTAATTGTGGTATACATTCTCAAAAGCGAAAGAAAAAAAAATTATAACCTAGTAAAATATTAACCGTTTTCAACATTATACAATTCAGCGAGCTTACAATATTACAGAATTATTCTAACTTAAGTATTTTTTTTTAACAAGGCTTTTAAGCAGAGGCAGTTTCTCAAGCAAATTATGGCTATCCAGGAAGTCCTATTTATAGGACCCTCAATGCCTCCTTCATTCCGACAGGACTTATATATCTAACTTATTGGATCTTTTTTTTCACTGGCCAGCATCAACTCCACAACATTTCAAACTGATAAAGTTTTGTTGATCTCTGTCGTTAGTATTTGAACCTTTAACCTCGAGCATTATATAACTTTATATAACTGTCTCTTCCATAATTTAAAACAAATCACTTCACTTATATGCACAAAAACACCAACAACAGACTCTATACAATATACCAATGTTTTAAGCTGATAATGAATAGAACAAAAATGAAATGGAATTTGGGGTAAAAAAATGGATTTATTAATTTTCTATAAAATTACATTGGAGATTCTGGAACCCTAAATAGTTCCCCTGTTTGGCAGATCTTTAACTTTATATATCCTTACTAACCAATGTTCAGTAGTATATGCTTCTTCCAACACATCTAATTCAAAATCTTTGTTACCGATTTCCGCTCCCCGAACTCGATCATAACCGGGAGGTTTACCACCTGAAATTTATTGTGACCTTTTTATTAATAAATTTTTAATTATAATTAAAATTAAAATTATTCGGGTTTCCCCAAACTATTTTGCTTTTCAACTTATTCGGGCAAAGTTGTTTTCAATCCAACCAGCCTGAATGGCCAGTTTTTGCGCCATACGTCACAATAGTCAAAATCACCTGTCTGTACTTAACTTAAACAACGTTCTGAAGTTAACCATATTTTTAAAAATAGCTGATTACCAGTCTGGTTAACCAAATATTTTTGACATTAAATCATGTGGATCCAAATGCTATATCTAAAAGTTACCTTCAGTATAAACCTGTCCAAATCTATAGTAGCACATTTTATACATTAAGCAATTGAGCAACGTTTGAGATCCCTCCTTGTCAACTCTGAATTCTCCACTAGGTGAATAATAATCCCACTCCTTAATATGAGCTCCACGGTCTGTGCTTCCACCTGACAAATGTGTCCAAAATCAATCAAAAATCAGTGAAAATACAACTTTAACCTTAATAAATACAATAAATTAGAACACTTTTAGTTCGACCAAATAAATATTATTATTAAGGAAGAACTGCCCATTCTGACTAAATTTAAAGGTATTCCTATATTAATTTAAAATGAATAAAACTTTTTTGTGACCTCTGTACCTAGGTGGGGTTTTATTAATTACCAAGAAAGTAATAAAAAAAAAAGATAACAGAATTACCGATTCGAACCATCCATAAGAACTTGTTGATATCATCGGACGAATAACCAGTGAGTCCTCCAAAAATAACCAGTACATAGTCCACATCAAGCTCCCTCATTATCTCCAGTGCTTTTTCCTCAGAACTGGCCATAGCTTGTCCCACTCTACTTATATGTGTGTTATTCCAAGTATTATTGTCAACCAGTACAGTTCTATTCGCCATTGCTGTGATTTGATAACCATAATCCCACCATGACATAATACGCGCATCTACGGGAGTATTAGCTCTCAACCATCCATATGCTTCCCGAAAATCATCAAATATGATTCTCCCTCCATCATGTGCTCTAGCACTAAGTACAATTGATGGCGAAGAGTAAGCTTCAGAAGTGACCCAGGTGCAATGCAAAGTATAGGAACAAAGAAGTATTATGGAGAGAACTGCAAATACAGAAGCGGTAGCGCCACTTTGAGCTGGAATTTGGGCGGCTTTTCTTTTCTTCTGTTCAGGTACTAACGATATTGTAACTGCACCCATGAAACGTGCCAGAAGGTGGCTGAGAGCAACTCCTGCAAGAATACAAGCAGCGGGTGCTAATACCAGCATCAATCGTACCATTACTCCCGCAAAATAAACGCTACTGGCGCCATAGAGAATTAGAAATATATTAGTGTCGGTTAACCTTTTAAAGCAGAAGTATAGTCCTGCTGGGAACAGAAACACCAAAATTTGTAAATCAAAATAAAATGAACTCCATGAAGTTGGCTGATGTTCTGAAACACTAGCAATAATCGGAATGTGATTCTTCGCATATGAAGGATCAAGTAGAGAATAAAATCGTCCCGTCCATGGGGCTATGCGCCCTGAGAGAGCTAGAGCTCCTGCACCTATAGTTAATATGGCTCCCAATGTGTACATTAAAAATGCAAAGAGAGTCTCAAATTCTTCAATGGTTAGTTTACTTCGTAAATAATCGGTAAATGCCACAATCTGACAAAGTCCAAATACACCTAATGCCAACATATGCTCAGAACTTTGAACAGGCTGGAAGCCAACAAATGAAATCTGCATTGAAAGAATTGTTCCTATACAATATAATGTGCTATATGCAACATAAATTCTGTGGGAAAATCGACCTGTTATCATTAATACCAAAACATGAAGAGGAATTAAGTTAATAAGGAAAACATAACCTCCCCAAGAAGAGACCTGAAATTTGAGCACTGGTAATAAATTATTCACAAGCAAATAATTGATAACACACCATATAAAAATACGCAAGAGCAGCAAGTGCTCCCCACAAAATCACACCCGTTTTACATGCTTTAATCCAAGCATAATAAGTTAACAGCATACAAAATATTGCAATTCCTTCATTGTCATAACTACCAGCCACAGAACGGCTAATGTAGCCTGGAACAATTGCCACAAAGGAAGCTGCTGTAAGACCTGCCCCTTTACTGAAAACCTAGAATCAAGAAGCAGAAAGGTATATACTTTGTAAAAACTCTAGTTCATAATTAAAAATAACAAATCCTTCCCTAATTTTTACAATAGCATCAGCACAATAGCCCAATCTATTTTACTACCTTTAACACTTATTGTAATTCCTATTATTCCTATTATTAGTGTTCCCCCACCCATCAGGAGTTACTTGGTTATATTACAGTTGATATTTTGTCTCTAGTAAATCAGTGATAAAATTTATATATTCCTGGTGCTTGAACTTACCTCTTTTGTTAATAAATATGTAATTAATGTAGTTAGAGATGAAAACAAGGGAGCCACAAATACACATACATTTCTTATGTCAATATCAATGTGTAAAAACTGGCAAAGTCGATATAGTGTAGCAGAGGTAATCATTAGACCTGGATAAATAGTACCTGAAAAAAGAATATTGACCACAATGTCTACAAATAAGAGCAATTTGTTACCTCCAATAATGCGTCCTAAAGGATACCATGCTCGATCGTCAAACCAATTATGGAATGCATAAAAGCCTTGTTCAGCCAAGTATTTAGTAGTACGATAATTGAAGTAAGGATCAAATTCATGAATTACACTTTCAAATCTTAACACCGAAAATAATCGCGTGGCGAACGCTAACGTAAAAAAACAGTAAACAATTTCCTAAATTTAAAAGCATACTTGATTAATCCAATTTACTTACATAAAATTGCAGCCAAAGTTAGAATAGATATTGTAAGCAATGTTTCTTGCTTCTGAAGATCCTGATAGTTGATAGAGGCCTTTTTGCCGAATCCCAGCATTTTTCTCACCTAATAATAAAGTTACAACCAACGAAAAATAAATTTCAGATATCTTCTTCGCCTACAGTTTAGCTACATTCGAGAACATATTTTGCTTCACGGATTAAAGCTATTTCTTCATTTCTTTTACAGCCAACAATACTTGGAATAACCAAAAAACATGTTACTGTTACCGCCGCGTCAATACATCAATGCTCACCTGAAGTTAGGAACAAATTTATATAAAGACTTTGGGCAGGATTACTGTGATCATTCCCCCAACCGTGGATAACAAAATTATTAATTTTTTATTTTTACATTAGATTACATCTAATTAACTATTAAATATTAATTATAAAATAAAAATAATAAGCTTTAAGTTAGTTCTTCTTTTTTACTTCTATGGCCACAACGTTCCAGTTAGTTTTAGATTTTCTAACGAGGTAAGCAAAAAATGTTTTTCGATGTCAAGGATAGTAAACTAAGAAAACTTCTTTTTATATACTTATAATATGATAAAATCATGAAACAAAAGCATAAAGTTCATTACAATCTTCGTGGTTTAAACAATCTGTGAATAACAGCTCAATGTACATTTTTTTGTAGTGGTAAAGAGTTATAGGTATTAAAATAAACAGAATGTGGAATACTATATTAACAATTTGAATACAAATATGTAAGACATATTTCACAATCAACTTAACCTTTAGTTTTGGATATAACGGCAGACTGTTGATGCTTACTTCCAGACAATACAACGAAGGGCGATTGTGTCTCTTTTTGCTTAGCCTGAAGCATATTTAAAGTACCCAAGGGAGTATCAGTAGAACTCATTTTCTTCATCAACTGTTCTTGCACATTTTTCTTTATTCTCTTTTCTATTTTATTTTTACCTGGTCCTTTTCCATGAAATTTGTGTGATAAATATCGAAAAGCTTCCTTGGAGTTCAAAATGTGCCCTTCATCATCAATATATTCAAGCTTAACATTAGGCTTAAACCCATCTTTCTCCCTAAAGTCCATAATGGGCCCTGAATACCTTTCCCTACCTCGTCCTCTTTCATTGTCTTCACCATAAGTTTTATCTTCTATGGAATAATGTTGGGCTTGTAAATGAGCCAACCGTGAATTACTTGGTCGATTTGATTCTTCCTTATCTAGATATCCTTTGCTCATGGCTAATTTCAATGCAGCGCCTACTCCAGTACTAACATCAGGTTCCTCGTCCAAAATAGGGATCTCTTGGGAAATAATTTGGCTAGAATCAATGCCCTGATTTGTAGGATCAATTGAATTCCAACCTGAAGGTTCAATAATTTCACACTCGTCATCACTTTTATCATCTGTTAACTCCTTTTCAAAGTCTACCATATCCTCATCTTCATCTCTGTTTCCTGATTTGCCATATGTAGGTATATCACCCAACGTTCTACAAAATTCTGCTGTCGCATTCAGAACTATGTTCCCACTATCTACAACTTCTTCCTCTGCTTCTTCTTTGATTTCTGTTTTCAAAAAGTCAGCTCTAACACTTTGCTTCTGTCTAATTTTTCTAGCTTTATGTAATGCTTTTTCCAGAATGTCATCTTTATCATCTTCAATTTTTATATTCACTGGGATATTTATGGCAGGTGTGTCATCAATACTTATATCAGGTTCATCAGTTGGTGTCCTATACTTTGTTCTTCTGGACCCTATAGCTTCTATACCAGTATGTTGGGGAGGCAACAATTCTTCAGCTGTTAATTTGCCCTTGCTCCTAATTTTTCTGACTTTTTTCTTTGGTTTCTTAAATTTTGTCAATTCTTCCTCATTATAATACTCAGACATTGGTTTCATATAAGTTTCCCCAATGCTTTCCAGCTTTGTCTTAGTGAGTTTCTCTTTAATTGAGTTTTGTATGGCTTGTTTTTTTGCAACAACATTATCCACTCCAATTCTGAAACTATCTCTCTTTTCACCATCAATTTCTTCATCATATTTAGATAACAGAGATTTTTCTTTTAGATTACCAAACTCATCATACTGTTGATCTTCATATGGATTGTACAGAATTTTCTTTTTCTTTAGATCAACATTTTTTTTATACTTTTCATTTTCAACCATATTTACATTCATTAATATATCTTCTTCATCTTCTAATACACCCTTGTCTTTCAATGTTAAAATTACATCTCTTTCATCTGCAAAACTATCCACATCATGTTCAACTCTCAAACCTTTCAAATCTTTGTTGGTATACTGAGTCTGTTTCCTTTCCCGTTGTTCTGTTTCAACAATTTCACTTATTCCAAATTGCGCATCTAGTTCTTCAAGCATTTTAGCTCGTTTTTCTGCTTCCTTTTTTGCAGTTTCAATTTTTCTGTTTTTGTCAACCCATTTACTAACATCATCCTCACTATCACTTTCACCTAAAGTTTTCACTTTAGATAGCTTTGTTTGCTGGAGGCGTTTCTCTTTGTGCTCTGCTAACTTTGCTCGTAACTTTTCTTGTTCAGCTTTAGCTGCCCAGTTTTCAGCAGGCTTATGATAAAATTCACCCAAGTCATCCTTTATTTTGCCATCATTCTTTGACTTGGAACTTGTAGTAGTTCCGACCTCTAAAGGTTTAAGACCTAAAGTGGCTCTGAGTTGATTTGTTTCCTCAATTGACAAGCTATCTGCACCCTGACCTGTAGATAATTCTTTTGTAGTTTTATGACTGCCAACATCGCGAGTAGATTCTTTAGATTCTCGACGTGGTTCATCAGATATTGGTATAATCTCAACAACATCAGAATCATCGCTTTCATAATCCTGTTTACTTGATCTTTCCCTTTTTTTCTCTTTATGATGTTTGTGTTTACGTTTATGTCTCTTATCACGAAAAGACCCATGTTCCTCTTCTACTGGACTGCGATGCCGCCGTTTTCGGGATGCCTCTTTCTCCTTTTCCTTTTTGTTTTTGGTACTGGAACCCATTACAACTTGTATAGATTAAAAGAACACGGCCCAGGATATGTCAGTAAATAAAAGACACCTACTTGTAATGGTGAAAGTCCGAATTAATTCAAAAATTACCACAACGGCTCAATACTCCAACCATATGATCAATATATACGTGGTGCTCCAGCAATACAAGATATTATTGTCCACTATTAAACAAAATGGAGGTACACAACACCAACACAGATAAAACTACTGTTATCTGAACAAATCATATAACACAGAATATTAAAGTTATAAGTCTATTCACTAAAACCAGGGAATCACGCCAAAAACGAAATTTTTAGTTGCCCAAACATTTTTTCACGTATGTAAAAATTGAGAAATAAATTGAGCGAATGAAAATTACCGTTCTTAAACGGTTTTCATTTCGGTAAACAAAAATTTTCCCCTCTAAGTTTTGTATACACATCCACATGATTAAAATTTCTTTGTTGAATTTGTTTGCCAACGAACATTTTTCGATCAAGAGAAGAGTATTTCACTTCCTATATCCTTAAACTTTCCGTCACCTGCTGAGACAGTGCTGTTGAAGCTGCAACGGTGAATTACTTTACATGGGTCACCGGATCTTAAAACAAAACGTCTTATACAGAAAGGTTAAAATTATTGAGGTTGATTTCCGTCCTTATCATTCCATAAAACTTGTCTGAATTGGACTTCGGAAATTAATAACTCTCGGTCGATAGCTTTTTTTGGGAAAACATATTTAAGTGCAGTAAGGGTACCATTCATATTAATTCAATTGGAATGGTAAATGCTAGTGCCGACTGTTGCGGTGCCGCTTGCAATTCGATCAAAAAACGAAACAAAGCGGCGCTGTGCGATGTCGCGTAACGCCAATGGTTACCGCTCCTTTCAATGTACTCAAACGGATGTAAATTACATTGTTTGAAATATTTTTCAATGCTCGTCGCTGATCGCGCACCGGTGGCCAATGGACATGCGACCTTAGTTCATTTTTAGCATAGTGTGGCTGAATGATGCTAAAATCTTTATAAAAATAAAAAAAGAAGAGACACAATTGTATTCCTAACCTAACTTAACGTGTGTTGTACGATTTTTTGCCGCGTTTTGTGGTTATTGTGGGGCACGTGTGTTCGTAGTTTTATTATTTGATCAGAACGGAAATGGCTAGTGATTTAGAACAGAAAATTATCAAACAAATAGAGTATTATTTTGGAGACATTAATTTACCGCGAGATAAGTTTTTACAAAGTAAAATTAAAGAGGATGATGGATGGGTTACATTGGAAGTATTGTTGAGCTTCAATAGGCTTGCAAGTCTTTCTAAAGACCCAAAAGTAATCACGGAAGCGTTGGAAAAATCTGACCAAAAACTTATTGAAGTCAGCGAAGATAAGACAAAATTGAGACGCAATCCTGATAAACCTGTGCCTGATAACAATGATGAACATCGCAAGAAGTTGCAAGAAAAGTCAGCATACGCTAAAGGGTTTCCTACAGATGAGACATTGAATGATATTCTTAATTTTCTAGAACCCTTCGGACCAATAGAATCTGTAATTCGCAGAACTACAAAAGATCATAAATTTAAAGGATCTTGTTTTATAGTCTTCAAAGATTTAGAGAATGCAAAGAAATTTGTAGAACTTGAAAGTGTAAAATACAAAGACACAGAACTGTTAAGGAAGATGCAGAATGATTATCATGCAGATAAAAAGAAAGAAATTGAAGAGAGGAAAAAACAAAAAAAGGAGAAAAAGGAAGCACTGATTGGAGAAAATGCTGAAAAAATTGAATTTCCCGTGGGGGCAATTATCCATTTTAAGGGGATTTCAGAAGGTCAAAGCTTTACTAGGGAGGAAATCAAAGAAAAACTGGGCGGTGCTAGCGATTTGGAAGTTGTTTATGTTGACTTTAACAAAGGTGATACTGAAGGTTATGCGAGATTTGCCAAAGAAAACAATGCAATTGAATTTTTAAAAGCTTTAAATGAAGGAGAGTTGGAATTAGGCGAGTCTAAAATAAAAATAAGAGCTCTAGAAGGTGATGAAGAGAAGGAATATTTGAAAAAGACATCTGAAGTAATGGCAAGAATGAGGCTGAAGCAGAAACATACGGGTCGAAAGCGAAAAGGCAATTTTGGGGGTGGCCAGAAATCAAAAGCACAGAAGAAAGAATAAATTTAATAGGCTTTGATGTTATTTGTTAATTAAGCTGACTTTGCCTTGATGCTTATCCAATTGTATTTTCATTGTTAATACAAATCATTTTGAACTACTGGTTTGTTTTTCCGTAAGACACATTTAGATATAATCTATATCATTCTGAACTACTGGTTTGTTTTTCTGTAAGAGACGTTTAGGTATAATCATCTATTACAACGTCATTAGTATCTATATTATCAATGATTTTCTACAGGGCAGCATCAACTGTATAATCATTTGCAGCAGTTGACTTTACAGATAGAATATACTATTGGCTTCATGTAATATAGCGCTTCATGAAGATATACATTACATTATTGCTTACAGAAAAGTGGTAAAAAAAACATAACTAAGCAAAACTAAACATACTGAATCTTTAATCTTGGAAATGGTTTAACACCGTGGTGAAATGAACTTCACAAGAGGAAAGCATTATATATTTATATACTTTATTAATTAAAGTATTATTTAAAGCCAAAATACAGTTGCACTTTATAGGGTTTTACAAGATATAAAGGCAGCTAAGTACTCCTTTACCCAAGTTTAATGATAGGAAAATAGCAACCAGCAGGAAAGTCAAATGTGGGTGTAGAGCGTTCATCGGGTCTGTGCCCGGAAGCCAACAACCTCAAAAGCACAAAATTTGTTTTTGCAGCTTTTAATAATTGCGGTGCGTCTGGTGGAGGAGGTTGCAAAGCCTCTAAAAGTTGCCTGGCCTGCTGGAAATGGCGGCAACCTGCCACAAATAAAGGTGCTGCACCTAAAGATTCAACAACAATAATCTTTTTGCTATACACCAGATGGTCAATTCAGGACACTGGGTCCTATCTCGACAAGTAAATGTAATAAAAAAATGCTAGAAATGATTTTTAATGGCCATCAGGGGGCGTAATCGCATTCTTGAATTTTTGCACCATAAGTCTTTACGACTATTACTTATCGAAATAGGATCGATTGCCCTTCTTAATTGGCCACCCGGTACAATAAGATTATAAATTTACCTGCCGAGGCAGCCACCGAAGCCGCGTCTCGGAATTCCGAATATGCTACAGGTGGAGGAGCTGGAAGTTTTTGGAATGGCGCAAAACGATGTTCATAACGTACCCGTTCGCGATCGAAACGCCTTGTTGGCACTACAACGAGGCCTTCACCAAGGAATCCTAGCAAGGCCTAAATGAATATTAATGCAGCATTGAAGGAACACATCTTTAGTGCAGAGAATAGAGCTGATTTTGAAATTACGCCACAAAAATGAAAAATTAAATATCTCTAATGGTTTCAAATTATCGACATACACTTTTGAATATATTTCTTTATCAATAAGGTGATAAGTTTCATTTGATGGAATGAGATATGCATTTTTATTATATTCACACTCCCAGAGTGCATAACTTAAATTTGGAGGGAGCAGATTTACACCAAGTGCTCAAACATGTAATTTAATAAACTATAAAAATTTGAGCTTTTTACTTTTAATGGAATAAAGGAACATGAAACATCAAAAGATGAGGAAAATGTAATACGGGAACATAGAAAGCTGCAAATTATTTTCTTTTGAATTGTCTTTTTATCAATAACCTCAAATTTTGATTCCTTCTCCCTTAGATAGTTTCGCACTTCTGCATGGTGCATTTTCTAGTTGCGACAACAAAAGGAGTAATTTTTTTAATAACACGCCCCCTCTACCTTAAATATTTGAGATAATTAGGCTAAGGACTTCTATTGCATAAATTCTTTGAGCATTTAGTTTAATAGTCATTTGACATGGAGGTTTATGTTTTGATTAATTACTGTAGTTGTGTAGTTCTTTCATTATTATTAAACAAAAAAATGGTACAAATTTGCTGCTGTTTTTGAACTTTCAAATGCAAATATATAAAAAATATATTATTTTCATATCTGGACCACAATTAGAATTATATATATATATATATATATATATATATATATATATATATATATATATATATATATATATATATATATATATATATATATATATATATATATATATATATATAGCATGGTGGTTTATATGCACAAACTTCCAAATGTTACCTTATAATATCCACCGCACATGTTCTGTAAAGCCTGTAAATATATAATATCTTTGTTGTAAGGTCTGGTTTTCTTTTTGTACTTCGGCTTTTTCTTTGCACTTCCTTTATTTTTTTGCATTTCGTTCATTATTTCATTTTCCACCAAAAAACTGTTTGCTCGTGACAATGCAGAAATTAACCACCCATATAGAAATTCATAAAGATACCTACAAATAACACGTTAAGTATCTACTACAGCTATTTGTTCTGTAAATCACCAGTATATATAATAGTATTCATGAACGCTATACAATTCAAGCTCAAAACCAGTTAATAAATACATAATCATTATACGCAGGGTGTGATACAATATCCAAGTTCCGAAGCAAGCCATATGAGGTCTCGTTATTCCACAAGTTGTTGACAAATTGTGAAGGAAGGCATCTGTTCTCTCTGCTTCATCCTAGAATTATGTGTATTATTGTTATATTTTCATCAATAGATATTATATTCTTAGTTTATTAAATTTACCTGAAGTGCAGCAAACTCTTCTAGTAAGTGAGCCAATTTGTCCCTCTGTCGCGCCCTATTGTGTCCACATAATTGAAGTAACAATGAAAAAGGGCGGGAACATCTTCCAAGCAATGTATCAACATGGTATCGGACTTGTGAGTGTCCTGCCAGAGTGCGCAAAGTTAACGCAGGCGGGCCAATGAATGTTCGGGCTGCTTCTTTTAGAGCCTCTTTCAAAGCTGTACCACCAGAGCAACTCCCCGCGCCAGGGTAAAGCAGTTGAAGAGCAGAACGAGACACAAGGCAAGGATTTGTTTTGCTAAAGTCCATAAAAAAGTCCTGAAATATTGAGGATTACCACTTGATTTAATTTACATTAATAATGTTGCATACCAATGACTGATGAAAGGAACTGATAGAATGAATTTTGGTAATCAATTTGAACCTTTCCATCATTTCTGTAAAATGAGAAATAGCTTCTGACTGGGTTTTGATTTTAGTGTAACGGGGAAAAGTTGGTGGCAATAAACGCTGATTTATTGAAGGTTCAAAGCCTGGCATGTTTTGAATTTCAGCTAAAATTCAAATTATGTAAGTGCATACTTTTTTTAGTTTTACTAACCACTTCCAAAACCATGAGCCAAACAAACAGTTTCCTTCATAATTAAAAGCATTTCCAATGAATTCTGTAACAGTCTTTGACAATCAGCTAATGAAGCTTGTTGATCTTCTTTCCTTAAGGAATTTAATACTTGTAGAAATATTCTTACAAACTTAACTCTAGCAAATATTGCTTGAGTTTCAGGCTAAAATATATTCATATTGAAAGGGAGTGTTCCTCCATATTTTTAAAGAGTATATAAATACCTCACATTGTTTAACTCTAGTTTTTCTATGCAGATCTTCTTCAATTTCCCGAAGCATACCAATCATTCTTTGTTCAGAGATATCTGGATTCAAGTGGTACCCATATTGCATTGGTTGGAAATCTTCTTCTTCATAAACCATTGCTCTAAATTGTAATGACATTTTTAGTATTGAAATCAACAAACGAATAAATATAAACTCACTTGTGTAGCACATCTTTAATGACTTCTAGCAATTTATAGACTGCTAAACAGAAGACCTTTAATTCGATCTTCTATCAAATAAGGTTTGTGCAAATACAAGTTTATAAATACTGTTTGTGCCAAAGAATGACCTTCCAGCCATGAAACCAAGCATGCCAATGTATTATCAATTATACTGATTAGTTCTGACTCTTTAAAGTTATTAAGTTTAATGTGGTTATCCTAAAAAAAACTAGGCATACCCAAGTACCTTGTGTGTCATTTACACACTTACTCTCACAGCCTGGTCAAAGGACAAGATCTTACGAGCTCCTCTATTGCAAAGCATACCTGCATCCATCTTAGGGTCCATCATTTCAATTGCAGACATAGCTTCAAACAATCCAAAGAGATCATCATGCAACAGTTCGCCCAATTTTAAATCTGTAAAATTTGAACTAGATTTATAAGAAATCATGGTTATCAACCAAATATACCTTTTACATTTTGATTAAAAATTTCGGTAATATCTACCCAATTGTGTGTAGTTTTCGGAGAAGCAATGGGATTTTGTCTAAAATTAGATAAAATTAATCATAGTTTTCTCAATTCGAAAAAAACTTTACATTTCATTATCCATTCTTTACCAATTTTTGTTTTAAATTTGGATTTTGTTCGTACGGTACATTCATGGAACTAATTTTAGTAAGTTTTACTTAGTTTCTTTACCATGGTTAATTTTAAACTTACCAAATCTAATTTGATATTCCTGCTACTGGGGTAGTCACGCGACCAATGGAAGGAAAGAAGAATGATGATGATCGGTTCACAGAAAACTTCAGTTTATTAGTCTGTGGTTAGTTTTCTTTTTTCCAGGAAAATGGTGGGCCCCCAAATAATTAAATTACGAGTACAAAAAAAAACACAAATTGGACGCCACAGGAGTAGGATAAGTAATTTATAAAATCACCAATGGTATATTGCTCTTAATTCAATAAGCGCACCTAACGAAAACGTCATTTTAGGACTCAAATTCAAAAAAGTATGTTACAATATCAATCCTAGCTTTCGTTTGCTACTGTAACACACTGTGGGGGACTTTCGTGTTTGATGATAGTGAGGCTATAATTAAGAACAAAGATGTAAAACCCGACTCACCAATTGCTCAGATATTTGAAAATGATTTCTGGGGTACAAATATATCTCTCAACAGTAGTCATAAATCTTATAGACCCCTTACAGTATTATCTTATAGGTACTTCCTAAGTGTTTAGAGGATGTATGAATATTAATATCCCTTTTTTTAGACTAAATGTGATTTATTCAATGAATAAACTTGATGCATTCCAGTTTCACGCTACTAATGTGATACTTTATGGTATTCTTTGTTTACTTACCATTCCCATTTTTGAACTATTTATAAAAAAAAAGAAATACGAAAGTAGCATGGATGATGTTGCCCTCACAGCTAGTGTTTTATTTACTGTACATCCTATACACACAGAAGCTGTTGCTGGACTAGTTGGGAGGGCTGATATTCTTAGTTCAATACTTTTTCTTGTCATTTTATTATGCTACCAGTCACTGATAAAAAAATCATTTCTGCTGTGGTTTTGTTTTGTTTTCACATTAACCACCTGTGCTGTTTTATGTAAAGAAACTGCAATAACTGTATTGGTGAGTAATACATATTACCTAATATAATAAGTAGCTAATTTCTTGTCAACATGATAGAAGTTGTTTTAAAACTGGAGGGTGTTACAAAAGACATTCAGTTTTTCATCCATTAAAACACTGATAGATTATTTGTTGGAATAAAGAACTAAATTGTTAATTCTAGTGGCGGCCCCAAATAAATTTAGTTAAAATCTCATAATTTTTTTAATCTGACCTAACAAGAGAAAAAAAAGTACAGTGGTGTACCTTTTCTTTCATAATTATCAAGTATATGGATTAAAAACTGATTTAAAAAAATCAAACACTTAAAACCAATCATTTTATTTATATAAACTGTTACTCAGAAAATATTTGGAAACACAATGTTATTTATTTATATTTAAATTTTTTGTAGGGTGCTTGTCTAATATATGATGTCTACAAAAGCAAAAAAAGAAGAAAAAGTTGGTACAAAAGTCTTTGTGCTCCAATGCTTGTGTGTCGAGTGATTTGCTTGTTTATCATAGGATTAATTATAATGTATTATAGGCTAAAAATTATGATGTTTGAAGGCCCAACATTTAGTAAGACAGACAATCCAGCTGCCTTTGCTGATGAGTTTTACGTTAGGGTAGTTAATTGGCAGAATGAAATAGAATATGTATTAAAATATGCTTTGCTTTCAGATACTCACCTATAATTATATCTACTCTCTTAATGCTCTACTGTTGTTGTGGCCCCAATGGTTATGTTTTGATTGGTCTATGGGTTGTGTTCCTTTAATTTACGACATTTCTGATTACCGCGTTATACAAGTGCTTTTATTTTGGGGCGGGTGTGCTAGTATTTTCATAGTCTTGATTCGAAAATCTCTGCTTTTTGAATTAATGTAAGTTATGTGAACACTGACTTAACTGGTTGCTGCTCATTGACTGTTTTAGTGACATCCGAATCGTGGTCCTAAGTCTAGTAATATTGCCACTTATACCAGCGTCAAATATACTGTTTCATGTAGGTTTTGTCATAGCTGAGAGAACATTGCTCTTACCTAGTACAGGCTTTTGCTTTCTGATTGCTTTAGGATTTAAGAAATTAAAGACGCGGTATAGTTGCGAGAAGGTAATGTAATATAATAGTTCAATATCATTGGCACAAGCCAAGATATATTTTAGCTTTTTGTTGTGGCTTATATTTTGTTGTGCTTTACGTTTGCCATCCGCACAATTCAGCGCAACTCTGAGTGGTTGTCTGAGGACCGTTTATTTAAATCAGCACTTGCTGTTTGTCCCAACAATGCCAAAGTACATTATAATATGGCAAAAGTGGCCGCTGATGCAGGAAGGCGCATTGACGCGCTACAAGGCTATAGAAAAGCCATTGAACTATATCCTGATTATGAACAGGCCATGAATAATCTAGCAAATTTGTTAAGAGAAGATAAAAAATTTCAAGAAGCAGAAGAATTACTGAGAAAAGCTGTGAAAGTGAGGTATGAAAGACCACTATGTAAGTTAAAGGTAATGAAATGAGATATAAATCTATTCCAGGCCAAACTTTGCAGCAGCTTGGATGAATCTTGGAATTGTGTTAACAAATTTAAACAAATTGGAGGAAGCTGAAAAATGCTATATGAAAGCAATTTCCCATCGTAAAAGATATCCAGATTGTTATTACAATTTGGGAAATTTGGTAATATGTCAATTAGCGGGTGGGGATTTTAAATAAAATAACCAGATATGCGAATTACATTTCTGCAAAATACAGAAAAAAAGACTTATTATAGGTTTCTCATGTAGAAAAAAATTATAGCCCTAAACAGAAAAAACAAAAAATCCTTAATTTTTCAAAGAAACTTACACAGGCTACTGCAATACTTTTTATAAAACTTCTGGATTCCTCATGCATCGGTTTTTGTTGATTTGAACTAGCTAACGTCTCGCCAATCATCCTGTTGGCTTCTTCAGAGCTTGACTGACACTGGCTCGCATTTTACTCTGTACCTGCTTTTGTATTGTTTGAAGGGGGCGGAGCTAAATGATGGGCATAAACACCGTCTCGGATAACTGACATATTTCTCTAGGCTCTCGGATTTTTCGTTGGTAGAAGAATTGATTACATGCAAGAATCTTAGTGTTATCGAATAAACTTTCGGGGACTCAGGTATTTACCTGGCACCAATATGGGAATTAGTCATCAGAGACGGTGTTTATGCCCCTCATTTAGCTCCGCCCCCTGTCAAACAGTATAAAAGCAGGTACAGAGTAAAATGCGAACCAGTTTCAGTCAATCTCGGAAGAAGCCAACAGGATGATTGGCTTCTTTTATTTAAATATATATATATATATATATATATATATATATATATATATATATATATATATATATATATATATATATATATATATATATATATATATATATATATATATATATATATATATATATATATATATATATATATATATATATATATATATATATATATATATATATATATATATATATATATATATATATATATATATATATATATATATATATATATATATATATATATATATATATATATATATATTTATACAGTATTTGGATCAAGGCCGCCACAGAGAAGCTCTTCAGTCCTGGCGTATGGCAACTATTCTCAAACCCACTTTATCTGCCGCTTGGGGCAATACTTTGGCCCTGTTGGATACACAAGGGCGTTTGCAAGATGCATTACGAATAGGCACAGATGCATTACGTTATAATCCAGACGCGCATGCACTGCACTTTGCTTTAGGCAATGCTCTTGGTAAATTGAAACGTTTTGATGAAGCTGAAAAGCGATTTCTGAAAGCCATAAAATTAAATCCGCAGAACGCTTTATATTACTCTAACCTCGGTGAGTTTTCAATTATTTTTATTCATATTTAAATTGTTTAAAATGTCTTGTTTTAGGAGTTTTATATCACCGATGGGATAAACCCAAAGAAGCTAGGCAAATGTATGCGAGAGCACTAGAAATTGATTCCAACCTTAAGTCAGCTGAAATGAATCTCAAAAAACTTCCAGGGGACGAGACTGCTCAATTAAAACCTGTGTAAAGTTAATATTTTATTTCTATACAAATATACTTATTTGTTGACAAGCATTTTTACTTTTAATAACTTTCTGAATATTTGAGCTGGAATATTTCGAAAAAAAAATAGGACACAAATAAGTTGATGTCCCGAGTTTTTGTTGCGCAGTTGTGTGGGCCCATAATTATAAAAATGTGTAATTTATAAGTGCCCCAATATAATCTTATTTAAAGTTAACAATTAACCAAAAATTAGGCCCCACCTCTAGGCATAATTGGTTAAAGCTAAAAGTTAAAAAATTCATATCACAATGTCACAAAATCTTAAAAAATAAATTTAAATACAATAAATAAATAATTAATATCACAAAAAATGGTGTTGCTAAATCTAGGCCTAGAATGTTTCAAAAAATACTTTTTGCACCACTATGTATTAATTCATATCAGATTCACTACAGTTACATATTACGTACAAAGATCAAGTGCAACTGTTTTAGATCAAAATAGCTACAACACACGGTTAAAGCTCTTAATTACATCTACATCATCAAAAATATACTTTCCTTGCTCCATATTGAGTGACCTAATACCAACTAATATTAGTGTAAAGTGATTATATTTTACCTCATCTATTAAAATATACAGCAAAATCTCAAGCGTTTTAATTGACATTTGCTGTATTTCAAAACACAGTAATGCTGAAGAATTACATTTGTACATACAATTTGGTTCTACTTTGCTTATCCTGAGACATACAATACAAATTACTTAAAAAACAACAGATTCAGCAGTTAGAATTTGACAAAACTCCAATTTATTTTCTGTAGTCTATAAAAAAACTTCTTTACCCAGAACACAGTATACATTTTGATTTTTTATATCACAAAAAAAAAAAATAAAATAAAAACAGTCTTTTATGATCTTGTGAGCCACTCTATAATTTCATTCACATCAAATCAAGGTGGGATTATTATTGTTGGTCGCAAGATTGTTTTACAGATTAGTTACCATAGCCACCACTCATCTACAATACATAGGTAGACTAACAGAGTTAATTCAAAGAACAAACAATTAGTGTAAAAATAAATAAGAACTAAAAGTTCAGATTTTCACGTCATGTCAAAATATATAATTTCGTGAAAATCTGAACTTTTAGTTCTTATTTATTTTGAGAAATGGATTTTCATCAAGTAAAAGCCACCTCACTTCAACAATTAACAAGGGGAAATAATAATTACCTGACATACAGGAAATAAGGGTAAGGAAATGATATAACCTTTTGAAATTGTGATAAATTGCACCAAAGAGTATGATCGTTTTTGAGCATATACTTATACTTATATTTGCCTTTTTTGAACATAATTGTTTGTTGGTATCCCAAAATGTTTGGTGGGAATTCGCAAACCTCTAAAATGGTGGCTACGAGGTATTGGTATTACAGAAAGTAATAAAAATTAGAATATTTTTGCTATTCTAAGGAACTAATGGAATATGTAATTACTTTTACATACTAAATAGATGATAAAGTCAGTATATTATGTTACAGTGAGATTGTTACCGATCTTTTTGGACAAAAGGAAAAGGCAAAGAATGGGGTATATTTAATGTGGCACTTTCTGGTTCAAACGCCACTGGCTGTAATTTCAGAACAATGCAGATGTAAATTTGTTCCTAACACTAATGGCAATAGACAAGCTTCACAATACTGATCAAAACTCGGCAAGAAAAAATACTATTATGTAAAAAAAGTAAAAAAAATGGCGATAAATGAAACATTGGCCAAGGGAAAAGCTTTAAACGCTAATCTTCTTTTATTAATTTTTTGATTTTTTTTTATTTTTTGTTCCGATCAATAACTGTTGGTTAAATTTTTATTTCATTTGATCATTGGCAAAAATGTTAATTTCTGTGTTTTAATGCTCTTTTAAATGTAACATGAGTAAAAAAAAAAGTTAGAGGCTTTGATATTGTTTCTTATCAAAAAAATCTAATGGATTTTATTATCTTAACCTTCCAATAAATAAAAATGAATGCAAAAGTAGATAACATGCAAGTATATATTCTTTATAAAACACTCTTCACGACAAAATATTTTGTCCTATCGATCATTTTTTAATCATCAGATCGCATTCTTCAATTAAAAATGTCAAACTAAAGCTATGACACCAAATCGATCTCTTTTAGTCGTCCGTTGACACAGATGGAGAGAACATGAAAATAGACAAACTGTCATTAAAACTGGTTTCTTTTGTACTACCATGAGAGAAGTTTCGAATCAATGAGACTGAAACTAATTTTTGAAATAGACTGCTCAGCTCTTTCCTGAACTAGGACCAGGTTGAGGATCTTCTGTAGTTGAAGAAACACCTGAATCAGATGTTGTCAATGCTTGTAGCCTCGAAGGCAAGTCCGAACTTGTCACTATAGCATGTTGACCTAATAACAGGACTTCTTAACCTCCTGGTTGTTAAATTTTTCATACAAAACAAACGTTCTGCATGTCACTTACCTAATATATCAGGCAGGGCATTCCGGCGGCCAGTCCGGCCCGAGGACAAGAATTCCTGCACATTGCCTCCATTTTCTGGAGTTGTTGGAGGCGCTGAACCCCCAGACGAGGGTCCGCCTGTCCCGCTTGGTCCACTGTTCTGTGTAGCTTCCATAACAGCAAGCATTTTCAAGACTGAAACAGACAAACTAGCTCAACAAAATTAAGATCAGATAATAGTACACATCCGATTAATTATTGCCTGATAAGCAAAAGTTAATTAAAACCTAGATAGTGTCTGCTTTGTTAAGCCAGCGTTTGCTTACATAATAGGGTAGCCAAAAAAACATAAACAATTCAGTAAAATAATTTTCAAAATTTAAATAATACTTTAATAATGAAAATAAGTTATCATTTTACTTTTTACAATCAATAAACCAAAACTAACATATTTTACACAATATTTTAAATTCCAGAAGACCAATAATTAACCAGTAATAATTAACTAATCACAAATAAGATGTTTGAAATAATTAGAAAAGTTCTTTAAAACATTTGGAAGCCAAAAATAAGTACCATAAACTCTACTTTTTATTATAATTACAAGAGCTGCTGGAAAAAATTGCTAAAATTTAAGGAAGACATAAATTTTTAAAAGAATTTCAGAACTGGGAGTCATTCTTCTAATTATATTGTATATGGTATATTTTATTTATTTACTATTGGCAGAAACTTTTAATTAATCAATTAGAATCAATAACATGCATAATGAATATTAATATTAATGCTTTTTAAGTTTCAATCAAACCAGAGTATTCCTTTCCAAAATTTTTGGTAACATTTTCAAGATCCAACAAAATCTGCACTGTAAAATTGTACCGCAATTGCCTTATGCAATATTTTGATTGAGTCAATTGCTTTTGTTAATTTTATCCCAAGGTATATTAATTGGCATCACAAAAAGCTGAGTTCTCTAAAATCAGTATAATTATCATCAGCAATTCCGGAAGTACATGCAAACAGCTCGCACTGATTATTATGTTAAATGATCTGCTAAAAAGCCTCGCATGTGGATCACCAAAGGCATGCAGCCTACCTGCTTTCCTCGTCAATTTACTTTTTCTACGTCGTATGCAACCTGTCGTCATTTTAGGGTTTATACCCAAAGTACTTTTACCGGACATAACAAAGGTAGAGTCCTAAAACGTTCCCTGCAAAGAACCTACCATAAGGAAGCTGTCGTTGATACCACTGAAGAGTTTTTTGAAAACGAGGCAGCTGCTACGTTCTAGCAAAATAAAATTACATAATTTTCCTTTAAAAGTTTATCACAAATGACGCACAATAATCCATATTAGTGAAAATATCTTTTCACTGGCAGGTTAAGTTAACAACACAGGAAGCATAGATTAATGTCTTTTGGTATGTTGAGAAGCCGTGAACAATAATCTTTATAAGCCAATTTCAAATGCAGAAAAAAACGTCCCATTTGGCTAAAATTAAACTCTTTTTTATACGGCTTTTGCATTTAGGCACGGTATATTTCGAATAAAACTGAAAACCAAACTTTTCCGCACCGAGAAAATTTTATCTGGCAGACGAGACACTTTATTGACGTCAAATAAGAAAAAATATTTGCAATAACGTCAAAGTTACGTCATCGATTATATGACCGTAAGTGTTCTTGACCTTGACACAAATTACGACAACCTTGTTCAGATAAATTTTTATTGACAATAATATAGAGTGTTTCAGAAATTTTTCTAAATTAAAAAAAATAAATAAATAAACGAGACGAAACAATTTTACGGAGATAGTGTGGTAGTTAATATGCAGATAGGAAGATATCAATTACCAGTATATGTCCACAAAATAAAACTTTACAAAGTAATTGCATTATTTTAATTTCATATTTAAAATTACTAATATAAACACATCACTTTGTACACTGGCTCATTAGATCACGCACAATTTTCAAACATTCATTCGAATATGTAATAATACTAAATTCAACTTACTTATTTTACAAAATTGCACAAATTATTGAATACACTGGTAAATAAATTATATTGGTAGGTATCTAATAAAAATCTGTCTATACAATAGCAATTGATTGAAGTGTTACAGTATATACATACAACATATTATTTGTAGCTGCTTGGTGATCTGTAGACAAAGTAACTAATATCACAAAAAAGTATTTTGGAATATGCAGGCCTCATTTTCACTATGTGCAGGCAACAACATAGCTATTTGCTTTCTTTAATTGTAGAAGAAACAACATGTTTCCGGAAAATTAAAATAGAAATCTATTTAGAAAATTGGGCCTATAGATATAGGGAGACAATGTTAATGGTGTAATACTAAATTCTTAAAAATTAGCCCACACAAACTAAACCTTCGTATTATCTCTGTATGTAAACAGAAATTTAAACTTTGAAAAATGTAATTTTGCAGGACCTTTAACTACACAATTTCAATTTCTGGCTATTTTATTACAAATAAGTAATTTATTTGCCTATTGTAATTTCATAAATGTTGTTAATTAATGGATTTTTTATCTATAGGATTTTTAAAGAGTATACTTTCCTGGTGTTTTTTACCCAAAACCCAAGTCTAAACTACAGATTTAATTTTTAAATATTATTACAAGAAAACAAACATTATTTTTTCTACAACCAAACCCACAGCGCAAAGTCAACTTGGTGAAGGATAAAGTATCTTTATGGATAGCAGTGACAGTTTTTGTTCTACTATGATAGCAATATCAACACAATTACTTGAAAATAATACAAATATACAAGAAACTTTTAATCATGTTAATAAAAGTATTTAGACATAAAATTGTGTATAATAAAATAATATCACAGATAAATCATACTATACCAAGAATGGAAGTAAAAATATATAATAAATATAATAAATAAAACTGATTACAAACTAAAATGCAACAATTTTCGGTACTATACCAATTCATTTTCACTCTGAATTTGCAACTTGAAACAGTCTCATTTTGTTTATTGGAATGTAAATAACAATTGGAGAAGTACCTACTTGTTGACTTTGTGAATACTAATCGGCTTCTTGGAGGGACTCAAACACGAATTGATAACAGACGCAAGCTTTTTGGTAATTAAATACTTTGTAAATTTTCTGCGCATATGAGTATCTAAGAAGTGCCAAAAGTATAATTTATCTATTTCCTTACCGGATTTTTCAAACAATTAAGTAACTCAAATGTCATTGCATCTGTCGCTCCATTGTTCAATCTTTATAAGTGCGGCGCAGCTTCAAAGACTTTAGAACTTTTGAGACTCAAAATTCATTTATTCTAAGTTGGTGTTTGCTGATTTTTGAATATGGGAGTGAAAATGAAATGACAATATAATCAAGTACAAGTAGACAAATAAGATTTTTTTTCAACTTATGGTAACTAAATTATATGGTGGTTTGCTTGTTCAAAGTTCTCAAATTGGAAAAAGGCTGTTATTTAAATTGTTCATACCATAAATATGTTTACAGACTGTGAGAAAATATTTTTTCTACATATAGTTCAATAGTACTTAGAAGAATTATTATTTAATTCATCTTCACCCAGTTATATTATTAAATTAAATTGCACTACTTAACAATAAAATTTAATTTTCAGGTAATTAATTAGTAATTTGGTAAGTAAAATTAAATAAATGAAATTATACTTACCTTCTAAACAATTTCTAAGGTGCTGAGTAAAATCGCTATTTCATGTGATAATTACAGCATTTAAACATAAACATATACTTCAAGCTACAACAGTTATGCCTAAAAGACCTGTAGTTAACATTTACATCAACATCTGTGTCAAATCATTTTAAATAACTTCTGCAAACGTTCACTTTAATGAGTGGATGGGTACCCCATCTGTCACCATGGTTGGTAATACAGTGAAATTTAAATGGTCTTCAAATATTAAATCTATTTAAATAGGCCTTACGACTTAATTTAAATGGTCAATATTTTTTTAAATTTACTAGGTGTATTTTTAATTATGAATGCCATACTTACGGCACCAGACAAAATAGTCGTTTTCAACTATTCGAAATGCATGCATGAAGACAAATTCATCCATAATAGAGATTCCACATAAAAATTAGTTCACATCAAAATTATTTGAAAATTGTTAGAACAAGGTGTGGTTTCTATTACACTCAATTAAAAATTTTTGTTTTGACGAATAAGACGAATAAGTGAAAAGCGTAAGATAATAAGAAAACATTCTTCAAATAGTTATAAGTATATTACCCCACTTATAATTGCTTTTAAAAAAGCCATAAAGAGAAAGTGACACAATAGTATTTAACCTGCTGAGTTTTCACTTCAGTTACTCATTTTGCTAACAAAAAAATTGTTTCACTATGAAACCACTGCCCAGTAAAATCCGCCGATACGCATCTGGGCAGTTCTGTGCAAATGAATAGGCATTAGCTACCGTTTCTTCAAAATACATCACCAAAGTTAGATAAGATCAATAAGTGAAGAACTCACAATCAAGAACACAATCAAATAAGCAATTACAAATTTATATTGATCGCATAGGCATTTGACATATTAAACACCAGAAACAAAGGAATTTGAAATTGGATTCATAAATCTAATAATCACTGTCATACACTTCTAAATTTTCAATTTCATGGACCAAACTCTCATACTGAAGCAATATTTGTGAAAATTCATATCTTAAGTTCAAGATATCTAACTCTATGTCATCGAGTAAATCTTCATACATAGACAGCTCTTGCCACATGACTTTGAATTCTTGCATGAAGTTAGAGGTACATGCATCCTCAATAAACTGCACTTCTCTTAAAACTTCTTTTTCAGTCATATTTGCTACATCTATTTTCAACAAATTCTATTTACAGAAATTCCTGGGAACAATTTGACAGTAAAGGCAGAAACCAATGACAAATTGCATTATGGGTAAAACTGTACCCAAGCTTGCTGGATTTATTGATGAGAGATGTAAATGTAAACTGGACTAAGATATGTTAAACATGGTAGTGTTCCAATGTAACAAAAAAAGAAGTACACTAAATTACAGACTTATTACTTAGGGCTGGAAGTTCATTTCATTACTTTCAAATGAAATTGTTACACAGTTAAACTGTATTATCACAATGGGCAAACCAAACTGACCTGTTATGCACCTTCTTGTACCTGACGGTTGATCTATCACTCCATTATGTTTCACATTTTAAAAAATAGGCTATAAGTTCAATTGTGTTAGCCATCTAAAGGTGCTCCAAGATATACCATAGAAACTTCTGTGTTTCCATAAACAGCAGACACTGTGGGATATAATTTTTTGTCTGGCAATCCTAAAATAAAATAGATAAAGCCAACGAACACAAATGATTAAAAGTCTACCTCTAAATGCAACTCCTAAAAATTCATAATTCTTTTCAAAAGACAAAGTATTGTCATCACAGTCCAGAATCACTCTAATTCTCTCACCAACCTATAAAGAAATGTTTTATAGAAAAAAACTGAATGGAAAATCTTTTCTTTTAAACCTGATATTTAGGAGCATTGTTTAACAAAGGATAATTTCCTTGCCCATCTCCATTATGTAACAAGTGATTATCAACTAGATTCCAACCCCAACTTTGATCATCTGATCCTAATAATGCAACATAACCATGGCACTGTAATGGAGCATCCTTTGTTGCAATTCCTATAACAGCCACAGTACCCAACGGGCCTTCCCAAATTACTTCCCAAGCGTGTCTTCCATGTTTAAATCCCATTTTACCACGACAAGCATCTGTACTTTGGGCTACGGGGTTTCTATGCAAGGTAAAACCATTCGGCTTAATGTAAATATTCCTAGAGCAGTCATTTGGATTCCACGCGTGATAAAAAGCTCTCAATTTAGCTTTATATGTGGGAACTGAAGATAGTAGGTCCGATTTTAGAGCTTCTTCAGCAAGTTTTCTAATACAATGCAGTCTCCAGACGTCGTTGTTTTCGTCATTTAAAAAATCGTACCAATGTTTACACACTAACGAACAATTTCTTAGATCACGCAAAGTTAAATACGAAAAAATTACTTCTAAACAGTTATCTGGAAGTAAAGTTGCTGTAGCATCCATTTTTTGTTGGGATGGGTGTTTATTTTTACTGTTATGGAGGTTTGGTTCACGGTATTTGAAATCTTCTTGTGTTCTGTACTGTTTTAGAATGTCAATCTTCGTAAATGTACTCCCCAAAGCCAAAATTGAAGTGGTGCATTTGTCGCCTATGTGATGTAACTCATAATAATTAACTAAACTGTAATGTCCACTTTATTTAAAATGCATCAAATTGCTATATATCTTTTAAATATAATTTATTAACTAAATGTATAAATTATTAAATGTAACTAAACTCGCAGTTTAATTCTGAAGGTGATACCTAGCGGAAAAGAATACTGTTTAGAAAACAAAATTCCAGCAAGACTTATATCGTATTTACAAAGAAACTGATTATTGTGTTGCGTCTTCATCCGTGGACTGTTGTAACACTGGCTTTGAAAAAAGACCTAGTCCGAAGACTTTCTAGACAACTTGGCGATCTATTAATATATTTTGGCTTGTTTTCATTTCATTTCACCGCACACAATTGGCAACGTGCGCGCGTGCAGCTAGCGCCAAAAAGGCGCCAAAACACACAGTCATTCAAAACTGGTGGCGAATAGAAGAACTAGGACCAGCGTGTCCCACGTGAGCCCAATGGACCAATCACAAACGACACTTTGTGCCCGCCGCCAAGCTGATCGGAGGTGTTCTGTGCACGAAAGACCGTGACTTTAAAGGGCGCTCTACGTGTTCCGATAAAAGTTAAAAGGTTCATTGTCAAATGAACCCCAAGTAGAATAAACAATGAACCTAAAACGCATTTAATACAAAATTTTATCTAACGCGGGTCGCTCCTACGAATCCGAAAATGTTGTCATTCTAAGTCGCCATTTTGGTTGATGGAATGTCTTGTGCGAATGGTGTGTTCTCAATTTAAACAAATTTTGTGACTTGCCGGTGTTTTTTTAAAATCTTTTCGAGTGTCGTGCATTCCTCGAACACTCAAGATGACCCAGCAAACAAACACTACAAACTGGGTAATCCAGGGATCAAATGGTAAATTTCTGAAAAGCCTGCTCGTTGCCGAAACTCGTGGGTCACGGGGGGTGGTATAAGTTCGTGTTTCGGTTCAATTTTTCTTACCTTTACGATGCTAGAGTTCGTTAAAGTGACACGAAAGTTTAAAAAAACGAACATGCTATAGATTCACTCGTTTTTCACGATTTGCAACTACGGAAACAAAAAAATTAAACCGGTATTACATTTTCGGTTGTCTCACCCAAGTAGTGTAGTTGTTTATTAAGGTGATAATACATTCTGCGAGTAATTTCGGGATTTTCGTAATAATCCAGGCCACCCACAAATGGTCAAGTTGGTCCAGTCCACCGGGAAACCGATCAGCGGCATCATAACACCGACGATTCAAGGGACATCCGTCAGAATATTTAAATCACCGACCGGTGTCGAATCTTCACAGGTAGGTGTTTCATATTGTAATCAAATTAATCTGTAACAATCTATGGGATGTTTATTTCAACCCACTTATGCAGTATGACTAAAATAAACCTTTTTATATTTATCATTACCCACGCTTAACTTTCAAGGTCCTCGCCGGCTAGCAGGACCAACCCATCCCGCTTTTGTGTAGGATTTTTTTGTTTTAGGCGAATCCCGCGCGGCAGTTATCTAATGCAATGGTCCCAACTTTTGAATGAATTGTTTTTGAACTTTTGTTTTTAGTTATGGGTAGTGTCCAAGTTGACTTCGATTTATTTGAAGTATTAGGTTATAGGGTGGAAATTCGATGTTGGTTACTTAATAACGTTTTGGTTCTAATTTTTGGCTCTCTTTACTTTTCCGGGACTGATCCTATTATCAGCAGTCTATATATCATTATAACTTACCTGCGTAAAATATCAGTGATAAAGTAATATCTATTTTTATTTCTTTTTTTTTTTAAGTCTATTATAACCAGCTATAAAATATATTACATCTGCAGCGCTAATTAAAAAACGTTAATGATTATTAAAATCACCACATTATTAACAATGGATTTTTTGAGTTGGTGCAAAGCCCCGATCATTTTTTTTTGCATCCTATTAAAAGCCAGATATACTTATTTCCAAATGTAGGACCCTTTCTGGCAATAAAATAAGGGTTTTTTCTAAACCCTTCTTTACGTATCTAAATTTGAATAGGTAAGTCATTGGTAAGACGATATTCAATAGTAAAATTGGGAGAGCCAATGACGAAAAGAGAATGGGTCATCAACGCATGTCTCTCAATCGCAAGGTTTTGATTTTATCGCAACATAATTATTTCGTTACATCTGAGGTTATACTCGTTCAATTCTCCAATCGTTTCAAATGGAAGCCGTGATGCCATGTTTGTTGTTTTTTCATCGTTTAATTCTAGGGTCTTCATTTATTCTAAATTTAGAAGCGGAACTCTCGTGGTATTATGTACAGAATAGTTGTTTTCTATGGAAACGAAACTAAAGATTACAGTTTAGAGATTATACCTCGGACTACTTAATTTGTTAAAAAAAAGGAGATTAGTAGAATCTACTTTATTGTATATTTTTTTAATATTCCGTATGTATAAATATAGAATTTAGACCTTTAAAATTATTTGATATATATTTTTTTAAATAAACTTAATGCTCTCTAGGGATATAGCAACTTCATATATGCTTGGCAACATAACGACTAGAATTATATAGATCAATTTTTACTAATAAAATACAATATTTTTTGGGCGACTTATCGGAATCGCATTATTCTTTAGAAATATCAGTGGTATGCTATACCTCTAAGTATTGGCAACATGTGGTTTTTACTGTTTCACCTGGGAATCATTCTTCGTATTAAAATAAAGAATAGAAATGCACAACGGCACTGATAATCTGTGAACTCTCCAAAATTGATGACCATGTACACATTTATTTTTAGTTTTTTTTTTACATCTAAGAATGTTTTATTTCAGGTTTTGTTAGATTTATTGGTATTTTTTTTATCTGTATCTATATTCGCAAAAACGAAAACATGTTGTTGGTTTCTGATGCATGATATCTTGGCTTCAAAAAGACCCTTAAACATAGGATAGTGTTTATAGCAAGTAGAATCAGTGATCGTATTGTTAAGGTAAACATCCGCTTGTACGGTCGGCGGTGCTAAACTGGGGTTTATTTTCCTAAACAGTTCCTAGAAGGCATCTCTTATTATCAATTAACGTTTCTAACAGGCAAAATGAAAAAAAAAATATAGCCTACAATTAGATAAATTGACTTATGTAGAAAACTACTTCAAGATCAAATAAAAAAAATATCAAAAAAGATGTTAAAATGATACCCTTAACTTGGTCTCGGTTGTAGACGGCTATAGACAATTTTTTTAGGCAGAAACGATTCGAAAAACTTAATTTTTTGTATTATTAAAATTGGTTGATTTAAATTTGGTCCATCAGCAGTACTATTTTCAACAGTATATATATATATATATATATATATATATATATATATATATATATATATATATATATATATATATATATATATATATATATATATGTCATAATTTTGGTTTTATCTACAAGTCGTAGTGTATCTACCGACAGAGGAGCACCGGTTATTTTTGTTAATTTTGGGTAGTTAAAATTATAAAATTTGTGGTTTCTCCTTCAATATAGAAAAGGAGATTCTATTCTGTGATATATTTGTATTAAGAATTTTAATAACGGTTAGGTGTTATCGTTTTGGAATGTCGAATTTCTTGTTAGTAATATTTGCTTGGCTGGCCTGGTATGAACCCTCCGTATTTGGTAGTCCTTGTTGCCTTTTTGTTGGCAATTAATGAGCCCATTGACCCGTTCCGATATTTTGGTAGCTGTAGTTCCTCCACCAGGCCCACGTGGATCGCTTGCGCCCAAAACCAGCAATATCAAACGGAATATTGTCGTTTTTCTCAGAGATTCAAGCTGCCAAAGCACTAAAATAAAATCTAGATCCTTAAATGTTTGAATGCGATATTAAAATCGCTTTGGTTCGCAAAATTAGCTTCTCTTGCTTCTAGGTTATTTATTTATTGGGCAACAGTTGTAATTGGTTGGGTAACATATTAATTTGCCGACCAAATCAAAAAATAATTCAGAATGTCAATAAAACGAATTTTTATTTTACCTTATCTGAAGTTATTTATTTAAGACATTCAGCCATTTTATATCAAGAATTTAGATTTAATTTTTTATTCGGTAAGCACGAGATTTCATTATGAATTTTTACTGTAGGTACATGGAAATATTGTCTTTAAATGTATAAGTCAAATTTAAGCTTTGAACGGTTGTTATTTTTCCGTTATAAAATCTGTTAAATTGTGCTAATGCGTGTTTTACTGTGCCTCGTCATACAAATTGAGATTGAGGTGAGGCATAAAAAGCTCATTTTTACGCAGTAACGCAGTTGCAGTAATGCAGACAATGTAGTAGCTACAAATTTCACTATATTATGAGCAAAGACAAAAATACAATTTGGATTTTTTTCTGAATACCGCGTATTTATCGAACCGAATATTTTTTAAATAGCGATTTAGATTTTGTTGTGTGATGTGTTGATGCCGATGGTACAGGCACTTTTGAAGCCAACATTAAGAGTCACGTCAAATCTCGTTTTCAACCAATAAGATTGTCATTTGAACTCTCATACCAGACCCTGCAGCCCTTAACGATCAATGTGGCCGCTGTCAGTTTGTTAATTAATAAGTTTTGTTTGTTTTGTGGCATTTTTTCGCAACTATGTGACTTCATCAAATAAACTTTATTTTTTTAAATGTATTTTATTGTTTCTGTTGCTCTTTTAAAGGAATGCAATGCAGTAGTTTATCGTTTAATGTGTATATTTCGGGACAAGTTATAAAATTAAATTTAAACATTTAAAAAATTAATAACAGGCAAACGAAATCAGTAAATGTACAAAACAGGACGTATAGTGTTTACTACACACACACACACACACCGCTCTTGCCTGTAATTATCCCTGGTCCACAATGTGGAATTTTGGTCTTAAAGTAGTATCTAGAAAACTAGAAAAAAGGTTTTTTTAGGAATACCGCAGACTTCATAAATTTCGTGGATGTCGATTGAAAATAATATCAATGAGTACTGACTAGTTAAAAACGCGGGATCAATATTCGAAGAAAAGAATTTCCAGTCGTTGAGTTGGCGGTAACATTGCGGAAACTATTTAATGTACCCTAATGATCCGTACCTCACTCCCCGGCGTGTTACTTCTTTCTATTTATTAAATGACGTGAGAACAAAGAAAAAATCTTGCGCTAATCTATGGGTCAGTCGTAGAGTACATGAACATTTACTTTCAAAAATCAAGTTAGCAATTCTTTTCTAAAAAATATTAAATTTAAAACAATGTCGTACCTCTAAACAAAATTCAGTTGTGAAGTGGAATACATGTTTTAAACATGAGCCAAGAGAGTTTTTAAAAAACCTTTTTTTTATAATTATACACTTCTTCTCAGAAACGTCAATACATTGGCATTTTCGCGATCATATTTGGCATTTATGGGCAAAATTAAAACAAAAAGTATCACTTTAGCAGTAAATACAACCACAATTTTCTTGTCCCCTTCCTATTCCTATCGCTTGCATTATATAGCTGCACATCATATGAATTAAATTTATATCATTATACATAAATGCTTTATCAGTATCTAGGGTGAATTAATTTTTGTGTAGTACCTATTGTATTTGCTAGATTGTATATTTTTGTAATGGGTTAACACAATATTGGCTCTTGTATTTCCGATTCGTCTTTTGAATTATCTTCGTCACTTCCTATTGGTGCTATAAATTGGCTCCATTTTCCTTTGCAAGGAACCTCAGACCCATTTGTTATTTGGAAAAACCCATTCAAATCCCAAACACTGTGGCGCAATTAATAACAAATATCTAGTTGTGAAAAAAAACTTCAAACTGAAAAAGTTCTAGTTAAAGTAGTTTTAAAGGTTTGTCAAATATGAACTTTATATTGGTCATCCGCTGCCATTTATTTCGGTTTGTTGAGATTTCTTTAATGAAAGGTGCCTTTCTTCTAGGGTTACAGCAATGCAGCAACGGCGCAAGTCATCAGAACGTTAACTTCTACGCCAAAAATTGTAACAAGTAAAGACAAGTTTCATTTTCCATACACTTACATGTTCAACCCCTTTGCATTTTTCAGAAACTGTCCCCATACATGTGAGCAGCAAAGGTACGAAGACGGTTAGGTTAACTCCTTCGCAGATGGTTAGTATATCGAAAACATGTTCGGCATTTTACTGAATTAAATTTATGAACTTCTGAAACATTGACCCAATTTAGAAAAAAAAAAATTAATAAAAAAAAGACGGTTTTAATTGTTTATTTTGCAATTTATTTTCTCCAGCAAAACATAAAATTTATGAACAGCGGATCAAAAATGGTTCATATACAGCATACACCAACGTCAGCATCGGTTCCAGTTATACAGCATTCGTCGCCTATAAAGCAACAGCAAATCGTTAAAAATATATCGCCCCCAATTCTTTCCAGAAAAAGGGTGGAACATATGGAGTCTTTGGAATATACGCCCGAGTCGTAAGCACTAATGATTTTAGTTTAGTGTGATAGTACTAGCATCGAATGGTTTTAGAAAACGGGGTAGAAAAACCGATAAAATCAGTAAAGGCCTTCGACATTTTTCCATGAAAGTATGTGAAAAAGTAAAGCAAAAAGGTACGACGACTTATAATGAGGTGGCGGACGAACTGGTGGGCGAGTTCACAAATTCCGCCAATTCTAATTCTTTGGCGGATCAGTATGACCAGAAGAATATCAGGCGAAGGGTGTACGACGCCTTAAATGTTCTGATGGCCATGAATATTATTTCCAAAGAGAAAAAGGAGATTCGGTGGATTGGTTTGCCCACTAATTCTCTGCAGGTACTTAATAACAACTCTCGTAAGTTTCGTTCCGATCTCGAATTGCTTATTACTCTTATAGGAATGCCAGCAACTAGAAAAGGAAGTCCACAGAAGAACTAACAGTATTCAAGAGAAGGAAAAACAATTTTACGAATTAATTATGAGTCAAATTGCCTTCAAAAGCCTTGCCCAGAGAAATAAAGAAGCCGAAAAGGTGCACGGGTCGCCTGGACTAAACTCATTTATCCAACTTCCATTTGTAGTAGTGAACACAAACCGAAAGACTGTAATTAACTGTAGCATTTCCACCGACAAGTGAGTTTTTTCTGTAAACAATGCCTCAGGTTTGCTTACTTTTCCGCTATTTTAGGTCGGAATATCTCTTTCAATTTAGTGATAAATTTGAAATTAGTGATGATCTGGAAATATTAAAACAAATAGGAATGCTTCACGGTATTTTATAATAAGCGATTGGGCTACGATTATTTTAATTGTGATATTTTTAAAGGTCTCGACACAGGAACTTGCACCCCTGAAGATTTGGAAAAAATTAAGAAGCTTATCCCAGAATCTTTATGGCCATATGTTGAAAGTAAGTAGCATCATTGTGTTTGAAAAATTTTTTGTTAAAGTGTTAGTTCAGTCTGACAGTAACCAATGAAAGTGTATTTCCTAAATGGCACTAGTTTTTTCTTTTTAATAATCACTACTTAGACAAATATTGAAAATTATGTTCCACTTCAATTTTTTAAACTGGCAATTATCAGGATTTTTAAAATACCTACAGAAGAAGTTGATTTTACAAAAGTTAGATTTTCTGCTTCACAACTGATAGTCTTTCAGCTTGAGGTTTATCCAGATCGTTATAATTTGATGCTAAACTAGTTCTAATTATCAAATAAAGTGGCGTTTCGCGTGATTGTTAATAGGCTGAAGAATGGGCTATATCCACAAACACTTGAATTTGCAGTACCCGAGCCTATGAGATGTGGGTTGTATATGATTATATCAACAATACTCACAAAGTATTGATGTCAACAAAAATCAAAACAGTTTCAGTGGAATTGAGATGATAATGTGGATAACAAGGAACTGCTTCCAATACCAGATTGAAAGAAGATATCAATCAGTTCTCCCTATACCCCACACCCATATATACATATTCATTTCAAAGAGCTTCTGCGAGAAGAACGCATTAGTGTTGGTTGAGGCACTGAACGCAGAGATTTATTTGTTAAATATCCTGGAATAAAAGCTGGACACGCCTTCCTTTTGTGTTAAACTTGCCTGGATTCAAAAGATAAAGTACAGGAGTGTAAATATTTTGTGCTCAAAAAGTTGGAGGAGTGGAGGGATTTACTTTTCGCGTGGAAACGTAATCTGTTACTAGCAAATTTTTCTTAATTTCAGAATTAGCTACTGGGAACAAAGATCCTTTGGAAGATCTCCTCAATACCACGCGTGCCAGTACATCATCCATGTCTCATACTCTTGAAGAATTCGTTGAAACGTCGCTTGAAGAGGAAAATTCTCGACAGTCGAGCAGCAATGACCCCATGTCACCGACCGCGGCCGACTATAGCGATGAGGATGTAGATTCAGACATGTCAAGCGACAATGACCTTAATTAATAATAATTTATAGATTGTGCGAGTGAACATTTTTCAAGATTAGTGGTGAACCTGATGGAGAAACATTTTTGGTGTGCTTTCTGCAAAGCAGTATTAGGAATTTGAGGTTGGAAATTTAACAATAACAAATTGGGCGGGGGTTAAAATTTTATTGTTGTTTATTTTTGTTGGCTCATCATTTTGTTTTTTTTATTAAATTTTTTATACCTCAAGAACCAAGAAGAAGTCGCTTCTAATAGATTCCTTTATTACAATAAGGAGGGTGTTTTCGTATGCTGAGTTCCAGAGTACAACAGATTCTTACCTTCACAATATATTGCTAACTACAACTGTGTCATCTAGTTTTAGTTCTCTTAAACGTGAAATGAAATATACTCATCGGCAAAAAAAATGAAACTAGAACAATTTGTTTTTAACAATTTTCCGAAACTATATGGCAATATTTACAAAAAAAATAACTATCCCCATTTAAAGGTATTGGCTACACAAAATTTGACAATTTCAAACAAAGCATTCTTTATGTAAGGGTGAAAATATATATACCCAATGAAATCTGTCAAAATTTTACATTTACAAAAATATTGAATGCTGATAAAAAAATCAAACTTTAATATTTACAAAATACAGAAGAAAAGGAAAAAACTAAATCATTGACTAACCTTGTGCAAGATTTGTCAGTGAGTGTTTTTTCATTCAGAGTCGAGCACCATTTTACATACACAGATAAAAAACTAAAAAAGCGTAATAAAAAAAGAAGTGCTTAAAATTTTAAAGGGTATTCATCCTGTAGTGGACCAATATTTTTTTATTCAACAAACATTCTTTTTTTGTTGAATGTAATCTACTTGTTTTATAGTAGTTGTATTTGTGCAAACAACCACTTGAAGTTTTGTGAATTATTTAATATCTGGTTTTCATAAAATACTCAGTATTGTGACTCTTTCAATCCAATCCTGGACCTTGAAATTTGGCTCCTGTACCCCCTTTTTTCTTTATCTATTTTCAGTAGATCTGAAAATTCTTATTTGCAACATTTTAACCTCTTGGTTTCCTTCTGAAATGGAAATAGAAGTTACACAATACTGAGCAAATTTTAACGGCAATAATGAGGGCCACAAAATAAATTGGACGCATTCGGCGGACATAACAGTTTGTACCCTTTAGAGTACTCAACTGTTTTTGTTTAACTTTGTTGTTAAAAATTATGGTCAAATAATACTTATTCCAAAAACAAATATCAAAGTTGGTGTGTAATATTGTGTGAAAAACTAAAACAATTTATTGGTTAGCAAGGTATTGGAACAGTAAAGTCCACTGCATGCATGCATGATCTTGTGCCCAAAATTATTAATTATTGTTTGATACGACTTGGTTGCAAACAATATTTTGTGTAAATATTTGTTTTTCGTGTTTAAAATTTGCTTATTAAAATTTATTACATTTGTTTTTTGCAATCATTCTACCCTATAAAAATTTTTGAATTATTTCCTGTACAATCAAAACAAATTTGTCCCTATGACAAAAATTATTGTATAAAGCCTTTTTTTTTGTTATAATCACCTTGGTTTGTTAATATTGGAACATTTAAGAAATAAAGATGCCATTTTTCTAGAATAGTCTTTAATTTCTATATAATTAAATATGTAAGTGATTTTTACAAAAACTTGATAGGTTTTGATTTGCAAAAACTACTTTCATTCAGAAAAAAGAACTACTGGAATTTACAGTTCCTTTTCCAAATAAAATTCTATGTATGATTAAGCTTATGTGTGCATTATTTAGATTATTGCAGGTCTTCATCATCATACAAATCCTCGAAATCTAAAATCACAGGTGTCTAAAAATTTTAATTATACTACTGGTACTACGCGTCATTGTTTAAATATATATATATATATATATATATATATATATATATATATATATATATATATATATATATATATATATATATATATATATATATATATATATATATGAGAATGGCATGTTTTATATATTACGTTTACCTACCGTTAAAAAAATCTGCATGTACTGCCTTTTCATTGGTAGTTAAATCTATTAACAACGATGCAGACCCTCCAGCCTAAAGAAACATAGTCATATAAAATTCTAAATTCTAACATAATAAACGAACCTCGTCAAATTCCATATATGGGCCTGCGCCATCTGGAAACATTTCATCAGCTGCAATTGCTGGTTTCATGCTTGTAGGAAATGTTTTTCCTATTCACGCACTCTTAATTTTCAAAAATGTTAGGTTATGGTAACGCATTCTTCTACCAAAAATTACATAACTCGACAAAATTATCGATAATACTGCGGCAAATCAGGATCCATAACATTCTGTGTTCATTTCTCAAATTTGCGTGCCCCCGTCTAAATTCTGCTTATTATATGAAGGACCGCGAAACACAAGTATTTTTATTAATTGGTGTGGTTCATATACTAGGGCGAATTACTCACCTATTCTGATGTAAACGAAGAATTGTATTTAACTTGGGCACTGTAGTTTTTACAACAGTTAAAACGGTAAAGCGCACGTTATTTCAATAACAAAAACCCGTTTACCGATCTCTGGATAACTGAAGTCGAAATTTCATTATATTTTATTTTAATTAATTAGTTTAAATAAATTTAATTAATCAATATTTATTTAATCTTAATATTTAAAAATGTTAATTTTCGTAGGGAAGGAAATGCTAATATTCAAAATAATCATTTTCGAAAAATCTAAATTTAATAATTCATTACATAACTGCTGCCACAAAATATTGCTTTTGTGCGACGCAATCATTTAAAAATCACACAACTACTACATGTATATATATAAGGCAGTTACAGTCACATTAACCAAAATGATATGACACTTAGAAACTAATTTTTAAGTAATGCATAAATTATACGCAATATCACAAAAAATTACTAAAATTACCAACCATAAGTCTAGCAAACATTGTTTTTCACTTCAATGTTTGGGGTGACTTCATTAAATGTATTAAAAATCATAGGTTTTCCGATAATGTAATTTTTTTGAAAAAAAAGTTTTTCATATTTTATTCCATTTCATATTCTAATCAGTTCTTAATCAAACCTATTTAAAACATGATAAAGTTTTCATAGGAATATAGTCTTGTTCATTGCCTTTGTCTGAGAACCTAAAAAATATAAGGCGACTATGGAGAAATTTCAAAATCAGAACATTCCTAACCGTGCATCACTTGGATAGGGAGAAATAAATAAACTCAGTATTTCACAAAAATTTATTTAACTATCTCCAACATACAAGCTTTCACAGCCTCACATTTTTAAAATGAAGGAAAAAAAACATTTGGGCATTGCAATTTATAAATCAACAAGAAAGAAGTAGCACCTAAGAATTTAAAATCTTTATACTTGGTTTAGATTGAGCGCAAGTATCAACTGATTATTAAATACATGGGCCAATTTTTGACTGACACAGTATTTTTCAACTGCAAATGCATACTGACCTCATATTTTAACCCTGGAATATACAAAATTAATACCATTCTATTAGAAACTAAATTGAAACAATATAGACTTCTTGAAAAGAATGAGGAAAGTAAAACTATGGAACAATTTGAAAATCAACAATTCGAAGAGATTCTAAAAAAAAAATTAAAGAACCTAGGCTGCTAAGGATCAAAGCGAGAAAACCTTCTACAAACATCTTAATAGAACTATGGGCAAACTATAGAACTGCTTTACAATGCTTAAGCTGTCTTTCCATTTTTCAATATCGAAGGTAATAAAGCATGTGATTATAAGTAGCAGAGGTAAATGCGAGGCGCATAAAAGAAAGATTCATACTGTGTACTCCGGTATCCTATAGCATTCGAGGCATAAATTCAGAGGTGTTGAAAGCAGCAAGGTAACAACAGAAACCTTAAAAACTAAATAATTACTTAATAACATTTTGATTATTGAAATTGGAATACAGTATGTTACAACATATGCAATTTCCACAAAAAATTTGAAAACCACTAACAGAATCTAAAATTTGTTTTAAACATGTACAAACTTTTTGGCTAGCTGCAAACCTTAAATCTAAAACAAACTGAAACTTGATTAAATTCTCAGAGTCGAAAGCTTTAAAAACATGAAATTAAAAAATAATAACAAGCAAAACAAGACAAATTTTGTTTACTCTACTTTGCATCATGTAATGTACAGATATCAATTTATCGAGACACCAATTGTAGAAATTGCACTGAGTACAAAAAAGGACTTGATATCCATCCACCACAAGGTGTAAATTTTAATGAAAAAACAAAATCTCTCTATCCATATGATCCACGTTAAGAATGCCCATTCTCCATTAACTGACTCACATTGAGAGGTAGCCTCTCGCCTGGCAACGTCTTCTGCCTACTATGTACCCGACCAGCATGAGGACGATCAAGATAGCCAGGACACAACCCACAACGACTGGCACTATATCTGGGGTGTTCGCACTATCACAGTCCCAAGCTGCAATTGCAAAAGAGTAAAATTATGTTCCATTTTTCTATTTAAGAATTTTAATACTTAGAGTTTGACTCTTACCAGAATCAAATTTAGGCTTAGTTTCATTCCTGAAGGCCTGGTATTGTAGATGGCTGACATGCAAATAAGCAGTTGTTATATTTGAATTGATGTCTGTGAGATTCAGCGTTTGCACTTTTGTGCACCTATAGGAATTTGACAAAGGCACCGAGAATTCAGGTTTGAGGTGGTAGAACGTGAGAGTCTGATTTCCTGAAATAAAAGTCATAAAAGTCTCTAAGGCAAAAATTTTGAATTCTATATGCAATTTTCCTATTGCTTAAAAATTTAAGACGAAAAAGGTTGTTAAATATTTAAAAACACTTACCCAACAATAAGGTCGAATTTATACTGCTAATTTCAAATTTGTTATTTTGAACCATTATAAAATTTAAACTGACAGAATTGTTCTCCCAAGAGACCAACAAAGACTCTTCCAATGATGTTTTATTTCCACAGTTACCAGTAACAGACACATTTGATGGTATATTTACCTGAAAATAGGAAAAAAAGTTTAGCATAGGGCAAACCAGGTTTGGAGAATGTATAACAATATCAGCTCACTTCAGTAAATGTAAAATATCTATAAGAAACAAACAAACCCAATTTGTAACTCTAAATTAGATGTAGAGCATTTTATGGCGATTTAACAGTAAATTTCAATAAGTTAATATACAACTCGCTAACCACACCTCTTTTTATATTAGCGCTATCATTCGCAACAGTATTATATGCTCAGAAATAATTAAAAGTTTTTTTTAATATTAAGCAGATATTCTATAGACTTTTAATGATACTTATAAAGTTCTTGAGAAATTTTAACATATCTAGTTCCAGATAACAATGTATAAAATTTTTTCTTCAAATTCCTATGCTAATGGAAAATATAAATACTTGTATACCTTGGTTGAATTACTGTGATCCAGTGGTAGTTCAAATTGTGCAGCCACTCTAAATAAAAGGCATATCCTATTGGTATTTGTAAAATTTAAGGACCAAGTGTTTGGGGTGGGACTAGGAGGAGGAATTGGTGCGGGTTTCGTGGTTGGAGCAACAGTTGTGCTGGGAGTTGTAGGTGAAGGCGTTGTGGTTGACGAAGTTGTTGTGGTTGACGAAGGTGTTGTGGTTGACGAAGGTGTTGTGGTTGATGAAGGTGTTGTGGTTGAGGGACGGGTTGTGGTTGGATGAGGGGCTATCGTGGTATTTGGCATAGAAGTGGATGTGGTTGCAGCAGTAGTAGGTTCCACTGTTGTAGAATTCGTTTTCGAAGGCGGATCATATGGACCAACCGCAAGCGAAGTATCTAGAAAAAGATAAAAGAACTTCTATTTATGGAATCCATTTGCATAATTATAATAATAATTTTTGAAAAATTAAATGGCAAGATGTTGAAAAAGACGAACTATTTTTTATATTTGCTGACTTAAGATGGGTAGATAGTACCGCTGCAGATAAGGTTTATCGTGTTGGGATTTTAGACTTTTTTCTCTAAATACTTTAAATATGGTGACAAACACAAATTTTGTTGATAAATCTTCCATTCTTGGAATCAAAAAGCGAAGTATATCCCAATTGAAAAGTTGATATGCAAATAAAACAAAGGCAATGAAAGTTACAGTTGACAGTTTTTTACAATTATCTTTTAATAAAAAAATTCACCATACAATACAAAGAAATAAAAAGCAATAAAAATTTTAACCTAAAATGAACTTTCATTGTTGTTATAAGATTAATTGCAATTATTTCCATAACCCAAGATAATAAAATAGCATTTATCTTCAGACATTTATCTCTTTTCCGATATTGCAATTCACTATTAACTAAATTTGTGTATTTGGATAGGTGTGTAAACATCTGGTTAAGATATTGACGTTTCTTAGAAGTACAGATATATCAAAAACCGTTAACAGAATTGTTGAGAAATTGCAAAAATAAATCACTGTGGTTTTCAATGGGCGCTGTATACCAATTTGGAACATAATTATTCAATAACAAGGCGAACAATCTAAATATGACATATAATTAAGCTAAAGAACAATGAAATATGATAGCAATCAGATTATACGACAAAAATTTCCCCATTTACGCCCTCTGTTGTGTTCCTGGGTTTTTGACACGTTAAACAGAAACTTGTACTTACCGGCCGTAACAAAACTTATAACAAATATAAATGATAAACCTTTTAAAACCAACATTGTATATACTTAACACAAGAAGCTTTTATTTAAAATTATTCCAATGCGACATTCGTACTTCCAACTAGAGAATAATAATGCAATGTTGCCAGAAGCCCTGAAGGAGTGTGGCGACGCGTGGAACAAAATTTTGTCAGTACAGTAGGTTGAAAGCTTATTTTAATGTATGAATATAGGCAACGCACTATTGATATTTGCAATAGCCAGGGAATTCATGCAGCCAACATAAGAATTAGAATTAGAGACAGAACTGATACAGGCAAAAGCCTATGGTTATACTAAAAAAATGGTTGAGAATTTAATTTTATTAAATTTAACACGTTTGGTAAACGTTTTAAGTCACACGTTTATTAAACACTCCGCTGCGTTTCGTGTCAAATAAACTCATGACTCAAATGCCGTTTACGGTACTTGTTGCATAATAAGCTATAATAATGTTGACTTCAATTTGTATTATCCGCAAGGCACCTAGAATTAATTGTACAAAACTTGAAACCTATTTCTCTAAAAAGATAGAAATTTCCAAATATATGACAACAGTGGCAAGACTGCATTATGTCATGATTGGGCATGTTTAAGCGATTGCACTCATTAATTGAAAATAAAAAAACGAAAAACGGACCTAAAATTGAAACATGACTGATTCGTTTCGTCAGTTTTACCGCCATCATTCGTAGGTAAGTATCTTTTTATTTGAAAGAGTCCTCTGAATTTGGATTTGTGCTACTGAAACTTGTTGCAAAAACCGTCTAGAATCATACTTAATTTTAACCGCTTACCACCTGCTTTAGTATTTTAAAAGTTGACTGCTCAATCTTTGTAATATATTATAAAAATAAAATGGAAAAAAAATCAGCCGTCTATTTGTTAATTGTTATAATTTCTGTAAAAAAAAACCATTGGGTTACATTGTTAAGTAGACATTACAAATCAGTACCAAGACTTGCTTAAGACCCACACTAACAAGAAGAATAATTTGTCATGATCTGATATCTAATAATCACAAGATCACAAGTTGGGCATAATAATATAGATTTGACATTATGTTAAAATTTCCAATATTCACAATTTAGATTCTAGCAGAGACATAATAACACTCAACAAAATTGGTCTTGTTTAAGTCGACTAAACTTAAAATTTGGTAGGAAAAACTGTATAAGTTCAAAAAACAACCGAAAAAGTCAAGAATACTAATCACAATATAAGTGGAAAGGCATCGAGCAACTTCATAAAATTTGGCGGAATTCATTAGAAAAGTGGGTGGGGCATTGTATTGTATAGGAAACTACAGTTGAAACCAAATTACAAAAACTTCTAAAAAACCCTACATTTTAGAAAGAAAGATGTACAGCGACTCTGTTAAGGAGTCAATTTAATAATGAGGATCCTCCGCTAATATTTTTGGTTTTAGTCACTGAACAGTAACAAACATTTGGAAACCGTTAAATGAAATTTCAGAAACTTCTCGGAATTGGGGGAAATGGTTTCGCTATTTTCATCACTAAAAGAAAACGACGAGGATGTTTTTATTTTAAATTTTATTATACTAATTTTGTCAATAAATAACAATTAGCAAAAATTAAACAGAAAGTGTGTCATTTAGTTGAAGATAGAGCTTAACCATTTAATTTTTTTTACTTGATCTGACTTAGATTATAACTTATGACTTTACAATATGTTCGTTACAAATGATTATTTTACACAGAAAGCGGAAATATACATACTTAACTCAGAATGAATTTCGGATGCATTATTGTTACCTTATAATGAAGCGCCAACAGTGTTTTGGAAGTGTCGCCTAATGAGCCGAGTTGAAATTATTAAATCGCCCAGATGATGACGTTCTCGATTTATTTGAGTAAACAAATATCAACTTAGATGTCCGCACTGCTGCGACCGTGAAATATGAATCATCTTTTAATTGAGTTACAATCTAAAATTGAGAGGTAATGCTAAAACTATCAAAATTAGAAACTGCTTGTCGCAGCCGTTTTGAATAATCCCAATTTTGTTAAGGAATGCTTACGGGAAACAGTTTTGGGCGAAATTATTGTAACCAGTTTTTGTGCGTAATCGTCAGTTTTAACATTACCTCGGGCGACGTTCACACTCTTGTGATATGCTAAATGCACCCAAAAATAATCGGGTCTTGAAACAGATCCTGTGGCAAATCTGAACATTTGTTGTTATCTAAATTACTCTAGACTCTATGAAGTACTCTTAACACTTAGGTTATTACTATTTTATAACAATATTTTTATTCTTTTCTGCTTTAATCTGCTTTTTGTTCTGCGTAATAGTAAACTATATTTAATTATACCTTTAGCAATGTAACAGTGCATAAACACGACGTTTAATTTTTAATGTTTATTGATCAACACTTGAAACAATAATTTAGGTAATTTAATATTAATGCTTAGTCGTTAGATGAACGGGCAGCGGTTACGAACACGGCGGGAATCATCGAAAATCATTTTCCAATAGTTCGTTACCAAAAGAAATTCGCGACAACAACGCGGATAAACTCGTCGGTGATTCGCCGCCGTTCCCTAACCGTTCGCTCGCCGCAGGAGATCTTATCAATTGCTTTTCTTGAGCTAAATTTGCAACGAAATTATATTTACACGAAAAATAAGTACGATTTACACTCGCCCTATCACAACACGCCTCAGACAAAATTTTAAAATTCGAAAGTCTCTGTTACAATTATTACACAATTAGTAACAATAATTTATTGTTTAATACTATATATTCAAGTGGAAATAAACGGTTTCTTCTTTATCCAAAGCAAAATGTCCTAAGAAAAGATGGCAAAGATGGTTTCATAACGCCAGTCTAACTGCTTAACAACCTACAAATATATTTATATAAATTTGGACTTAGCCTACGTTGGGTCAAAGTAGCCTAACAATTAAAAAAGTTTAAATCAAACCACGCTAGCCCATGCATATATACAAGGTATCAGTTATTAACTAGACTGAGTCAACCTGTGGATTGCTGAAAATGACCGACGTATATAGGGGACGAGTGACGTTCAGGTAGTATCTAGTGTAAGATGATGTATTGTCCATGTGGGCATTTACCTGAACGCTACTTGCCGTTCAGCCGTGAATACGTATCCCTACAACTGACGTTATTGGTTGATATCGTGCCGACACCCTGTAAATTGCTAGTTTTTTTTTTGCTTAACTTTGTAGCTGCATGCATCAGCAAACGATGAAACGCGAATGTTACTATAAAAACGTCTAGGTAAAACGAATACAACCACCACGTAAGCTTAAAGGAACTCAAGTATGAAAGGCGATAAAATAATTGTCAGAATTCGCGCACCAATGTGACCTAAAACCGAACTATTGGTTCAAATTACTCAATTACTACCTACTACGTAGACCGTTACGTTGTCGATAAAAACCAAAGATGGTGGGGATGGTAGTTGTAACGCCGAGTGCCAAAACGTATGGCGCCTTTAATAAATTTGTACCTGTTTGTGCTTAAAAAAAAACTCGGATTTCTTCGCAAGTTGCCGCCAACTCCAGTCTTTTTGAAATTTAGTGCAACAAACAAATCGCCAAAGTAAGCCAGTCAGAATGGTATCATCCCCACCATCCCAGCTTGATACCGTGTTCGTAATTTTCATACTATACAGAGTGTCTAACGCAAAATCGGGCTCCGCCGCGTGCGTGCGTTTTTTGGCAGTTGGTATATTATAGCCTCCCCCTATGCGCCAATACATTTATTTAACCTCCTAGTCAACCAGGAGTTCAAAGTGGACGGACCCTCTTCTCTCGGCTCTGTCGTGGATGATGTTCTTTGCCCACGCCTTGCATTCGATGTTGATCAGGACGTTACCTACGAGTAAAGAACAGCTAAGTGCAGAAAAGCAGTCAACCGCATATCAAGTTCATCAGACAAGATTTTTAGAACAATACGTTATTTGTAGTAAACTCAAATTTTCGATTTCTAGAAATATAGGGTGTTCAGTATAAGATGATGTTCATACTGAGATACCAAACTTGTCGGATCAGTACCGATTTACTAATTGTGGCCTCTTTTCGTAAGAACACTGTATTTTGGCAGATGTAAATCCACCGCTAGCTCGTGAAGTTAGGCACCAAGTGAGGTAAGGATTTAACATTTGGTTTGGTATTTTGCGTGCCCACAAAATTGTACCATATTTTTTCGTTTATGACTTAAAGTTTGAGAGATATTTAAACCTTGTACAAACAAACGTAACCGAAGACCTTATGAACTTTCCACTACTGGCTTTGCAACAAATGTTTGTCACACAATTATTACGAACTAATTAAATGCGCAATTTCCCAACAGGTGGATAAGCAACCTGGGACCAGTCAGATGGCTTGAGAGATCCCCAGACATAACACCCCTTACGTTATTTGTACGGGGGTGACCTCAAAAATCAAGTATACAGTAGGTCCTATGGAAACGTTGACTAACCAAGAGAAGCTGTTAACAGTAGTTAACAGTAGTACTGTGAATCAGTGTTGAGAAGATGTATGTTATGTGTGCAACAAAACAGCAAATTATTTGAATACTTATTCTAATTTTATTGTAAAAGTGTATTTTTTTCATTTTTTTTGTGCGTCAAAGAAGTAAAGAACTTTTAAAGGTAGCAGCCGTATTCTATTACCCACATCCTAAAAATTTGAACATTTTAGCTCCTATAATAAGGAACATGTTGCAGATTTTAAAAAATCGACATTTTTGTTTTTCGCCCTGTATCGACGTAAGGGTTTAAAATAAAACAAAGCTAGATTATGTTTTGGAATGTACATACGCTACTTTTCTTCAATTTAAACAACGCTGTATCTCGTACAGTTTCCAATATCCCCATGTACATCATCTTAAGTATAAGTATAAGTAGGACATGCAGTATAATACAGTAACATCAACTTAAGGAACTTTGAACTTCCTTTATCTTTATTTTCTTTCATGATTTTTCAACATTTCGGAGAGATGGATGATGATCCGTTACCTAGTTGGTCGTTAAGACGTTGTTTTATTAGTGATTGTGATTGATCATGGGTATTTCCATGATTGAGTTGCTGCAAATGTTAAGATTTGCTATGAATGCGACTTCTTTAAACTTGCTCTCTTTGCCGTTAGGTGCCCGTGGCCCAGTGACCTCTGACTATTTTATGCTGTATTGGTTCGATAGAACGTGCTATTCTGGGTTTCAATGTTTATGTGTTTTTTGTTTTTCCGTTTTTCGATGACGTTTTATTTTTCCAATGTACTATTTACCCTATTCACATTAAAGTCGCTCCTGATCTGAATACTGTTTTGATGTTATATTACTTCACAGTTGGTATGATTTTTTCTGACGTACCTTTCGGTATCGTTAAGAGTGAGAGTGTGCCTTGTTCAGGTTGACGTACTATTGAATCTGTTTTGCAACCATTATGGAGCAAATCTGTTTTAATATTATCCAATTCACTATGGAAAGATGCTTGGCTGTTGCATATTTCGATTACTCGTTTACCTAACTTTTACATTGCTCAAGAGTGGTTCTACTAATAACTTAGAAATTGTTTCATATATGTTGGTTTTCGATATAGACCTGTCCTGATGGACCCACTACGTTTATTCACAAGGACATAAGGACAATTAGCAGCGGCAGACAGGAGTTTGCCTCTTTCTCCATAATAGATTTGATATAGTCATTAACTGAATTAAACTGATTGAGATAGGAGTCCAGCTGTTTAACGGTTCCATTACACATGATCAAATTATTAATAATTAAAATAAATGCTATGGAAGTTTAAAGTTGTATGTTGTGGTGTAGTTTTTGTCAACTAGGCTACAAATAAATTTAGTTTTAATGTCGACAAACGAGTTGAACATACGAGCAACAAAATATCAGGGAAATGAAAAATTTGAGGATATTATTTTATACTTTTGTAATGCGATTACAAATGAAGCATCAAAGATTTTGCAGTTCGAAATAAGAAATTCATGCAATGGGAAAAAAATTAATAGTCTTGTTACTTTGTACAAAGTTTTTGCATCCAATATTCTACAGTACCGTCACTTTATTATGCAGATTATACCAAATTTAAAAAATAATTTTAGTTGGTAAAGCAGCAGGACATCTATTTTTTGAACAGTCCCACACACATTTCATTTAAACTTAATGACTTTTTATGTTACTTTTTATCTGTAAATCTAAGTCATTCAAACATGCGGATTGATATATCGGTGCTAGCCCCACCCACAATCAATAAATAGTGTAGGAAGCTTTAAATCAAAGATTTTTAAAACTTCTCAGCCTATTCTTTAATTGCGATTGAGCGGTATATAAATATGATACTGTTAACAGTATTTTTCTAAAATCTTCCGTCAAATAATCTAGTGTGATTACGGAGCTTTAAATGAAAATATTTTTTAGTAAATGTCCGGGCAGCATTGGATGGATAATCTGGAATGGAACTTCCATTCACCAACGTCTGCCGTTTTTAAATGTCCTTCTGTCGAAAACCAACACATAAGGATGATTTAATCCAATAGCGTTCTATTTTTTAAGAAAATTTTTGTTGACCGTTTGTGTTCTTTAAAATCATAATAACGTGCCCAGAGTCGCGTCTTCTATATAAATTCGTATTTTTCTTCGAGCACTAATAAAGTAAAAAAAAAAAAAAAAGTGCACAGTGGTTCTGTTATAATTTAAACCTTAAAATTGGTGCGACCACTGTATCGTTTATTATATATTATAAGGCAGACACACCCAAGACTACGCGATGGTATACTTACGCGCTGGTTTTTCGAAATGAACAGCCACGAGTGGGCTCAGGTAACCTTCCTGATTCTTGTACGGGAAATACTGCGATGGGAAACCTCGTTGGGGAATGTATCTTATCGGACCGATGTGTTCTTTGTCGGCCACATTTTCACCTTCGCAAGTCACCCACACCATTTTGGTCTACAAGCGATATTGTGTTTTGTAAAATATTAGTAATAAGTAAATAAAATTACCATAAGTACTGAAATCTAATGCACTCGACAGGGTTGGAAAGCTTATGTTAGGTTTTTCCGTTTTATTCGCAGGTAATAGATTTTTTAAAATAATTTTTTTACGTTGTCATTGTTGGGCCCTTACCCGGTTCAACTGAGGCTTTGTTTTTCTCATGCTATATTGTATAATAAGCGAATAAAAGTCTGCAGTGTCTCAACGTGCTTAAAACTTTCGGTACATAAATAAATGAATTTGGTATGGACAATGTTACCAGCAACGGATAATATTTACATATTATCAGAATATGTATTTAACTAACTTAATGTACATGTACAAATAAATCTGTTTGTGAAGCAGTAAATTAGATACACCAAGCAATCATCAGTTACTTGGAAAGCACTTACTTATGCATAGCACATGTTTACTATACAGTAGCCTTAAGTGCCTTAAAGTAGGTATTGCGTCGCTAAGTCACTAGGTCGGTATTGTACGACCAAAATTATAGTGCATTTATTGCTTTGATGTTTTAAGTATTTTACAGTACCTTAGCCGCAGACCTTAGCAGGACCTCGGTAAAACTCATCCCAACAGATGTTTATTCTGCATTAAGTAGGTCTTGCCTGAGATGGGCCGTAACGAATATTTGTAGAAACTTGAATTTTTTATTTGACACGTAAATGAACCGTTTTAAATTTGATTAAGCATTGACGCTGGGGTATTTTCGAATAAGTAGAAGCGTTTATTTTAACATCAAGTGATATGTATCTTTCTTAATTGTAATATGTTCATATATATTATTGAATGTGATCTTTCCAGTAAATACGTATTTATATTTATATTTATACTAGATAGTTCAAAGGGTAATTGTATCTGTACTGTATTTATCTTAGCAGATAAGTTTGAATATAATCATTTTTGTGTTCTGTGCCTGTCGATTAACAATATTCTTCTTCTTGTGTTTTTGTGCCTTCTACATAGTTCTTCGATTTGTAAACAACAACAGTCCTTTTGAAGACTACAAATTATTTTCACGGTAGATAAAGGTATGTTCCAAGACTACAAATAAATATTTTTCAAAGAAACTTCCGCAGGCTACTGTAATGCTTTTTACAAAACTTCTGGACTCCTCCTGCGTCGGTTTTTGCTTTGCAATTTCGGCTAAGCAAAAACCGACGCGGGAGGAATCCAGAAGTTTTGTAAAAAGAAAACAAATATTTATTAGAATCTTACAATTAAACATTTTTTTAGGGTTCCTGTTTTTTAACACTTTAAAATATGGAGACCGTAAAATGAAGCAGCTGTTAGAAGAAGACATGGAGAACAACGCAGAATTTGAAGACGAAGTGGAGATGGTAGTCGAGCCTAATTACAATTTAGAAGACGAACTACCTCAGCAAATAAAAAAACGGATCCGTTTGTCTTCGGATGCTAAACAAATTGTTTTGAATATTTACAATTTTATAATAAATTCGAAAGGGGAAGTAGGAGCAGCAATAAAAATAACTGACATAGAACGTAATAAATTGTTACTTTGTACTAATTTTTCTATGTACATGTTTGAATTGCTCGGCGAAAAGGTGTTGGTAGGTAAATTCCTGGAATGGTTACGGGTAAGGGTCTGCTCGGTAGGGTGTTCTATAAGTGCCTACGTTTTTGGCGTAATAAACGGGGTCGGTCGGTTGTAAAAGCACTATAATTCTGGTCGAAGTATATATATTTGACTACTCCGTATACCATACTCCATATGTAACATAAATGGAGGTATAGGATATACATACTTACATACTAATACTTAATGTTGGTAATATATCAAAAATCGATTAGTAACGTATTACCGAAAGTGCCGACGGGTTGGTTAGTAAGAACATTTCGATAGTGTAAAAATTACTTACATCAGAACTTTTCCTTGTCTCGTCTTGTATTGCCTTCTTCAAATAATCTTTTGTATCCGCTGGTAAATTTGTTGTATTGTAATATTCTGGGACCCAATTATAAATCTGAAAACAAATTCCACACCGAATTAATATAATCGATAGGAAATGACCTTACGCGCGATTGACTTACTCTATTAAGTTTAAGGAATATACATGGTCCTGCGGCAGTCGTATTGTAACTGTACCTTTCTAGAGGCACGCAGGGGTACCAGCTCTGATCGATCTTCACGTCGCACACTTTGTCGTTTGGAGGCGGCGTGTAAGGGGCGCAGTCAATAAGTCTGTCGGCGTGCGGGTTATTGCTCTTATTGTATGCTACAAAATGGTTCTTTGGTTTGATGCACGGCCACTAGAGTGTATACTCACCAACTAAAAATTTGTCCAGCTCTTCGCTCCAGTACTTAATATTTTCGTTATTAGCCGACTTGTACCAAACTAAAGTACTTTCTACGTTAATTTCTGGTGGCATAGGTCTAAAACCTAAACCTGAAATCATACAATATTAGATAATAGTTATGGAGGTACCTATAAAAACATTCTAATATTCACCTGGATTAGTTCCTATTAACGATCTGTCTAATTGCCACTTGGGCACTTTATAATCTAAAGTTTGATAGAATACTGTCAACATCGTTGCGAAGAAGCCAATGAGAACAGCGTAGAAACAAATGTAGAAGAACAAGATTTTCGCTGAAAAAATAAAAATTCTTGTTAATATGAAAGTTTGAATTCTCAGATGCATTGAAGTCATAACATTTGTGAGAAAGGATACTTTTAATACTTGTAAAAGGTAGATTTTTAACTGAATTCATTTAGATATAGAAAGCAGTACGTGGCCACTCTAAAATGATCAACAAATTTATAGTAAGCACATTTCAGCACTTTGGAACCAAAACCCAAAGGGGTTGGCGGGGTGCTTCCATAATCCATAAACTCCACGCCATTATGGAGGACAAATTTTCATTCTGGTATGTTCCAGTTACGTTATCAGGTGACGAAAAGTTCATTAATCATGCATACAGGTCAAATCAGATTCCTTTCGACTTCTATTTGGGTGATGGTCGAGCACGCGTGAAAACCTGATTAAACCTGAATAGGGAATTTTGACAGGCTTCCTGAAAACGAACTGGACGATACGCAATATGGAACATTTCCGCGAGACATGGCACGATAATCGACCAACGAAGTTCCAATATCCGGCTTGAGTTAACCCTTTTTTTGGGTCTTCTTTAATTTGCATTTTCAATAGGAATTCCGAGGTATATTTTAAAATGCCGATTGCACTAATTGATTGCCGCAAATATTGAAATAGAAAAAAACGGCTAGTAATGGGCATTCCTGTCTTTCTCTTGTTTATATAAATGAGAGGATGAGGGGTACTTTGTTTTGTTTAAATGTTTATAGAAAATAAAATTTATAATAACCTAACTTCCTAAATCACCTCCGATAAAAGCGCAAAGTGATATAGTAATTTAAAATATTTTTTTCTAAAAAATATATTAACCAGAAAATGGTAGTGTGCATTTTTTGGGGATAATTATTTAAAAAAACACCAAAATTTGTAACTTTAACCAATATTTTCAAATTCTTGAAAATGGGAAAAATTTCCTTTCAAATTTTTGTGAAAAGTAAAAAATAAAAAAATACTGATTTATTTTTTATTTATAAATAAAACATTACCGGTTTGAATTTAGCACAAAAAATGCAAACATGTAGAAAAAATGAGAAATAATATAAAATAATCTTTTTGCAGTTGCAACATCTGGACAATTTAAAAGCCAAAAAGTTTTCGCAAGCACTTTAATGAGGTATGCCTTACATCTATAACTAAAAATATAATCATTTTTGGATAACACACACTTAACATAACGCAGGAACAATATTTTACTTTACAAATCGGAAAATTAATAAAATCTTTGTCAAAACATCGAAGGAAAAAACCAAACGAAACGATTAATTGCCAGCAAACTGGAGACGCTTCTTGCCGTCGCTCATAACCTCATTCCCGTGTATCACGGGTTGACAGCGTGCCTGGCGTCGACCGTATTTTGAATTTATTTTATTTGTTCGGTCTTTATCTGCTATTAGTATTAAATTGTATGACAAAGAAAAGAATACCCATACTCATACCTCACAAAATCGATATTCTGTATTACCTAGTTTAGGTCGAGTTCACTGGCGTGGTAAACTCGGTAAATTAGAGAATTATTAAATTAAATTACATTTTGATTCAATTTTGTTCTATTTTTGAGTTCTTTTTTGTTTAAGAAATTGATTTTAATCTAGATGTCGCCCAAGGAGTAAAATATTTATGGTGACCGATGTAAGGTATTAAACAATTTTCACAAGCGAATTGTGAAATAGAATTTAATTTACGCGATTACGTTTTTTCAAATTCACCTGGATGAAGTTTTATTTAATTGCACTCTGAATGTAAAATCCATTTAAAGGTTTAGACCTCGTCGACTCGGAGATTAAGTTTTTAATATTTGTGACTTTTGGGATTTCTCTTTTGAGCAAATAAAATTAAACAGGACGCGAGAAAATAAACTGACTTTTTGCGTTAGAAACGGGGTGGGGATATTTGTTTTGCAGGGCTTTTACGCGAAGCCTGGGATATGTGGGACTACGGCAAAGCAGCAGCGCGCCGCTTTTTTTTTTTTTTAATTTTATTAATAATAAAATAAAAAAAAAACCTGTTTACTTGTATATTGGAATTAGGTACATTATAATTTTTGGTTCTATTGTTGTTAATTAATATGTGTCATGAATAAAATTTTACTTCCCCTTTTAACAAGGAGACATAGATACTCAGTATTGCGTTACTGTAATTATCAATTACCTACCTATAACAGTTATGGTCGTCCAGAATTAAATAATTTACCTGCAAAAACGTTGTCAGTATCATCGGAGAGTTTAATTGTGTAGGGACGCCAGGGTTGCAGTTGCAACTTCATTTGTTTGGTGTAGTTTTTTACCATTTTAAATTAATTAAGCGAGGAAACCAGCTAGCCTTTTGATTCGAGCGTAAATATATATTTTTTACTTATTTTTCATTGTTGAATTAAGAAGCAGGACAATAATGTAAAACAATTGCAAAAACATACCGAAAAAGTCGCTCTGCTTGCGTATGATCCAGACGGCGTAAGGAAAACTTTTTGCATGATATACTATTAATAATAATTAACAGCAAAATTCCCGACAATGCTATTTTACAGGATAAGATTAGTTTGCTGGTTATTTTGTTATAAGTAAAGTAAATAAGTAAGTAAAAAAGTCTTGGGTTTGTTTTAAATTAAAATTTTCCATAAATCGAACGCCCATGGAGGGATTGTTCGATACGATAAACAGACAACTCCATTATATAAAGTTACAGTGAAAGGGATTTCCGATCCTGCGGGTTGAAGGGACATTTGCAAAATTGCGACTCTCGTCCTATATCTCCCAAAAAATATTCGATTTAACCAGATAATTGCCGAAAATCGATTTCGCTTTACAGAAAATTAAATAGTCACGTAAAAAGGCTTGCGATATTTTCGTTTTATACACGGAAACTCGAGACAGCTTTAACGTTAAATTACTTTAAGCCGATATACAACGGAGGCGTATCGATCTGATAATAAATGTCAAGTATACTTAATTATCACCCCATCTTTGTTGGCAAAGGCTGTCAGCGCGCGTAATATTCTAGCATGGGGTTTCTATAGAATCGACCTTTAAATATACCGGTTTTCGAAAAACAAGAGGCAACGTCAATAGGGATAATTGCGAACAGTTTGTCTGTCCTTGTTTGTGAGTCTCGTGCTTCTTCGAGGTATTAAACTCAGTTATAAAAGGATAACTTTATAAATCTGAGAATAAATAGTATATAACGCAACTAGTTTTGTAAACGGCATTTGAATCACGAGTTTATTTGACACGAGCGGAGCGAGTGCTCAATTAACGAGTAACTTTAAAAGTTTACAAAACCCTTTGCTTATTATACTTCCTCCAGTTTTCGGGTACACTTTTGAAAAACAACACAAAACATCCGATTTTTCTAAAATCCGGGAGTGCTATTTACAAAACTTCAGGATTCCTTCTGTGTCGATTATTGTTGAGTTGGACTTGCTAACGTTTCGCCAATCACCCTGTTCGCTTCTTCAGAGCTTAACTTAACCAGTTCTAGTTTCAGTTAAGCTCTGAAGAAGTCAACAGGATGATTGGCGAAACGTTAGCAAGTTCAACTCAACAACAACCGACGCAGGAAGAATCCAGAAGTTTTGTGAATATTATTACACTAGATTGTGGAAGTTTCTTTGAAAAATCCCCGAAGTGGCTAGCAGCCGTAGGTAGAAAAAGTGACGCTGTAAAATGACACTTTCCGCACGTTAAATCGGTGTATATAGTCGGTACGATTTGTGATTGCATAGTTGGAAATAAAATGCTAGACAGAATAAAATAAATGTCCCTCTGATCAATGTAAGACAGCCGTCACTAACGATAAGGATTATATTACATGGAAGTAAGAGGGGCCGAATCAGTTGTACCTGAAATTTATTAATTTAATTAATATGCCCATACTCAGAGATGTATTCATGTTTTTTCTATGCCATAATAGATCAGAGTGTTCCTTAATAACATTAAATTATGATAATTTGGTTAATAAACTATTGTCTGAAAACTCCGTCCATCGTATTTACTATGAAACATCTTAATCATCAGAGCAAAATTTGGTAACTGTCTGGAGAGCTGCCTTCGAAACCGATACTACTGCAGTATCATCGTGCATTGCCTCATTTACAATACTTTTATTAAAAAATATTTTCAATTGAGCTCACACCAGATCTATGGCATTAAATATACAATGGTAAGGAGGCGATCTTAAAACTTGATGACCTATTTGAGCAATTATTTCGTCTGTGGCATACGGCAAGTTTGTTTTGTAATTTTTGACGATTTTTAACATTCACTATTTTGCGTTACTTAAATCCAATTTTACAAACAACTCTATGGATGGTGGCAGGACTTATATTTATATTGGTTTCATCTTCTTCTAGTTTTTTTTTTCAATTTATCCGTGGTAGGAACAACTTCGCTTTGATCAAGACAATACATTTTCCTTCTTATTAGGTCTTGATCACTATTTATTCCTTTTTACAATTCTCTGCTATTAATTATAGCCCTTATCGACGATATTGGCGTTTTTGTAAGTAGACAGTTTCAAAATTTTTTTTGATAAGTCCTCTGCGGATTAAAGTTTCATGCACAGTTTTCACAACTTTTCTTGCACCAAGGGATAAATGATTTCGACAAGACATTGTTAAATAACTTTTTCAAACCGCACAGTAAAAACTTTAACAGTGCCACAAATAGTCAACACTCAAGATATATATTACAAAGAAAGAAATATACCTCCACCACTGTCTCGTAAAAATATATTTTTAACAATAGGTAATACCATCGTTAAAGTTTTGCCAGCACGAAAGCCAATACGAAGAAGATTGATATAGACTATATACTTTCAGTGGTCTAGAATGATAATGTGCATTATCCAAAATAAGACGGCCTTTCGAGTTTCGGAAGAAGTTTTTTCAAAATGCGACTCTGTTTTATAGTGGAAACTATCGAATTATCCGGTGCTATTTCTGTCGACTATATGACGTCCGGGCGTAATATACTACCTAGTATACTAGTGGAAGCAGGTAAAA